ATCGCAATTTCACACAACCTGTTTTCGAGTACCTGGACTCTTTAGAGGAAACTTTTATATACAAACTGAAAGCGCCAAGTCTCTACTTTATATTGATGTTGAGAAAGGGACATAGTGTGTAAGTGGTTAAATTGATTTATCTACAGGGCCATTTTATGCATAAAGTGAACCTAGCTCTTAATGCCCTGTTCACATGGAGAATTTAATTCGCAGTAAATTAATGCAAAGTAAAATGATGCGAATTAAAATAATGCGAATTAAATTGCGTTCACACGACAGCTAATGCAAAGTAAACTAATTTAGGAATGACTCTAATTCTTGGCCAAATTATTCGAGTATAACCTGGTTTGGGTCAGTTTACGGTTTATAATCCGCGAAGCGGATTATAAAACAGCGTAAACTGACCCAAACCAGGTTATACTCGAATAATTTGGCCAAGAATTAGAGTCATTCCTTATAATTTAATTTTAAAATCATTAAATAACTATGGATGTAAAATTTCGTTGCTTTTTATTAGTTCAAATTTGCCGCTCAATAATACAACCATAGTAACGGAAGTGATGGGAAGCGAGGGGAGGTAAAAACTGATACATAGGCCTAGCAGCTTGTTTACATGTGGTAAGATCGAATTATTGTTTGAAGTTAAAGGTATATTTATTAAATCTGGAATTTTCCATGAATCCCGAGGACTGGAAATGAGAGGATTGTATGCATACAGATGATTCAGCTGGTTGTCAGGGGGGTGTCCCCATACCAAACCAGGTTATACAGAAATAATTTGTGTTCCTTTTTGGATATTAACCTATCAGAGGCTAGAATACAAACAAAATTAAATTATTGCGAATTAAATTTTTATTTCTACAATAAGGCTATTCAGTAAGGCTATTATGACGTCATTTTGCGAATCATGTTACATTGTGCCGAGCAGATACATTTGACCACTGATTTGACATAATGTCATAGTGTCTGTACACATTTTAGTGATTATCATAATTTTCCTTTGTTTTCCACTCAAAAATAGCACAAGTACCTATATCTGACCATCGACATGTGGCCTGTGACTTAATTCTGCCCTTACGCATGCGTCAAAATTTAATTCGAATTAGCTTCGCTTAGCGTTCACACGGAGCTAATGCGAAGTAATTTAATGCGCAGTAAATTAATTCGAATTAAACTAATTCGCATTAAATTCTCCGTGTGAACGCGATTCAAATTTAATTCGCAGTAACTTACGTTTAATTCGAATTAAACTCTCCGTGTGAACAGGGCATTAGTTTACTGCGCATTAAATTACTTCGCATTAGCTCCGTGTGCACGCTAAGCGAAGCTAATTCGAATTAAATTCTGACGCATGCGTAATGAAAGGATTAAGTCACATGCCACATGTCGGTGGTCAGATATAGGTACTTGTACTATTTTTGAGTGAAAAACTATAGGAAAATTATGTTAATCACTAAAATGTGTGCAGACACTATGACATTATGTCAATTGATCTGCCCTGCATAAGGTGACGTGATTTGCAAATGACTTCATAATTGCCTTACTGAATAGCCCTGCTGTAGAAATAAAATTTTAATTCGCATTAGTTTACTTCGCGTCAGTTGTCGTGTGAACGCAATTTAATTTGCATTAGTTTCATTCGCATTAGATTACTTAGCATTAATTTACTGCGAATTAAACTCTCCGTGTGAACAGGGCATAATTTTTGAGAATTCATGAGGTACATGAACTCAACGCTTCACGCATGGATATTCATCATGAAGCGCTGACGCGCTTCATAAATTTTGCCAACTTGAAGCGTCGTAGTAAGGGTGTCTTAATTCTTTCATATTATTCTTTGTTTTAAATCTCTGAACAGAAGTTTTCAAAACATTTTCTTTACGATATATGTTTCATACTGTCAACTTTCTTTAAATATGCACAAGAATTTGTATATTGACCAGTTCTCTGGGATTGGTTAACGAATATCCTGGAAAACAAACGAAGCTAGGGTGTCTCAGGGATATACAACTTGAATTTACCGAACTGGAATAAAGGGCAGAAAAGGATTTTTTTAAAGTTTTATAAAAATTGTTTCGGTCGATGTTGCAGACTTTTGAGTAACTTAATTCTTATGTGCGAAATCTTGCAGCATTAAAAAGAGAGGTTTACACTTGCCGATTATTTCCTTTAAAAGGAATACTAATCTTATTTAATTTCTTTCACGATCCTCCTTACATATTTTAGTTTCTGAGCCAATCAATTTCAAACAGGTTTTCATTTGCATGGGATTACGCAGATACAGAATCCATTTTAAGTGTGTATAGAATTAATGCCCGAAGGCAGCAGTTAGCCACCAATGGCAGTGAAAAAGTTTTGTGAAAGGGGGCTCTTGAGTTTCAAACACGTTACCACAGTCCTAGATAAAAAAAAATTAAAGACATTTTGCTACAAACAAGTTTTGGGATGCAGATTGGTATATTATTTGTTGTTGCAAATGACGCAAATATCAAATTCCTAACATATTTTTAACAAGATGTGTTTGTGAAACACTGATGCCCCCGTATGGCAACTTATAGCAAAGGTTAAACTTTCTCAAATGCAAATCAAATATGTTGGTACCCAAAGTAAGGTCTTGTCTCGAGGAATATTCCTGTGAAATATGAGAGCCCTAGCAGCAACCATTGAAAAGATATGGAAAAGGTTAAAGTTTTTCAAAAGTAAGTCAAACATCAAGGTCAAGGTCAAATGGTAAAACAAAATGGTGCCTAAGGAAAGGCCTTCTCACAAGAAATATACTGGTGAAATATGAAAGCTGAAGCACCAATCGTTCAAAAGTTATTACCAAGGTTTTTCCAAAAGTACGTCAAACTCTAAAGTCAAGGTCAATGGATTACAATTGTTGGTATCCAAAGGAAGGTCTTGTCACAAGGATTACATATGTGAAGTATGAAAGCCCTAGCACCAACGGTTCAAAAGTTATGGCCAAGGCTAAAGTTTTCCAAAAGTAGGTCAAACTCAAAGGTCAAGGTCAAAGGGTCAAAGTTGTTGGTATTCAAAGAAAGGACTTGACACAAGGAATACATATGTGAAGTATGAAAGCCCTAGCACCAACTGTTCAAAAGTTATGCCCAAGGTTATAGTTTTTCAAAAGTAGTTCAATCTCCAAGGTCAACGTCAAAGGGTCAAAGTTCTTGGTATCCAAAGGAAGGTCTTGTCACAAGAATTATATATGTGAAGTATGAAAGCCTTAACACCAACCGTTCAAACTTCAAAAGTTATGGCCAATGTTGTTGATTTTTTCAAAAGTAGGTCAAACTCCAACGTCAAGGTCAAAGGGTCAAAGTTGTTGGCATCCAAAGGAAGGTCTTGTCAAAAAAATTACACATTTGAAGTATGAAAGCCCTAACTCCAACTGTTCAAAAGTTATGGCCAAGGTTAAAGTAGGGTAAAATTTTGTAAAACTAGGTCAAACTCCAAGGTCAAGTTCAAATATGTTGGTACCCAAAGAAAGATCTTGTCTCAAGGAATACACATGTGAAATATGAAAGCCATAGTTCCAACCAATCAAAAATTATGGGCAATGTTAAAGTTTTTGCGGACAAACAGACAAACAGATAAACAGACAGACAGACAGAGGGACGGACAGTGCAAAAACTATATACCCCCGAATCTTCGATACGGGGGCATAAAAATAAGATTTTCTACATCTGTATCTTCAAAATTCAAACTTTTTGCGACTCCCTTTATTAAATGCATTTTCTTAAACACTTGATAGGACACAACTGAGAAATCATGAATGAAAATTAATTTACGTGGTTAAAGTTATTTATTTTAGTTACTAGTATGTAAATAAAGATTAATTAAATGTATGATTTTAGGGTTTTTATTTAAAAAAAAAACAAGTTGACTTGGTTTCGAGTAGGTAAGGTTACGATGTCAGATGTTCCACTCAAAGTGATTGTCCGGAGAGTGTGAGTAAATATCAGTATACGAAAGAATTCAGAAAACACATTAATTGTATAGATATTTCCGTAAATGTAGTATTTCGAAGCAGAAGATATTTCTACTGTACTTCTCTATGCAAAGTGCATATTTTAATTATCATCAAAGAGTATATATTTACATTTCATTAATTCAGCTTCTAAATACGCATAAAATGAGTCAAAATCCAGTGAGATTTAAGTTAATTTCAGTCAAGTCATGTCGACATATCCGTACCCTTTGAGTAAAATGCTCATTTAAACGCAGCGAGTAATTTGATGTACTTGGTCATCAAACGATGAATACAACCATATAAACAATTTACGTTTGACGAGTTTAAACATCAAAATTCCATTCAGATAATGTGCCATTTGCAATACTGGCCCACCATCTGCTGTCATTAAATAGCAATTCTGAACAGAAATGTGAAGGGCTGCAATAAATGAAGTTTTTTTTTTTAATCCTCATAAATTTAACCTCATAATGCTGATTAATGTTATGAATATAGTTGTCTAATATGTAGATGATCTTTAATTCTACTTAATTATATGTGTGGGTTTCACGATACTTATTTCGAAACTACTCTATGAAAATCAATTTTTCCCGTGCTCTGCACTTGCAAAGTTTGACATTTTGGAGAAAGCCAGTAAGTTAAGGAACGAAAGTGACCACTGACCATGCAGATTACAAGGGCAGAGTATGTACATTATTTCCACGTTTTTTTCCCGTTAAACTGAAAAGCATTGGGGTTGTAAGTATTTTTAAAAAATAGTATTTTCTCAGGTTGTATTGTAAGAGTATTCACAACATGTACATGTATTTTAATTAAATAAGTTATATCCTGAAATCAAGCAATGTTTAAAATTCACAGAATATGTTATGCACATGATGCGAAGGTTATCCCGTCTGATTTACTGAAGAAGAATGGGTTACATTGTGTTTTCTTTGTAATAGAAAGCTGAATTATCGGAAGTTAACAATTTTACGTACTCTTTATATAGGAGCAACACAAAACAAACGTCTCAGTTTGATCTTCCCTGGCTTCAGTCACTATCAGTCGTTCTGGTCAAGATGTCTAAGGTAACAGTGACCGCCGCCCTTGTTGTTGGTTTTATTGGATGCTGTGTTGGATTCACTGAAGCTCAAAACAGGACCATACAAACAATATCTCGGGCCAATAAAGAAAGGATCTATTATTTATCGACTATTTTCCAAAAATATTCCAACAACAATGAAACAATTACTATGGCTAATGTAAATAAACTCATGGTCAATCTAGGACTCCCTACAGCTTCGTATAAAGCGACCTCTGGTGAAGAGGGTGGTGATAAAGAGAATGATACTCACTGCCATGACGAGGAGACCGGATGTTCAACACTACCCACCGACAAAGACTCTGCCAAAAATAGTCCGACCAAGAGGTCCCTGCCTGTAGAAAATACTCATTATGGTCACAGTAAGGTACTTACATTGATTGAATATCTTTCTGAGAGTTTTTAAACCGATTCTGAAAGGCTCTTAAGGCCACTTGCTACCAACACACTTTTTTCTCAATATTTTAGCATTGTATAGAAAAAAAAAACAACTTCGGAACTGGTTAATATAAGTACACTGTCCAATCTTATATCAGTACCATTACTTTAAGTAAAACAAATTTCGATCTCTGATCAATATTATTAAAGCATGAAAAAGGAAGAACGCTAATAGGAATCAAAGAATATCTAAAAATACATGTATTTGCAACTTGCCTACAAATTCCTATTGACTATAGAGTATTTTTTACTCAGTGTTTGAACACTATGGAATTGTTGATGGTCTACCACTTTCAAGATAAAATGTCGATAAGCAAAGACGACTTCATGGATTTATGTCCAAGTCTCGTCGTTCTTTTGGACAAAGATGAATGCAAGAAAAATGTGACAATATCCACGAGTCAGATGCACACACATGACGAAGAGCAACGAACTCTGGCCTCCATTCCAGCTAGTGGTAAGGCAATATAGAGTCCTGTTATGCAGGATCGTTGAACCATTTTTTTTAAAGAATCTAGTAACATTGCACACCAAAGGTATAAAGGAAATCTTACATTATTACACGATTTTCAAATTTCATCCTCCATAACAAAAACACCGATATAGGTGTTTATTTCTGTTTTCGCAAACAACTTTTTCGCAATATTTTAACCAATGCCCTCTCGGTTTTAGCACTACAGCAACGAACAGCAGACTTAGTTTGCAATTAGTTTTAATTGCTCTTTTTAAGGAACTATGCATTTTTCAAGATGTTTTCACAAATGCGATCTGTATACAGGCACGGTTTATTTTATATCTTTTAGTTTGGGGATATAGCTCCTTGGCCATTTTGATCATCAGTTTGGTTGGACTTCTTGGAGTGGCAGTCATTCCCATCATGCAACGCGTGTTTTACAACCACCTGCTGCAGTTCCTCGTGGCGTTGGCAGTCGGTGCCCTCTCTGGTGATGCAATGCTCCATCTTATTCCTCATGTAAGTTTCAGAACATTAAATGAAATGTACAAACATTTTACAATTTTGTTTGAAACTTAATTATGAAAGAGACATAAGTCTTTTACGATACATATACAAATTCAGCGCGGTCTGTATTGTAGAAACCGAATTACCGGAGGTAGGCTCCCCAAATGTACACATGCAAAATTATTGTGTTAAAATCATCTGGATGACGCAACATATGCTTTTTTCCCTAAGAATATTTGGTTCTACTTGAGAACTTTTACTTCTTTTTTAAAAAAGAAGCCGAAAACGAATTTCATTATGCATACTTCACTTGAGCTGTCAATATTAATGTAAAATAATCTTCCATATTTTATTTCAACAATTAAGAAATAAAACTGCATGTGAAGACATGATTACACATGTATATATGAATTAATGCACAATATACAGACGATGACTCAAATGCTTGCATTTCTGCTTGAAGTCCTCTTTTTAATGGTCTTGGGCTCGGCTTCATAAAGTAGTTTTCTTTTCGGATTTGGATACGCCATCTTCAGATTTCTACAGCGTAGACCCGATGGAAGAGTAATTGAGAGAACGCTTTAGCAGAAGAAAAACAAGTTTTAGATTTTTAATTCTTGCAAAGAGCCAGTGATCCAACGTCTGGCAAATCAGATTTTTTATTTTAGTCATTGAATTGTATTTTAAAACATACAAAAGATGGTATGAAATATCCACAGATCTATTGCCAACAAAGATTTCCCTCACACATTGTTTTAGAGTATCTGAAAGGTCCGGAAGATTGTCACAAAGGACTATCAAGGGTTTTAGGATTTTAGGAAAGTCATCTCGGGATTTGTGTATCTAATCGCTAGGCTTGAGATGACTGGGGTATTAGTTCTTTGAATGCATTCAAAATTTCGTGATGTTCAGTATATATCCTTATGTTAAGACGTTTTTCTTTTGCTAACAATATCACATTTTATTTATAAAAAAAAAAAAATCTGCACTTCGTGAAAGCGTAGAAAAAAAACAAAAAAAAAAAAACGTGAAGAAAAAAAAACCAGGACAACATCAAAGAGAAGGAAATCCTATCCGGAGAAGATGCGTCATTGTGCACATCAAATCGTCATTGTTGAAACAGGAGAGCTCAGATCTCAGCGATAATAGACAGAAAGATGCTGTGAAGAGTGTACTGAAAATATACTTTCATAGGATGTGAAATAAGCATGCTAAAAAACATACATCCTGGTTTCACAGAAAACTGGATTCACAGAAAAGCCAAAACAGTGCGAATGCTGGTAACCGTACGTATTACTCGATTCAATTATCTTGAGTCCGACGGTCAAATGGTTGTTTGTTTGATATTTACTAACTTAATATCTTATTTTATCTATTGGTTCTGCTCTTCGGCAAAGCACAACAAATGTATTTGCATTGTTTCTTATAAGAACAGAAATGAGAGAGAGAGAGAGGGGGGGGTGAGGGGTAATACATGTTGCCTGCTCCAGTGAAGCTACATAATTCGAGAACACAGTTTCTTCTGTGGAAGAAATTCATGTACTAGTAAATATATGTAGTTTGCTTCCTCTTCCATCCTCCAACACCCACTCTCATTTACAAGGATTTAAATTGGCAATCCGGTTAGAAATTTCGTTTGCTGGACCTTTTTTAATTCACCTGAGCCGAAGGCTCTTGTAAGTGAACTTTTCTGATCAAAATTTGTCCCTTGTCTGTCGTCGTCGGCGTTCTCGTAAACTATTCAAATTTCATCCTTTTTCTCCAGAACAACTTCAACCAAACGTGTCACAGAGTATCTTTGGACCGGTAAAGGAAAATGAAGGGCCACACCCTCTTCCAAGGGGAGATAATTAAGAAATAGTGAAAATTGGGTGGGGTCACTTAAAATCTTCTTTTAAAGGGCTAGAAAAAAATGAAACTTATGTGAAAGCTTGTCGACATAGTGTAGATTTAAGTTAAGATTTAAGGGGGAGGGTGGAGCCACAATGGGCAATCAAAGTTTTACTTAGAAATGTATACGAAAAATCTTCTTCTCAAGAACAACAAAAAAGCCATGATTATTACTTACATCAATATGGAAGCATACTCAGGTAGTGTAGATTCAAGTTTGTTCTGGGGAGTAGGGTGGGGCCACAATTGGCAATCAAAATTTTACAAAGGAATACATGTGTGTATAAGGAAAATCTTTAAAAACAATAGAACAACAAAGCCATGATAAGTCATAATAGTACAGACGCATCCTCAGCCTGAAGAAATATTTGTGAGACTGATCTTGGTCTCCATAAGCACTTTTGTCTTTATTTTTAATGTTGTTGTAATGGATCGTCGGACAGTAGCCTCGTTTCTGGCCAATGATCACAGAACAACTATTTCTTTATGTTATATGTTTATATGTTTCTTTATATTTATGTGCTGTTATGAGTGTTTTCCGATTTCTTTTTCAGGGGGTAGTTAACGATCATAATCAATCTTTGTTATATACAATAAGGTCAAGTTTATTTGCCATCTCGTATTTGTAATAACTTTCCAACGTGAGTTCCGATTTATATCAAATACTATTACATGTATTTTGAAAACAGCTTGGGATACCCATTACGAAGAGTGAACTTGCAATCAACAGGCTTACCACACAAACCAAAGTCGTGTGATTTGAAGCGTCAGTAAGCACCAAATGACCACTAACTTATATAACATATTTTCAATACTAAATTATGTTCATCCAGATATAGGGTTATGTTGTTTGTAATTAATTGAGCTTCCTTTTTCATTTTTGTTTTCTCGCCTCTCAAACAATTTGATCCACCTTGCTGTTTCATTCCCATATAAGAGATAAATCAAACTGACCATGCGTTTTATAAGCTGCTGCAACCTGCAACTTTTTAACGGAGTGTTTTATTAAAAAAAACATCAACAAAAAAAAACCCCTCTCCAATAGCGCAGAGTTAATACGCAGTATTAAAACTGAGTCAAAACAAACAAACCACCACCACCCAACACACAACCGTTTTGAAAATAAAAATATCGAATTCTTAATATGAATAACTCTTCAAAGTCAATGAGTGTTTTCAATTCAAGTATCATGCACACATACTGTAGATCATCAAATTTTCGCGACACCTTATTTTCGCGAGATAGTCATTTGTTATTTATGAGCGAGACAAAATTTTCACGAATTTAGATTCTTTAATTTTTTTCTTTAGTTTTATATAATCTTTTCTAATAAAAATATACGCAAGAATTAATTTTTCGCGGGCAAACAACCTTGCGTAACTACGCGGAAATAAAGATCTCCCAAATAAAATGTGATTTACAGCACTACATAAAACAACAATTACACAGTATCAATATGTAGACTAGCACAGTTATCAAAAGTACAATGAAAACATTTTCTATTTCACTCGTATTGGAGGAGGCCATCTTGTGGTTTAAGATAGATAACTACGTGTACTGTAGCAGGTTGATTTCTTCTGGAACCTGTTATTTTGTTCATCCTCCTCAAAGAAGACGAACAATATGTGTTTATTGTAGTTTCCATCCCCTTGTGTTACGATAAATTTTATAATGGCCCTTTTCAGGCACTGGCTGGGGAGGACGAACATGCCGACGATCACTCAACTAAAGGCTCCGGACTAACAGATGAACAGAAAAACGTCTTTAAAGGACTGACGGCACTCGTTGGTATTTTCATCTTTTTCTTCATCGAAAGAGTGATGACTATTGTCACAAACATTAAGAGGAAGCGTAAAGAGGTAAGACTATGATTTTGAGTGACAAAGTATCATTGATTTGTCAAAACAGTATATTGGAAGATAAAGAGTATACACATAAGTCCAATATAAAAATGTTTTAGAAAACCCACTACGAACACCAGTTGCAACTGGCGGCCCGACTCGGTGAGGACGAGATAGAACAGATTAAAAAAGCTCACGAACTCGCTCATCTGTATCAACATGAACACGACTGCGAATCGCTGAACTGGGGATTAAATCCGGGAACCAGAGGTCAGAGGGCAAATTACTCATAATGCTATTACAACAGCTTCCAATAAATAATAATCATAACGGCCATACTGAAGCCTTTTTTTCTTTCAATATTTATAGCACTTGAACATTTTGCTGAGGAGGCCAATAGAGAACAGCAGGAAGACGAGGTCTTGATGAAAAAGATCAACGAGCAGAAAAAGATGGAACGCAAAGACTCCAAGGCGAAACTTAACCGACAGCTGAGTCGTTCCCATAGCCATTCCCACTCCCATGACGGGGGGATACCTAAAGATGTCGCAGCCGTGGCCTGGATGGTCATTCTTGGGGACGGAATTCATAATTTTTGTGACGGACTGGCGATTGGATCAGCCTTTGCTGCTTCTATGACGGGTGGCATCAGTACCACTATTGCTGTGTTCTGCCATGAGCTGCCACACGAAATCGGTAATTATCTCTAATTAATTAGCACTGCTTAAAGAAATTTAATCAATTTTGGCTTTGAGATTAGGTTTTGATGGGAGTTTCGTGCATAGGGCATACCGGACTAAAACAAACAGCATAGAAAACACAAGAGATGTTACCAACTCTGAATAAGGCAATCAGAAGTAAAGTCTAACACCGGATGTTTATTTTAGGTGACTTTGCTGTTCTGTTGAAGGCGGGAATGAAGCCAAAGCAGGCGATTGTATATAACGTGGTGTCGTCTGTGTTGGCATTTTGTGGAATGTTGATTGGTGTCATGCTTGGCAACATTGAGGCAGCTAGTCTCTGGATCTTCACCATTGTGGGCGGAATGTTCCTCTATATTGCTTTGGTTGATATGGTATGATGTTCAGTATTTTTCTAGGTTTTGTCTTATCAACATTTTGTGTGTTACTAGCACCTGAAATGGTCGGTTAATGAGAAAGTCATATCCTCCAATAACTAAAAATAAAACAAAGGAATGCAAGCGAGTAAGCAAGCAGTAATAAATGGTAACGAAAAACAGATTATTTGATCACAATTTCAATTTTCTTTACAGTTGCCAGAAATGATGACAGCCGATGCTAGAGAGGGGGAGAATCCTTTCTTCCATTTGATATTCCAGGCATGTGGCATGTTTCTGGGAATCGGAATCATGCTTCTCATAGCGTTGTACGAGGAAAACATGAAAACAATGATGGAGCCATAACACCATGACGGTTCGCTCCTCGAAAACTGCCAGAAATCCATAATGAATTCACTTGCATTATATGCAAGGTTGTTTATAGTACTGTACTGTATTTAAGACTTTTATGACCAAATTTTGACAGTCATTTACCCATGTACAGGATGTAATGTTGTTTATAACTTGGTACTGTTTGAACTATGTTTTCTGTTCAGATTTGTGTGATAGTCTTCTGTTTCTATGGACTGAAGTGTTGTCATTATTTTAAAAGCAATGTGAATTTCAAAATGATTAAGAATTCTGGAAGGTTCAATGGAAAAAGCTTTCAGAGGGACTGAAATTTCAGGAATGCTTAGTAACTTCCAGTCTCTGGTGAAAAATCTGATTGGTTGAGATAATCATAATATAATTTGCTAACCCTCATTGGAAGTAATATTTTAGACCAGATTAACGCTGTCTTTTACTTTCTTTTCTCTTGAAATCTGGTATTTTTTAGGTGGGTGGGTGGGTGGGTAGGGGGATAGCTCTTTTTATTTTTCTGTTTACGAATTAAGCTGATAAGTCAGCGAAGTGACCCACAGAACTGTTCATAGATATGAATGAAAGAATGTTGATTTATATTCAACATGCATTTCCATTAAGGAAGTCCATCCATCAGCAAGGTTGGGTAACTCTGTAAATTATCTTTCATGCCCATCAGAATTGTTACTGGCATGTAAAATATCTTTGTGCAAAAATAATAATTATTATATAATCTGAATATGATGCCAAAATAAAAAAAAATCCTTGGTTTCCCCTAACGCGACCGACCCAATTAAAACGCGCCGACTAGGATTTTTTTTCGTAAGATTATTCCAATATTTATTTTTTTTTTTTTATTTTTGATAATTACAGGGACAACAGCATTTATATGAATATTTGTCTGGTGAAAGGCTCCAAATTTAGACTTGTACGCGGAACTTTAGGCCATTGAGCAGTAAAGAATCTTTTTCGTGCCAGTATCTACTGCGACACTGGGCCTAAGTTTTTACGGTCTCAACGTCCGCATTGGGATTTTAACCTGCAACTTAGAAATAGGCCCTTACTTCGAGACTCCAAAACGAAATGCTCTAGAACCACTGCACAATTCGAAGCCCTTAAAAAAGTACATTGCATATTTAAGCACTGAAAGCTGATAGACCTGTATGAAAAATATACTCTGATGTCCAGTCTTTGTGTACCGAGAATCTTTTAAACAGATGTACAATGTATTCAATTTCAACAAATTTACTCTGGTATGAGATATTTCACAAGTTCAATTAATTTACCTTAAATGTTGAGTCTAACCGGCATTTGTATGATACTCTAGCTGTTTACAAATCGCTTTCTTTTGTACTTAACTTATTTATAAAGTTATCATTTCATTCAATTTTAGGATCGTATTTTCAAAGCTGATGTCAAAAAAAAAAAATATTTGCCTACCTACCAACCCAACTTGAGATTTTTGGGTCGGGTTAGGTGAAAACAAAGATATTTTTAATGGTGGTCTGAGTTGTAACATTTTTAAGCCCTCGGGGAAAATATTAAAAACGTAATATTCGTTCCACATTAAAAGAAGAAACACTTGAAATTTTGAAAGAATTACATTCCTTTTTGTAACCGGTTCTTGTAGAAATTAAAAAAAAATGACTGCAAGATGGTATATAGGGTTGGATTCTTAGTATTTATTCCGTGGAGATATATAGTTGATTTCAAGATGAATTAAATGTTTTAAATCAACCCTAAAATAACAATAACAACATATAAATACATAGACAACATATAAACAAGCACATTCACTTTACAACACAAAACGATCACAATTTAAACACATAAAACATTCATTTAGGCCATTACTTTACACTTTATATAAACGCATTCAAAGGGCGATAACTCTTTGAAACTCTTACTGAATTAATGATGTAAATTATATTTCTCTATACTGAAATATTTACAATACTTTAAAAATATGAGTTTAACATACCAGTGTATGGAACTGAGTGATTTATCTCTTGATCAGGATGACTTTAAAGAATTATTACATGATGACCTAATGGATTAATAAATTATAAAATCATAATAATTCAAACCCAGATCTTAATTCCAAAGATCTACATGAATTAGATTAAAACATAACTTGCTCTTACTTTACAATATCAATCTTAACTTTAATAACTTTAGAACTTTCACTCTGGCACATTCATACTCATTTAGCAAGTTTATATTAAAATACTTTATTTTCATTCATTATCTTTAATTTTAGTTTATGATCATTAGATGTGTTTATAAAAGGTTTACTTACAGTTTATGGGTGTTTAATATACTCCAAAATATCAAATATTAAATTTTAAGCAATCACAAATCTCTAGCTACACCCTTCTCAGACAGTATCTTTGAATGGGATAATAAAACAAAGGTTTCCCGCCTGAATGGACAACTTTGACCAAACAATACCAACTGACCAATAGAATGTAGGAAAACAGACACTACCCTTATTTATAAATGGACTAATCCTTATATCTACCTTAACCCATAGTCTTTGGGTTAAACCATTATTTAAATAGGGATGTTTATGATTTAAACGTATAAATAAATAATATATTAGTAATGCAGGCGCAGCGCTTGTATAGATGTATGGATGAATGAATGAATGATTAATTCCTGAAATAAAATATATAGCATTAATTAAAATAAAATAAAACTAAGTACAACTACCACATTTATAACTTATTTTTTGCTCAAATGTTTTAATTTAATAATATTAAGCCCTAAATGAAATGAAGTGTATGTAATATATGAAATACAAATAATTGGCAAAAGGATTTAGAAGCTCTTTTGATATGTGTGATGATTATCGTAAATCAATGAATTTTTTTTATTTTTCTTCTCTGAAACACTGCCGAATTTATGTGTACCTACATATTAATATTGTACAATGCTAAATTATGCAATTATGTATAACTTTCCAAGTGAAAGGATCAATATTATAAACACTATGCATTTATTAAAAAGAAAAGAATGACAAAATACGTCTTGTTGAAGTGTAACGATTGCTAGTTCCCTTGGATGGCTGATATTTATAACTATTTTTGGAAAAAGTGCAAGGTCAGGTATTGTGGGAGGAAGCTACATCCAAAGTTTCGATGTCGTTCCTCATCATGACCCTGAGGTGAGCTTTTCTGAATTTGATAGAAAAATCAGACTTACATTGTTGTAATTTTTAAGGTTGGTGGAAAGAGTACTTTTTTCTGTGCGTTTATTTAAGAAATGAATTTAATTTTCGTAGATTCATGAGGACATGAACTACGACGCTTCACGACGGCATATTTCATGAAGCGCGTTAGCGCTTCATGATAAATATGCCGGCGTGAAGCGTTGTAGTTCATGTACCTTATGAATTTTCAAAAATTAAATTCATTTCTTATATTTACATTATTTTTCATATGAGTCGCCACAAAATACGCTATTCAACTGTCATTTTTTAAGCAAAACAGTTTGCACTATAGTTTTGACGTCGAGTGCGGTATTATGACGTAACAATGGAGATATTCATACTCATCCATGGTAGTTCATGAGAAAATGAACAGTCTTCTAATTTGCAAAGATTCTTAAGGAAAGATATTTAAATATATAAATATGCGCTAAATAAATAACAAAACTTTTTGATGAAATACACAATACTCTTCATTCCACTAGTATATAAAAATTGCATACAAGATACAATAAAAATGACTAAGCACAAAATATACAAGTACATGACTGAAAATATGTTAAATATGTTCAAAAGTTATGGTCAAGGTTAAAGTTTTTCAAAAGTCAAACTCCAAGGTGAAAGTCAAAGGGTCAAAGTTGTAGGTATACAAAGTAAGGTCTTGTCACAAGAAGTACATATGTGAAGTGTGTGAAAGCCCTAGCACCAACCGTTCAAAAGTTATGTCCAAGGTTAAAGCTTTTCAAAAGTAGGCCAAACTCCTAGGTCAAGGTTAAAGGATCAAATTTGTTGGTATCCAAAGGAAGGTCTTTTCACAAGGAAGTATAAAAGTCCGAGCACCAATTGTTCAAATTCATGGCCAAGGTTTAAGTTTGGTAAAATTTTGCAAAACTGGGTAAAACTCCAAGGTCAAAAATGATGGTACCCAAAGAAAGGTCTTCTCACAAGAAATACACATGTGAAATATGAAAGCCAAAGCTTCAACCAATCAAAAGTTATTGGCAATGTTAAAGTTTTTGCGGACAAACAGACAAATCGACAGACAGGTGGACGGACAGGGCAAAAACTATATATACCCCCGAATCTTCGATTACGGGGGCATAAAAACAGTAGAAAGTTACTGAGCACATAATTATATTTAATCATGGTTTTAACATATTTCATTGTAATTCATAATAACAAAAGGATTGGGCACAAGTTCTGAAAACTTCTCTTCTGAAAACCTCTCCCTATCATCTAAATTGTCACAGTTATACATGAAGTTTTAAAGTTTTTAAAATTCATAGTATTTGCAAAAATTTTCAAACCGATACATTTTGTAGATACATTTAGATATATGTAGTTTTATATATATACATATATTGGTATATTTATTAATACTAACAAGGAAATCTACCAGAATGTTAAATGAATGTTTGAAGAAAAGAGAAGAGACGTTTATTCTCTGCAGCACTCAATGGATCTATCCCTCATAATAAGACCTGTATCTTAAATGTGGATTTTGTCAACTTAAAAGTAAAAAATTCTTTTCTGGATTTCACACACTTTGGAATAAAAAAAACAAGATGTGTTCGTGAAACACTAGTACTGATGCCCCCATATGACAAATTATAGCAAAGGTTAAACTTTCTCAAATGCAAATCAAATATATTGGTACCCAAAGTTAGGCCTTGTCTCGAGGAATATACCTGTGAAATATGAAAGCCCAAACAGCAACCATTGAATATATATATGGAAAAGGTTAAAGTTTTTTTCAAAAGTAAGTCAAGCATCATGGTCAAGGTCAAATGGTAAAAATCAATGGTGCCCAAGGAAAGGCCTTCTCACAAGGAATACACGTGAAATATGAAAGCAAGCCGTAGCACAAATCGTTCAAAAGTTATGACCAAGGTTAAAGTTTTTCAAAAGTAGATCAAACTCAAGGTCAAGGTCAATTGATTACAATTGTTGGTATCCAAAGGAAGGTCTTGTCACAAGCAATAGACAGTTTAAATATGAAAGCCCTGGAACCAACTGTTCGAAAGTTATGTCCAGGGTCAAAGTTTTTCAAAAGAAGGTCAAACTTCAAGATCAAGGTCTAAGGGTCAAATTTGTTGACATCCAAAGAAAGGTCTTGTCACAAGGATTACATATGTGAAGTATAAAAGCCCTATCACCAACCGTTCAAAATTTATGGCCAAGATTAATGTTGGGTAAAAGTTTGCAAAAGTAGGTCAAACTCCAAGGTCAATGTCAAAGGGTCAAATTTGTTGGTAATCAAGGGAAGGTCATGTCACAAGTAGTACAAATGTGAAGTATGAAAGCCTTAGCACCAACCGTTCAAAAATTATTGCCAAAGTTAAAGTTTTTCAAAAGAGTGTCAAACTCCTACGTCAAGGTCAACGTTGTTGGTATCCAAAGGAAGGTCTTGTCATAAGGATTACACATGTGAAGTATGAAAGCTCTAGCACCAACCGTTCAAAAGTTATGGCCAAGATTAAAGTTGGGTAAAATTTTCAAAACTGAGTCAAACTCCATGGTCAAGGTCAAAAGGTAAAATACGATGGTAACCAAAGAAAGGTCTTGTCACAAGGAATACACACGTGAAATATGAAAGCCATAGCTCCAATCAATAGTCATGGGCAATGATAAAGTTTTTGCGGACAAACAGACAGACAGACAGGTGGACGGACAGGACAAAACTATATACCCCCAAATCTTCGATACGGAGCATAAAAATAATATTTATCCACTACTCTACCACACGAGCACAGAGGACTTGATATTAATTGCATCTGTAGAGGTCATTATTCAATACACAATTATGTCGAAGTCTGGATCGAAGAACATCAAGTCGTCTGATACCACATGTAAAGTACGGTGGTGGAACAGACCTTCAATACTAATTATAGATTTAAAATATGACATTGATTGTAAATTTCTAATTTCAAGTGGAACAGAGTTCCATTCGTTAACTACAGTAGGAATATATTTCATCATGTCATAAACGCTGCAAAACAATTAAGCATGTTTTTTTTAATCAACTTAATTTGAAAGTATGTTTACAATACACCTGTACTATACATTTATATACCTCATACAAAATGAATATTACAAATAAACACATAATGCATACGTGCAGGCATATGACACCAGGGGCGGACAGACGATTTTTTTTCCGAGGGGGGAGGGGGGGAGGCACATCAACTTAACAAATGTCAGTCTCATCAGAAGAAAAAATAAAAACTTGCACAAACTTGAAAATCCTATTTCGTAAGGAGTGGGGGTGGGGTAAGTGAAATAAATTTCTTCAGAGAGATATCTCCTTTCCATATTAAGAGGGGCTCGTGTTTTCGGGAGAGGGGGTGGATGGGGGGTGTCCAGAGTAAGTTTTTCGTTGTTTTTTTTTTTAATCGAAATTTAAGTTTCATAATCCCTCTGTTCACTCATATAATATATTTGAACGTCTAAGATTTAAAAAAGAATGTACTTTATTTTTAAAATTGCAAAATTTTAGCACACCTTGCGGGACAAAATTGAACAAAAATCATTTCAACTTCACTAACTTATAAATCATAATCATCACAGGAGACCTCCGTGCAAAAGTTGGAAATGATAATGTCGGTCATGAAAAAGTCATGGGGAGGCATGGCTGTGGAAGTATGAATGAGAACGGTGAATACGTGGAGACAGCATCATGGTCGTTGGTGGAACACTGTTTCAGCATAAGGAGATACACAAACTCAAATGGGTGTCACCTGGAGGGAGAGATAAAAACCAAATCGACCACATTGCTATCAATGAAAAATGGAAAGGATCTTTACAGGATGTGAAAGTGAAGCGTGGGGCTGATGTTGGAAGTGATCAGCATCTTGTTACTGCCAACATAAAGCTCGAACTGATGAAAGTAGCGCCAAAAAGCAACAGTAGGCGAATAGATACAGGCAATCTAAGAGAAAACAAGACAAGACTTTAGATTAGATCTCAAGAACAGATATGACAAGAGAAGCCGAGAAAGCTGTTAATGAACAAAGAATGGGGGATCTCCATCAAATAACGAAAAAGTTGAGTGGAAAGGAAAAAAAAAGCATGCCTGTGAAAGACAAGCAAGGCAACCTCATTACATCCGAAAGAGAACAAGATGAAAGATGGAGAGAAGAGCATTTGAAGAACTGTTTAATCGCCCAGAGCCTAACGAGCTGGCACATATACAGGAAGCTGACACTGATTTAGAAATTAAAACAGAGGAACCATCTAAAGCTGAAATATACAAAGCAATAACATCCCTTAAAAACAACAAAGCACCTGGAAATGACCAACTGTCTTAAAGCAGATCCAAACATAGCAGCTGACATATAACACCCATTATTCACCAAGATCTGGAATAATACAATACCTACGACATGATCCAAAGGAAATATCAAACTGCCAAAGAAAGGAGATCTAACTAACTGTAATAACCGGAGGGGCATCACCTAACTATCAATACCTAGTAAGATTTTCAACAGAATAATATCTTCAGAATTAAGACTGCAGTCGATGCCAAAATAAGACAAGAGCAAGCAGGTTTCAGGTAAGGAAAAACCTGTTGTGAGCAGGTATTTACCCCAAGAAACATTATAGAGCAATGCACAGAGTGGCAAAGGCACCTTATAATCAAATTATCGACTTTGAAAAAGCCTTTGACAGTATTCACAGAGAAAGCTTATGGAAGATCTTAAGGCATTACGGAATACCATCAAAGATAGCTGAACTGATTAAAGCGTTTTACTTGGAGTTTTATTGCTCTTTAGGCAGCTCATCAGATGCATGCTTCATAGTAAAATCTGGCGTGAGGCAGGTCTGTGTGATGTAAGCTCTTCTTTTTATACTAGCAATAGACTGGGTAATAAAATCAACTCTTAGTGGCGACAACACAGAAATAAGATGGACTCTTTTTACCAGTCTTGAAGACCTAGACTACGCAGATGACTTGGCCCTACAGTCACACCTAGAAAAGCATATGCAACGTAAAACATCAAAATGACAGAGTAACGCAGAAAAAATTGGACTGAAAATCAATATTAAAAAAAATGAAGTTATGTCATTAAATACCAAACAACCAGCAAGAATACAGGTAGGTGGAAATAACCTGAGCAACACAACATCATTTACCTATCTTTGAAGCATAGTAACCTCAGATGAGGTGCGGACAAATATATAAAGGCCAGACTAAGTAAAGCTAGGGGTGCCTTCATCAGCCTCAAGAGCATCTGGAAAAAAATGATATAAGTAGAAGGACAAAAATAGGAATCTATAACAGCTGCGTCCTGTCTGTCCTACTCTATGGGGCAGAATGCTGGAGAATGACAGAAGGAGACATATGCAGACTTTCTAGTTTCCACAATGGATGCCTCAGAAGGATCATGAGGATTTTTTGGCCAAATAAAATAACCATTGTGGAGCTCCATGAAAAAGCAAACACAGACGATATGAGAACTTTATTGACAAAACGGAGATGGCAATAAATAGGGCATGTGTTAAGAAAATCAGCCAACAACATCACCAAAGTAGCAGACACCAGAAGGGAATAGGAGACCTGGTCAATCAAAGAACACCTGGCGAAGGACTGTGGAAAAGTGTTCAAGACATAGAGAAGTAAAGAAGTCTAGTCCTTGCCCTATATGCCCCCGGGCATAACAAGGAATAGGTAGATAGGTAACTTATAAATGATTAAAAGACATTTATCCCTTTAGGAGTTATTTCTCTTATCAGAGTATCAATGATCCTTAAGAATTCTGAAAATTCCAGGGGGAGGGGTCCATAACCCTCATGTATACTTTGTATATACCCCCCCCCCCCAAAAAAAAAAAAAATTGGCATTCTTCAGTTTCATTTTTCAACTCTGGGTCCAATACGAGTAAAAGAAGAGTTAGCGTTGTACATGTATATAGAATCAAAATTAATATTCAGAAGTTTCCTCATTAACAAAGTTGGAAACATAATTTTTGTGGGTTTTCCTGCTCCCTCTTGCACATGAGCTTTGTCCAGCGATGACTTGTAAATGCTTTCCAACGACCGTACAATTTGAAATTGAAATGATAAATTCAGTACTGATAAATAAATTTAATTAATAATTCGTGTACGTCTTTTATTATTTTGTTTTGTCATCATTAATACGTATTGAAATATATAAGAATCATGTGTAGTAAAGGGAGATCTACCTCTAGAAAGAGAAGTCTGCGAATAATCATTCTGAAAGAAGATTTTTCATATCCATTTTTACATGCTTTCTGCCGTGTCAGTTGCCTGCGACTTTGTTTTCTCCATTTTCCAAGTTTTAAAACTCTTTGAAATCAACTGGAATGCAAACGCAAAGAAAATAAATACACCTTGTGTACCAGTGCTGAGAATGTGCAAGTACGAAAACACTTGAATCTGGAAAATTTGATGAAAAAATCCGAACAGCCACGCCCCCCCAGTGAGTGTAGACAATCTACAGAAAATAAGAACCATGCGTCGGTCATTGTCTAGGAGCAACGATGCGCTACGTCTTATCTTGATTCTACGGGCTGTCATTATAACCATAAAGATATTAAGGACGACCATTACTGCTAAAGGCAAAGCAAAGGTGTAAAAGATCATTTCCGGTTTAGAGATGTAACACGTGAACATTGAATACCCATAACTATGGTTTGGGAATACAAGAAAACTTATCAGTACATTCAACGATACCATGGAAAATGGGAAAAAGAAACTGCAAAACATATTCCAGAGAAACTTTTTCCTCGTAGGAGGAGTTTCTAGTTTTGTTAACCGGGTGGTCGTAAACATACGGAAGAAAGAAAAACAGGAAGACGTCATCCACGTCATAACTGATAGCCAAAGGAAGTGGGTAATGGCGCCCACAGTCATGCAGAGAATGGATGAGAAGGGTGAGACCGTAGAAAGAAAGTAGAAGATGTTAGCTAGTAACAAATGTATAGATGTAGAGACAACATTTAACCCATAAAGATGTTTGATTTCGTCATGTATAATAAGTGTCACCACTGACCCAATACATCCGAATGAGGATAAAGATAGGCAAATCATCGACAAAACTCTTTCTTCTGTAAACGATTTCAATGATATGGAGAAGGCTGCATTCATTCCCTGCACATACTGATCCACACAGACCTCCACCTTAGCTTTATCTGGCGATTCCGTGAAGTACTCTGATTTAACACAAAAATTATAATCGACTAAACAGAGTGTTAATTTGGACACAATAACTTTGGTTTGACTTTTGTGTATTGTTACTCTTGGACACAAAGTAACTGGAGCTAAGACTGACCGCATATATCTATCAACATTTAAAATACTTACAATTTTACCCGGAATAGTCAATTGTGGATACCATAAGTCGGCAGAAAAAGGATTCTGGAAGAATTTTACGACCTGGCCTGATAAAAACATAGGGTAATATTTTGAACTAAATGATTGGCCAATAATTTCAATTTTGAAAGTCTTGGATAACGAGGACGAGAAGCGAAATATATCAATGAGATTTTCCATATATTTTTTGTGATTGTGAAGTTCTTTAACTTTCAATTCTACATACACGGCAATATAAAAATCAGAATCTTCTACAGAATTACGGTATCTGTCATCTTCGTTAGACATGCTATGAAGAACAGTCATATGCCTCTGAATGTCGTTATTCCTCAGTAGTTCATCTAAAATCGCAGAGAGAGCTCCAAGTACAGTTGTGTTCGTATCTCTTCTGTGTGGTGTAAATATCAAGTTGATTTCATAAAAGTGATGGTCTATCATTTTGTGAATTGGAACACATTCATTGTTTTCATACATCAGACTTGACCCGCAATTTATTTGAAGACATTTCCTCTGAAAGATAAACAAAATGAATTTATAAAAATCAAAATTTACAAGGATCTCAATATTGTGCAAATTCATTTTTTTTTTCAAATTATGGCGCTTGTCTAAGGTGCAGCCACAACAGGGGGTCAGTGTATAACATAGGGATATACATGAATATTTGAAATATATCATCGCAAGAGCATGCAGCAGGGCAAGTCAATTTCGGTAAGTCAAAAATAATCTGCAAGCATCTCGCATGTAGTGTATATTCAATTTGCTTAAATTATGGTCCATGGGGCTACGAAAGATTTACAAAATACAGACTGTCAAAGAAGCAAGTTTTATACACCCTTGCAACGAAGTTGGAGGGGATAATACATGTGTACTTCCGTTACGCACAAACTCACCCACTCACTATAATTTACATCGAGATAGATGTGCTCTCGCGAGGGATGCTCGGCTTTGCGATGCTTTCATTATTTAATATAAACCACCATCGACTTAAATTTGATCTAAATTTAAAGATACTCCAGTGTTGTTGACCTCCTGCGTCTACACTTTATAGCCTTCTATTAGGACTTTCTTGAAAAAAGTACAAAATTCTATCAAAACAAATCTAATACACCTGTAGGAGGCGTACTTCGTGGCGATTTTTTTCTTGGAGGAAGATGGGGTAGCATGTCATACAAAAACAGTTGAACTTCGTTTCTCAAACACCAATATATCGATTACCAGTGATATATGTCGAAGTGAGTTGGCAGTCCCCACCTCGTTATCTTAAAGCTAAACACTACTCATAAATAGGCACCGTCACACAGGTATTTAAACCCTTAGATTTCGTTACACCAGATTACACACATGAAACTCGTGGCCGAGTTGTAGTATTCCTTTCGTGGTTTTAGATTTTGTGCATTTATCCCTTGTTTATGTGCAGTTTCTGTTTGTTAATAATGCATCGATTTGTATATTTGATGATACTTTTCTCCTGGCTCGGAAAAAGTGCGTAAAATTCAATAATTTCATCTCGACCGAGTAACACGACAATGCAAGATATACGCCCACCCAGCTGAGACCTCTACAGTGAAATACTTCGAACTGTTAATCAACTCCTTACTCCGCGACTCTAGAGCAGACGCTCTAACCACTGCGCCACGCGGGCGACCACTGAAACAGTGACTAAGTGAGCGGCTTTATATATGGATCCTCAGATATAGCGAGAGACGAAGCAAATATGACGGACACATTCCTTTTACGAATCATACTGTTTGCTTCGTCTCTCGCTATATCTGAGGATCCATATATAAAGCCGCTCACTTAGTCACTGTTTCAGTGGTCGCCCGCGTGGCGCAGTGGTTAGAGCGTCTGCTCTAGAGTCGCGGAGTAAGGAGTTGATCCTCACGTCGCGGGTTCGAATCCCACTGTGGGACGTGGAGACCGGTCCTTCGGATGAGACCGTATAAACCGAGTTCCCGTGTCGCAGTAGGTGCTGGCACGAAAAGGATCCCTCACTGCTCAATGGCCGTAAGTGCCGAGTATAGCACAAAATTTGTAGCTCTCCACCAGCGTCTCCATATGAGTGAAAAATTCTCGAGAGGGACGTTAAACAACATACAAACAAACAAACACTGTTCAGTGTAATCAATCGTCACTGGAGCAGACGGACGTATTCCTATACAGCACTCGGTAGCGACAAAAAATAACTGAGTACTTCTTCTTATGCAGGAGAGTAAGATACCAAAGAAACTTACAACAGTTGCACAGGTCAGTGCAGTATACAAACAAACACAAATACACGTTGCTGCAATAAAATGTAAACAAAGGGAATGCAAGATAACCAGCAAGAACACGGGTCGCCATTCCACGCCGATACCCGTGACAATAAAGCAGTCAGGTGTAACGAATGCGAAGAGTATACCCCGGTCCTGATATCGTACATCGAAAATGGCGTGTGCCTATTTACGAGTCGTGTTCAGCTTTAATAAGGGTTGTAGGGATAGCGTCGATGAAAGAGAAATATGGCGGGCAATGCCTTTTACGAGTAGTGTTCAGCTTTAATGTTATCGCGAATCTTTGGATATCTCGAAGTTTACTTTTGGTCCCGGCAAGTTCGAGATAACAAGGTTTGACTTCTTGAACTTAAAGAATTATATGAATTCATCAAAGAGATATTTTTACGAATGTTGCTTGAAAAGGAAAATAGCTTAGAGTCTTCATAGCTTTAATCAGTTAACAGGGCACAACAAATCAAGGAAATAATTCACTGAGTTGGATGAAATTATATCCAATCCTTTTGAATAATACAATAAAATATCTTCCAAACAAAATTATAAAATGTTGTCAATGTTTACACCAACCATACAAATACTCATTCGAGGACCGGACAAATTTTAAACGAAAATTCGCGAGTTTTGTTTGTAACAGACCAGATAATTTCAATTTAATACTAAATTTTTGAATGAGTAGAACAAGGAGGGTGGTTCATTTTCTGTAATTTAATATTTTAGAGGTGATTATTTTTAATTAATCATAGAAAGACATCAAACTCCAACTCTGTACATTATATAAATATTGCATGTAGTTGAGGCTAACATTGAAAATTTTCAACCCAGGAAAGTCATTGTGAACCGAGGTACAGCTGAGGTCGAGGGATGAAAAATTCAAAGGTTACCCTCAACTACATACAATATTTGTTATACTGATGAATGATTCGCCCTAACATGATGGAGGGCGTGATTTCGTCATTCAATGGGTATTAGTAATTTTTATCAATTTTTATGTTTTATTGTTTCTCGACCAATTACATTCAACTCACTCACATGAAAGTTTAATAAATGTATATATAGGTGGCTCTGTATAGTAGTTTTTTCCCCGAAGCGCATGACACGAAGTCTCGTTTTCTATAGCATCAGAAATATACCTTGCAAGGCCGTAACTAGACTCAATTTTTAGTGAGGCAAGGGAGGGATCTATAGGGGCCATCCAAGTCCCAAGCGGGTCCAGGGTAGAGTCCTGATGAAAGTTACCGGGGGGGGGGAGGGGGGGGGAGTTCCCTAAACCTGGATTTTAGCAAATTAAAGACTCAGTCTTTGAAAGTTTCACGCTTTAAATTTTTTCATGCGTTCTAAACTATAATGAAGCACCTGATGAAATGACGATTTAGAGAAACTGAAACATAAGTTGAGAGCATTAATTTAGTACAAAGACACCAATTAAGTTAAACTTTGTAGCTCACCTGAGCTGAAAGCTCAAGTGAGCTTTTCTGATCACATTTTGTCTGTAGTCCGTCTGTCTGTCTGTCTGTCCGTCCGTCTGTAAACTTTTCACATTTTCGACTTCTTCTCCAGAACCACTGGGCCAATTTCAACCAAACTTGCCACAAAGCATCCTTGGGTGAAGAGGGTTCAAGTTTTTCAAATGAGGGGCCACGCCCTCTTCCAAGGGGAGATAATTAAGAATTGGTGAAAATTTAGTGTCATCTTTTAAAAATCTTCTTCTCAAGAACCATTGGGCCAGAAAAGTTGAAACTTATGTGAAACCTTCATTACATAGTGTAGATTCAAGTTTGTTCAAATCATGACCCCCAGGGGTAGGATGGGGCAACAATGGGGAATCAAAGTTTTACTTTGGAATATATAGGAAAAATCTTAAAAAAAACCTTCTCAAGAACAACAAAGCCACAATTAGTCATATTAATATGGAATCATCCTCAGGTAGTGTAGATTCAAGTTTGTTCAAATCATGACCCCCAGGGGTAGGGTGGGGCAAGAATGGGGGATCAAAGTTTTACATAGGAATATGTAGGAAAAATCTTTAAAATACTTCTTCTCAATAAAAACATAGCCACAATTAATCATATTGATATGAGATCATCTTAAGGTAGTGTAGATTCAAGTTTGTTCAAATCATGACTCCCGGGGGTATAGGGTGGGGCCAGAATTGGACATTAAAGTTTTACGTAGGAATATATAGGAAAAATCTTGAAAAATCTTCTTCTCAAGAACAACAAAGCCACAATTAGTCATATTGATATGGAATCATCCTCAGATAGTGTAGATTCAAGTTAGTTCAAATCATGACTCCCAGGGGAAGGGTGGGGCCAGAATGGGGGATCAAAGTTTTACATAGGAATAAATATAGGAAAACTCTTGAAAAATCTTCTTCTCAAGAACAACAAAAACACAATTAGTTATATTGATATGGAATCATCCTCAGGTAGTGTAAATTCAAGTCTGTTCAAATCATGACCCCCGGGGTTAGGGTGTGGCCACAACGGGTGATCAAAGTTTTACATAGGAATATATAAGGAAAATCTTTAAAATACTTCTTCTCAAGAACAACATAGCCACAATTAGTCATATTGATATGAGATCATCTTAAGGTAGTGTAGATTCAAGTTTGTTCAAATCATGACTCCCGGGGGTATAGGGTGGGGCCAGAATTGGAGATTAAAGTTTTACGTAGGAATATATAGGAAAAATCTTGAAAAATCTTCTTTTCAAGAACAACAAAGCCACAATTAGTCATATTGATATGGAATCATCCTGAGGTAGTGTAAATTTAAGTTTGTTCAAATTATGACCCCGGGGGGTAGGGTGGGGCCAGAATGGGGGTTCAAAGTTTCACATAGGAATATATAGGAAAAATCTATAAAAATCTTCTTCTCAATAACAACAAAGCCACAATTAGTCATATTGATATGGAATCATCCGCAGGTAGTGTAGATTCAAGTTTGTTCAAATCATGACTCCCAGGGGAAGGGCCAGAATGGGGGATCAAAGTTTTACATAGGAATAAATATAGGAAAACTCTTGAAAAATCTTCTTCTCAAGAACAACAAAAACACAATCAGTTATATTGATATGGAATCATCCTCAGATAGTGTAGATTCAAGTTTGTTCAAATCATGACCCCCGGGGTTAGGGTGGGGCCACAATGGGTGATCAAAGTTTTACATAGGAATATATAGGAAAAATCTTTAAAATACTTCTTCTCAAGAACAACAAAACCACAATTAGTCATATTGATTTGGAATCATCCTCAGGTAGTGTAGATTCAAGTTTGTTCGAATCATGACCCCCAGGGGTAGGGTGTGGCCAGAATGGGGGTTCAAAGTTTCACATAGGAATATATAGGAAAAATCTATAAAAATCTTATTTTCAAGAACAACAAAGCCACAATTAGTCATATTGATATGGAATCATCCTCAGATAGTGTAGATTCAAGTTAGTACAAATCATGACTCCCAGGGGAAGGGTGGGGCCAGAATGGGGGATCAAAGTTTTACATAGGAATAAATATAGGAAAACTCTTGAAAAATCTTCTTCTCAAGAACAACAAAAACACAATTAGTTATATTGATATGGAATCATCCTCAGGTAGTGTAAGTTCAAGTCTGTTCAAATCATGACCGCCGGGGTTAGGGTGTGGCCACAACGGGTGATCAAAGTTTTACATAGGAATATATAGGAAAAATCTTTAAAATACTTCTTCTCAAGAACAACAAAACCACAATTAGTCATATTGATATGGAATCATCCTCAGGTAGTGTAGATTCAAGTTTGTTCAAATCATGACTTCCGGGGGTAGGTTGAGCCAGAATGGGTGATCAAAGTTTTACATAGGAATATATAGGAAAAATCTTCTTTTCAATAACAACAAAGCCACAATTAGTCATATTGATATGGAATCATCCTCAGGTAGCGAAGATTCATGTTTGTTCAAATCATGACCCCCAGGGGTAGGGTGGGCCAGAATGAGGGATCAAAGTTTATATACATGTAGGAATATATAGGAAAAATCTTGAAAAATCTTCTTCTCAATAACAACAAAGCCACAATTAGTCATATTGATATGGAATCATCCTCAGGTAGTGTAGATTCAAGTTTGTTCAAATCATGACCCCCGGGACTAAGGTGGGGCCACATTGGGGGATCAAAGTTTTAAATACATAGTAATATATAGGGAAAATCTTTTAAAATCTTCTCAAGACCAGCAAAGCCACAATTAGTCATATTGATATGGAATCATCCTCAGGTAGTGTAGATTCAAGTTTGTTCAAATCATGACCCCCGGGGGTAGGGTGGGGTCACAATGGGTCATCAAAGTTTTACATAGGAATATATAGTAAAAAATGTTTAAAATCTTCTTCTAGAAAACAACAAAGCCACTATTAGTCATATTGAATATGGAATCATCCTTATGTAGTGTAGATTCAATTTTTTATCAAATCATGACCTCTGAGGGTAGGGTGAGGCCACAATGGGAGATCAAAGTTTTATATAGGAATATATAGGAAAAATCTTTTCGAGAACAGGAAAGCCATGATTAGTCATATTGATATGGAAGCATCCAGATATTGTAGATTCAAGTTTGTTCAAGGCATCCTCCAGTAGTAGGGTGGGGCCATAATGGGGGATCAAAGTTTTTCAATAGAACATGTATAGGAAATATCTTTAAAAAATCTTCTCAAGAACAACAAAGCCATGATAAGTCATATTGATATGGAAGCATCCTCAGGTAGTATAGATTCAAGTTTGGTGACAGGCGATCAAAACTTTACATATGAATATATAGGAGGAAAATCTGCTGACGAAGAACAACAGGGCCATATTGACACAGGTGAGCGTTGTGACCCATGGGCCTCTTGTTTTCATTTTTCAGAAACTCTAAAATTTTAGTGAGACACTTGCCTCACTTGCCTCAATAGTAGTTACGCCCTTGCCTTGAACTGTGCTCTCTTATGCTAATAGGCTAGTAAAGGGACATTCATATTTCAGTCCGACCCGAGATGTTCCGTTAAATTGGAATTGGATTAATACAGAAACCCATTTTTTCGAGAAAAAGCTTATGGATAACCTGTAAGTTTACACCAAAGAAAAGTTTTCGGAAGAGTCATGCAGAGTTCGATAGAAAAATGTAAACTTTGTTTCAATCACATATAATCCAGAATACTGAAGTTTTTTTTTTAACCCGACTACATTTTTTTTTCAGGATGAGAGGGAAAAATAATGATTTGTTAGACAATTTGATCTCTATACGACCATGTTAGAAATCTGATCGTATCCTGAGCGATGCATCTCATTGTCAATATAAGTTTTGGGATTTGGCAAATACTTTTATTAGTCCCCTACCCGTGAAACCGGAGGGGACTATAGGTTTCCTCTGAGTCTGTCCGTCCGTCTGTCTAGCTGTCTGTCTGTCTGTCCCTCTGTCTGTCAGTCTGTCCCACCTGGTTTTCCGCACTTTTTTCCTAAACGCTTGCAGATATTGAGCTGATTTTTGGTATGTGAGTGTATTCTTGATGAGTTACAGATCAAGTTTGCATTTCGTTCCGCTTCATTGATTTTTGACGGAATTATGGCCTTTTCAATTTTTAAGGGTTTTCCGCAATTTTCTTCTAAACGCTTTCAGATATTGAGCTGATTTTTGGTATGTGACTTTACCTTGATTAGTTATAGATCAAGTTTGAATTTCGTTCCGCTACATTGATTTTTGACGGAATTATCATGACATTTTCCATTCTTAACGGGAACCAGATTACACTTGCCGGTAGGGGACTAGTATTGCTAATGCAATACGCTCAGAATGCTTGTTTGTCTTAATATAAACGGAAGAAAGAATATGAAGATTATGCGTATGTTGAGGAAGACTATTCTGAATTACTTGCCATCAGAGGATCATATATTTGCTGTTCAGGACACTCCCTGGGTTGGGCATCTTTCTTAGAATAGCTTCCACTGAAATCAAGCAATGCCGAGAATGAAAATTTAATAGTTCCAATCGAAAAATCGTCATCACACTCTATAGCGAGATCTTTGGTCCAATTCTTAACGTTACACATTGCACAGTATATGTTCTTGAAAGTTTGATGAGTGTTTATGGGTTTGCAGTGAGTATACGGGCTAACATAATCCATGTGACATCCTCTTTCTGTCTCTGAATCAAATTTCTCCCAATCTTTCGAACCATTGCATTTTTTCTCTAGCATGTTATCGGTATAACATTTTCTGACTTTATCTTCCATAATATTCGACGGGGGTAAAAAATCTACGTTACAGAAGGGTGATGGTACAAACAGTTTTCTCTGTAATTCTTCCTCGGAAGTGATCTGGAAAGTGTCTTTTGCCTCCTTGCAGAAAAGCCTTGTCGTCCATGCCAGCAACGTCTCGGGAGGTTCTTCATTGCAAAGAGCACAGTCGCGATTTTTAAAGGTTTCGTTCGATCGCAAAGAAGTTACAGGTTGGGCCCTACGATAATCACGTTCATCGTTTTCAGATTCTTGGCATTTTCGGACAATTTCAGCGTCGACAAAATGGTCTGGACATGAAGAAATCATAAAGTATCCTTGCTCGACGTAAAATTTTTCATGAAGTACGGCTTTTCTACATACTAATGGAATGTTATCATAGCGTGAGGGCTTTGAAACTCTGTGATCCAAATATGTTATAAAATTAGGGGTACTGTTTTTACTTTGTACGTAATTTCGCCAAGGACAGCAATTTTTTTTTCGGAAACATTCATCACTGCAGCTACACAAAGAACAAGAGTGAATTTTTTGTTCGTATGTGTAGTTTCTCTTAAATTTATCTCCGAAACACATGTCCTGATTGGGACATAAAAGCAGGTGCGAGGACATGTACGTCTTTATTGTCTCGTTCTGTATCCAACTGGTCATGTTTTCCACCAAAGCTTTCTCTTCTGCTGTGGGTATACGTATTTTGATCTCTAATAGGACAGTCGGCCAAAAAAGGCTTGCATGGATCAAAGTACAGAACAAAAGCAACGTTCTTGTTCCGTAATAGGAAGTCTGAAGAAAAAAAAATGAATCTTCTTTTAAGCCGAATAATAACCCCTGTCGAATATAACTGCAGAACTGTAGCTCTCTGGTTTAGAAAATATATAAGATAATTTAAAAAAGAATTCCTATATTCCCTTTTTTCTTATTCATGGGCTGTGAAGGGTCCAAAATAATTTTACTAGTTTACCATGAAATAAGTCGCCCGCGGTTAGAGCGTTTGATTTAGAATCGCGTATATAGTAAGGATTTGATTGTTACGTCGTGGGTTCGAATCACACTGCGTGACATGGAGACCGGTCCTTCGGATAAGACCGTATAAACCGAGGTCCCGTGTCGCAGTAGCTGCTGGCAGAAAAAAAGATCCCTCACTGCTCAATGACCCTAAGTGCCGAGTATAGGTCTAAAATTCGCAGCCCTCCAATTTGTGGCGTCTCGGTATAAGTGAAAAATTCTCGAAAGCAAACAAACCATGAAATAAAACAAGCTTTTACCACTTATGGTGATATGAAGCTTGGTCTACAAGATTCTATAGACAACAATCACCATCATTGGATACCTTTTTGTATTTTGTGACAATTTTTATTACATTATGTAAAGTTCCACATTTAACATGGCAGTTCTGTTATGTCTTATAGCCAAAGAAGTCTCACAACCTTATTCATCCAAACACTGATTAGAAAGGGGTGATTTGATTAACAAGTAAAAAGGACTACTTACCATTTCTGGGCCTTACGGAGACGTTTACCTTTATGTGAACATCTGTAAATAACCCCTTACTCTGGAGTTTGGGTTTAGTCTGAAGTGTCTTCTAGAGTGGGTCCCCTTTTATCTGTTTTTCCTGATTTCACTGACAGCTTGATATTAACTTTCTTGCATAACTTTCTGAAAACATGCTGATTTGGTGTTAATTAAATACCTCAAAGAATTATTTGGACACTTTGTTTGCTAAGAAAGTTGACGAAAACCACGCTTCTTCCGAAAATTGTTTTTTGTTCGCTACATAGTCACTCTTGGGTCACATTGCAGATTGGAAATATCCTATTTCACTCTGCTTATCAAATATGATATTCTTACTTATAATGCTGCCTTCCTGATAAAGCTTCACCAATCGATCTAAATCGTGAGTACATCAAAATACATGCACATTCAACATATGATAGCTAACAGTAAGACGATCGTTTTCTATTTCTTTTTTAATTTTCATTCGATCAATTTATGACGTGGTGTCATGCGTTACCAAGTGAAACGGTATTAATTGGTACACATCTCAATTTTCCTATCTTCATTGTTATTATTATTAATTACTGATTACAGTGATGAGGGTGTTCATCCGTCTGTCTGCATGTCCGTCCATCCGTTACGCTTTGGGGTACCCATGTCTTATCCGCAACTCCCCTTATACCACTGCATAAAATTTCATGAGACTTCACAGAACCTTTGATACATAGTGCGATTGTGCACCTCCTATTTTACTTTTTGATTGGACACATATTTCGTGTCACTAATAGCAAAACAAAGACACTGCCATTCTTTCATCTTTTTCCATCTTTTATCCTCAGCTCCTCATATACCACTGATTATTATGATATTTTCACAGAATTTTTATTACATAGTGCCATTGTGCACCTCCTATTTTATTTTTTGATCGTACACTTATTCCGGCTCTCTTAACATGGACTTTGCCATTTTAATCATATGGGAGGTGGAGGTATCAGTTTGTGAGCTCAATGTAGTTTTATATATATATATATATATATATATATATATATATATATATATATATATATATATATATATATATATATATATATATATATATATATATATATATATATATATATATATATGTGCTAGTGCTGTTCGGCCAGTAAACTATTCTTGTACTTAAGCTACACTTCAGAACAAGCGAAAGAATAAAGGTAATTAAAACTTACTCTCGTTTTTTTTTTAAATTCAATCTGCAAAACTACACAGGCCCGTAGGAAGCAATTTCAGTTTGGGGGGGCACAGCCAAACATTTTTCAGTTGACAGTTGAGGGGGCACTACCAAAAATTTTCTGACAAGCAAAAAAAAAAAAAAAAAGGTCGTCAACTACCAAATATTCCTTGACAAGCAAAAAAAAAAAAAAAAAAAAAAAAAAGGTCATCAGGCGGTTTTATTGAGGGGGCACATGCTTATAGTATCTATGTTTACTATAGTAATCTATATATCGGCAAAATTATTGGGGGGGGGGCACGGCCCCCCCCCCGTGCTCCCCCGGTTCCTACGGCCATGTATATATATATATATATATATATATATATATATATATATATATATATATATATATATATATATATATATATATATGTATGTATATATATATATATACTGACATGTCTAGTAACATCATAGTATATCAGTATATAGGTCCCTGATATAACTCCATTTCATGAATGACAGAAATAAAATCTGACATTTCAGTTATATTGTTGATAATATTGTCCTACTTGTTATTCTAACTAGAAGTAAAATGTAACTGTCCTAGGAGCATGAACATGATGAAGCAGTCCTTGACTTTTATTAAATATATAATAAAGATTATTATTATTATATTTTATGAAAAGTTTTTAAAGAGTTCTGTCTCTTTGTTGATAATTTTACCGCCGAAACATCATTTTTCAAAATCATGTGATTGACCACGTGATTCTTATCAGTTCAAAATGGCAGAAGGGTCAAATCGTGGCAATTTGCATGATCTGGCCAGTTCGTCGTCGCCGAAAGAAAACAGTGTTTATAACTTGGTGCAAACAAGGAAAAAACACATAGAAAATCCACCACGTGATAGAAACAACACCAGACCAGCGATGGAGATAGGCCCATTTGTCAGTGCTGAGGTCGATAAGGCAGTAGATAGTTTCAATGTAGAAACGTCAAATCATATGTGGTCGAGAGAGGCGGAGCGTGACGATTTATTGTTTCAAGATAGTGACAGCGATAACGAATTTGTATGGGATAGTGCACGTGGTTCTACGATGCCTAAACTCGACTTACTGGAAAATGCACAGCAGGAAAACCCCGAGACAGAAATAAATGATAGACTCATTAGAAACAATTTTGATTCAAGGGAAAATGACAGACTGCTATCCACGTATTCTGATGGACTTTACAGTGAATATAATGGTCATCAGAACGGAACTGTGGTTCAGATGGAGGAGGAGGATTCAATGTGGCACTGTCATCAGGACACACCTGCACAGGTAGACAGGGTGGCCAGGAATCAGCTAATTGCCATCAGTGTCATCTGTGTTATCTTCATGATAGGGGAAATTATCGGTATGTATATTGCCTGTACTGAATATATAAGGCTAAACTGTCCTGACACAACTATTGTTTGCTTTTTTTTAATTTGTCATGACAAAAGTTGTGATGTATATACGTATATGCAAATTAATAATTATAATTATGTTATTCATGCAGATTTTGGACTTAGGTGAACAGAATATGCATGGAATTATTAAATATGTAGATAATGTAAATATATAGGCTACATGTGAGATGAATGTACACTTCAATTTTGCTTTTATTCATAACATGTTTCAAAGAGCAGGAATGATGTGCAGACAGCAATGGTCATTAGCCTTAGGCCAGACACTCGTGACTGACGGACATATTTTTGTGGCACACATGAATTAAAATGATCATATGTCATATGTGAAATCAAAATAAGCTCAATCTGACTAGCCATGCAACAATAATTTATATTTTAAAAAAAAAAAGGTATTTTTTATTAGTAATAGTAATGGTAAAGACTAATTCTATATATCTAAGGAACATTTGACTGCCAGGGATTATAGCCCTTTATATTATTATAAAAATACAAAAAAACTAGCTTTTCCTGTAAAGGTTTTGATCCACTTTTAGGTGGTGTGTTTTCACATAGTGTTGCCTTGTTTACTGATGTTGCTCACCTGGCTAGTGATCTCATTAGCTTCCTCATAAGCTTATTGGCTCTCTACCTTTCAACAAAACCAGCCACAAAGAGGATGTCCATGGGATACTACAGAATAGGTAGGTTTAGTTTATAGTATTGTTGGAGACATAGAGTTTTCAGTCATAGGTCAACTTCAACTAATATTGTGATTGACACATCAATTATATTCATTAAGCATGATATGTATCCATCCACTGTAAACTTTAACATGTTTCTGGTATAAAGATTCTTGGACTAGTTTTTATCAGAAGAAATTCACCATAAATTGATGCTTTGATTCAGCAGTGTGTTATTTATTGCTATTAACTAAACAGAAAAATAATATTTGGAGGAAATAATTCATTCTAGTTACTTGCAGATTTTATCATCACCTGTCAGGGGTGTGCATTTACAAAAATTAGTTACTAGCCCGTCGGGCTAGTGGCAGTAACAAAGTTACTAGCCCAAGGTTGCCAGTGACTAGCCCATTAACTACTGAAAACAATACATGTATAAGTATCACCAAAAAATTTAAAAAAAAAAACATTTAAGTTGAAATAAATAAAACAAATAATGGTTTGCGCTTTGTTATTGTCAGGTACTTCTCCCTATTTTTATCGACTATAATTGTCTTTGAAATGACTGGCGATAACACACACAATACATATAGGTTAAAACGAATTAAAGATAATGATTATATAACAAAGTTAATTCGTACAACAATTCAGTCAACGTAAATATACGTAATACTTTTGTTTTAGATTTACGAGCCTGACAGGCTAACGCAGTATAGATTTACGATAGCCCGACCTCTGAAATTGGTAGCCCCGGGCATTGGGCAATGGTAATTGCACACCCCTGTCACCTGTAATGATTTGGGGTTTTTTTTCCTATAGAGGTACTTGGAGCCCTGATCAGTATTTTGATGATTTGGTTGGTCACTGGGGTTCTATGTTACACAGCTGGTAAGAGGATTGTCACAGGAGACTACACTTCCGTGGAGCCCACCTATATGCTGGCTACTGCTGTATCAGGAGTTATATTCAATGTCATGTAAGTATAATTAGGGTTTGAAACAATTCACCAAAATATCGATATTGTTCAATATTATTCCTTGGTTCAATGTTCGATTCACTGTCTCAATTTTCCGTTCGGTATGTTTTTTTTATAATCGGGTTTGGTTATTCCTTGAAATAGATCGGGTTCTACCTCATTTTAATAGTTTGACACACACGAGGGAGAAAATTGTGATGGAGAAAGTTTCAGAGCAGGCTGCCACTGCTAGTATTGACATGAACAAAGTGCTCTTTTAATCTGCAGAAGCACAAGTAGTGCTCTTTATTGTATCACCACCTTTTACTTGCCTTTTGAAATCTGAATACATGTTTTCTGTAACCTTACGATTTGTTTCTTTTTAAAAATGTATTGAAAAAATTGAATTGTGACACAAGTATCACAATACGTACCATAGCTTGGAGGGGGCATATCGTTTCAGGTATAATAAACTTTTCGAATGTGATTCATCTCTTTATTCATTATGACAATTAAATTCACAAAAAGTCCATTTTTATCCTTTTATGATTCTATAATTTTATAAATTTTCTTAAGCCATGTACAGCATTGTGTGAATTTAGACTTGTCCTTTAGACCTCAGTAAGATTTTTATTTCCTTGTTAGTTTGCTTTACATTTCTTTGAGAACATCTCACTTGTTGGGATGCCACCAGTTGCTGAATGCTTCATATGGGCACTTATGGCCATTGAGCAGTAGGGATCTTTTTACTGTCACATTATGTAATGCAGTTGGGCAACCTTGGTATTTGGTTTCATCCAAAGCACTGTTTGCCACATCTGTCAGTTGGATTTCAACCCACACCATAAAGATCATCTCCCTTCTTCATATTTCTAGAACAAAACATTTAAACCACTGTACAGTAAAACTGTAGAACTCAGGTCCTGTGTCACTTGTATGCATGACATGAAAAAGAATCAATCTATGTAGGATCATACTAATCTTTTTGGTGCACCTGAGCTGAAGGCTCAAGTGGGCTTTTCTGATTGAAATTTGTCTGTTGTCTGTCATTGTCGGCATTGTGGTAAACTTTTCACATTTTCATCTTCATCTCCAGAACCACTGGGCCAATTTCAACTAAACTTGGCATAGAGTATCCTTTGGTAAAGGGGATTTAAGTTTGTTTAAATGAGAGGCCAATCTTTCTTCCAGGGGGGAAGTCAAGAAATGGTGATAATTGGGGTGGGGTAATTTAAAAATCTTCTTCTCAAGAACCAATTGGCCAGAAAAGATGAAACTCACATGAAAGCTTTCTGGGGTAGTGTAGATTCAAATTTGTTCAAATTATGACCCCTGGGGGTAGGGTGGGGCCATAATGGGCCATCAAGGTTTTACATAGGAATATATAGGAAAAATCTTTAAAACTCTTCTTCTCAAAAACAGAAAAGTCATGATTGATCATATTTATATGAATCGAAGCACTCTCAGGTAGTGTAGATTCAATTTTGTTCAGATCATGACCTTTGGAGGTAGGGTGGGGCCACAATGGGTGATCAAAGTTTTACATTGGAAAAATCTTTAAAATTCTTCTTCTCAAAAACAGCAAAGTCATGATTAGTTATATTTATATGGAAGCATCCTCAGGTAGTGTAGATTCAAGTTCATTCAAATCATGACCCCCAGGGGGGAAGGGAGGGGGTGTGTAGGGTGGGGCCATGATGGAAGATCAAATTTTAAATAGGAATATATAGGAAAAAATCTTCTTCAAGGGAACAGCAAAGGCATGATTAGTCATATTTATATGGAAGCCTTCTTAGTGTAGATTCAAGTATTCGAATAAGAACCCAAGGGCATAGGCTGGGGCCACTATGGACCATCAAAGTTTTACATAGGAGTAGTGTATGTGTACTTTAAAAGCGGGCTTCATATTTTAGCGGCTTTGGCACAGAGAACAATGCGCTAATTCATGAATACTGCTAAGAAATCATTTATAAATACAATATACAGCACGGAGATTTATAGCGCTAATTCATGATTTCGCCAACAACTCCATACCCAGTGATTGCGCTAAATTTTGAATACGCCAATTTATGTACACGTACAGTATATAGGAAAAATCTTTAAAATTCTTCTTCTCAAGAACAGTAAAGCCATGATCAGTGATATTGATATTGAATCATCTTCAGGTAGTGTAGATTTTAATTTGTTCAAATCATGACCACCAGGGGTTGGATGAGAGCCACAATGAGCACTCAAAGTTTTACATAAGAGTATATAAGAAAAATCTTTTAAAGTCTTCTTCTTTAGAACAGCTTACTGCTAAGCCATGTTTAGTCATATTTATATGGAAGCATCCTCAGATTCAAGTTTGTTCAAATCATGATACCTTGGGGTAGTGTGGGGCTGGGGGTAGGGTGGGGCCACAATATATTATCTTAATTTTACGTAGGAATATATAGGGAAAAAATCTGCAGGTAAGGAAGAACAGAATGGCCATAGTTACTCAGGTGAGCAGTGTGGCCCATGGGCCTCTTGTTTGTTTTTTTTTTCTGGAATTATTTTCTTTTTTGAAAGTTTAAAACTGGTTTAGGCTTTTGTGTGTAAAAGATGGTTTTGAAAAAAAAAAACTAGCTAACATTGTTTTGGATGTTAAAGAAGAATTGTTTATATTTTTATATCTGTATTAAGAGCTGGTTTCACTTATAAATCCTAACTTTAAGATAACAAAGTCAGTTGATTTTAAATTCATTTCCATGCAATATAAAATGTTTGTCTAGAATTGTTTCTAAAACAAAGGATCAAAAAGGGTGTGGCTTCTGCTGATGAAAATTGGATTGATCTTGTATTTAAGAATATGAGGTGTACATGTACTTCGGTTTGGATGTTTTTATTTCTACCAGGTTGGTTTGATAAGAGGCCTCCCCAGTCTTCCTGAAACTGCTTTAGACTGCACAAGTTATTGATAGAAGCATTCATGTTATTCTGAAATATGTAGAGCTAACTGTCCTTCACTGATAAAAAAAAAAAAATAGATGGCTATCTGAGAGACACAAAGCAACCAGGAAGCATATTAAACAGAAATTTTGTTTATGTATGTTATTGAATAAATGTACCTGTTAGGAAGGCCAATATTACCTGAAAGGCAGATATTGTTACATTATATCCTGTTGGGGAATGAACAGGTTGTTGAATAAACTTGTTGAAATCCTGTTAGACAACAGTGTAGCATCAGATTTGAACATTATAATGGTAAATGCTGTTGCTTGTTGCAAATTTTATGCATGTACCATTTTATTATCTTACCTATTTCCAACATTCCATGACAGAAGAATATTTAAATGATTGTTTGAATAACAGATTTTATTTCCCCACTTTTAAATGAATTTGGCAAGAAAACCCATGTTTGCTAAGATTCTTTCAAAGGTATATTGTAATGAACGGAGGTGCGCAGTTGATGTATCATATGTCAGGTGTCAGCACTCCTTAAGGTTAATGATTTCTTCAGTTCATACGTAGAGTTATTTACAAAGAAATCTCAAACTGTGATTAAGTGTGTCAATGTGTGCTTCATGTGGTTCATTCATCTCTTTAGAAAAACTATATTCATAGAGAGGGGGTGGGGGTGGATGGGGTATTCTCCCAATGTTTGAAAGAAATTAGTGTTGAATATTCATAAATTTGACTAAAATCATGTGTTACAGTGTGCGATTATAGACCACAGAACCTCGATCTCACAAGCAAAACAAGGTGACTGATGAAGTTTAATAGAAACATCAATATGGGTGTTCAGCCTGCCATAGTGTCACCAGCATGTTACCAAATTTCACCGTGAAACTGTAAACAATTGCGCAATATCAATAAACTTCACCGTGAAACTATAAACAATTACATAAAATTCAATATACATAAACACAGCTAATAATTAATTACAGAGTATGCAACAAAAAATAAATGTATTCGTCTCCTTATTCCTTGTTTTCACAATAATGAGGGGTTAGTTCACAATTTAAAGTTACCTCACTTTACCAAAGAGTTCTAATTATAGTAGCATGTACAAGCATAAGAACATGGTTCCACATTGCGTAGACCCACCCCCTCTATGAATCTGAGGAACTAGGTTGAAAAATGGCTTTGTAACTTCCTTCCTTTGAAAATGTGGACCTTCCTCAGATCAAAGAATTTTATTATCTTTTTGTGTTTCTTGCATAGCATGACAAACTTGCAGGGATCGCCTTGTCCTGCATCTGTCCATTCATACATATGGGAGATGTGACACTTGTACCGAAAAAAAACCTTAGAGCTTAAATCACACCATTGTAAAACTTCATGAAAAAAATGCATCTAGGGCACAATCGACAAGTAAAATTACAGTATCGATGGTTGTCATCTTTCTGACAAAAAAAAGTTTGGTATTAGATATGCCATGATTGATGTGATTTATTTACCAATACCAGTGTTTCTCATTTCTTTGTAAATAACATAAATAATAATATTGGAGTTATTATATTTATATAAATTCTTGATATAAGGCAAGTAATTAAAACATGAGTGCTAAAAAATACAAAGTAATATTCATGAACATGTCACATTCAGTTTGTTTACGGGATAGTATATTAGTAAAGGTCATCTCATATGAGGCAGAGGAAAATTCACAAAGGAATCATCTCTCTTGTTTACAGGGATATAATCATTAGTTGGATGTTTTAAATTTAATAGGTATTACAATGTATTTTTTAAAAAATGAGCCCTATAGCTTAGCAGGATATGTACAGTTTACCTAATGATAGTTCATAGGTAAACCTTTCTTTGACAGCTAGAGAACTATAAATTAAAATAAAAATTTCAAATAAGCAAGGGAATTTGATCATCTTTGTAATTACTAAAACTCTTTTGAAGCTTTCATGATATTCAGTTTTTGATAAGTTTAAATGAAATTATTTTTTTTTTTTTTTTAAATTCCACCCCTGGGCCTAATTATGAAATGTCTTGTATATGATTTCCAATAGTACCAGTGTTCTTTGACATGGACTTGGAATTGATCCTGTGCATTGTTTAACCAGTTTTAATGTTTGGTAGTGAATTCTTATCATGATCAGTACTGTACTTTGATATATAATTTTGTGTGTCAATTGAAGATCTGATCCTTATGCATACTATAGTACTATCATTGCATTCTTTAAATTATGAATTTCTTTGTATTGATTTGCAATTTCAATCCTTTTTAGAATGGGTGTTGTTCTGATATCCCAGAAGTGTGGCTCGGCTGCCTCTCATCTTAAATTTGGTCATTCCCACGGACATGGTCATTCCCATGGTAACAGACACTCTCATTCACATGGTCACTCCCATAATTCCCTTACCATAAACAGTGACCGGCCAGACATTGCATACAGTCCACTACTGAGTCCGGCTAGTGAGGAAGATCTGACACTTTCTGATGATGCCGAAATGCAGAGTCCAATCACAAAACATGAAAACATTAACATCCGAGCAGCCTTTATACATGTTGTAGGGGACATCATCCAAAGCCTAGGTGTGCTCATAGCTGCACTTATTATCAAATTTACAGTAAGTTAACCTCCTTTCCATTTTTTATTGAGATCCAAATTATTTTGCTACTTTCTCCTAGTTTAAAGAAAAAAAGAATTTTCTACAAATATTCAATTTAAGAGGAAATGTTTGTTATATTTGATCCTTGATTAAAGGAGATAAATATTTTGCAAAAGATTAAAGATTAACCCTTGGAGCCACATTAAGGAATCAATTTTTTTTACATAGAAACAGAGAAATACCAGTTAAAACATTTCATTAGGGAATAGTAAATTAACAATTACTTAAAATGCAAGTTTCCCCCTGAACTGTTCATTCAATTCAATGGTCTCAGAGGCCAAGAGGAGGTTACAGTGTGAGTCCAAAGACTTATTAAGGAATATACATGTTAGATAAAATCTTTGTCATGAGTCAGCAACAAAATTATATTGGTATGATATTATTCTACACTTATGTTATGTAAATTAAACTTTATTAAATTAGACTTCAACCTTAAATAAAGCATGCACATTATATATTGCTAAGCAGTGAAATTTCCTGAAATCATTGTATAATTTGTGGAGATTTTTAAAATGCTCAGTAGTTTAATGCATTTCTGTAACATATGCTGTTCATCAATGATTAAAAGGTATTTGCCAGCACAAAGTATGAACATTGATCAATACCTTAAAAGATAATTGTGTTTTACCAGAATCAATGTTCTGTAATGTGATGTAGTGCTTTTGAAGTAACGATAGTACAGACTACAGATAATGGTTTTCCAAAGAGAGTCCTAAAGCACATGAATCAATCTGAAATTATTAATATTAATAGAGTAGACTATGCATTTGAAATGTTTTTTAAATCAATAATTACAATAAGCAAGGTTAACATTCTTTCATAGATTTCACTGTATCCTTGTCAAAAGTATGTACACTAGTTGTTCATTTCAATATTTTTTTTTTAGAAAATTAAGAGATAATTAAGCAATACACATATACAGGTTCTGGTTATTAGGACCTAATTGCTCTTGGTGCACCCTTTGATGATCAATCTGTCCATCCACTTATTTGGTTTTACTGTTCTCTTCCCTTGGTCCATGTATGGGTCAAACTTCACTCAGAGAGTACTCATGGTTATACGAATTTCAGTGACATTGAACCAAATTTCAAAGTTGAAGCAGTTCTTTTGCAGAGTATATTTTTTCTCAATTTGAATCGATACCGCAGTGACTTTTATCTTGTTTTTTTAGGTCAAATCAAGTCAAATGAATTGTAAATTGTACTTGACCACAACACAATGTTGCTTTTGCCAATTGTAGCTTATGATTCACTTGAAGAGTGTACTTGAGTAAAGGGTGTACTGACCTTGAACCAAGGTCAGAGATGAAACTTATTGAAATTCCTTGTTTTGAGTATATAATTTCTGTACTTGGACAACTGAAACTCACACTTCACCCATGAGTACTGTAAACCAACTTTTATTGGCGTGTGAGAAATATTCGCGAGTTTCGCAACCTACTTAACCTCGCGAATATTTATCGCCGCGAACTATTTATTTTACTTTGTTTTTGTAGAGAATGTTTCCTCGGCCACAAATATTAATTGCCACGGATTGATATTAATGTGAAGAATCGCGAATAAAAGTTGACGCGAATAATAGTTGGTTTCCAGTACCTTGTGTCAAGGGTATGGAGTGTCAAGTCCAATGTCATGGTCAAATTATGGAGTGGGAAATTATTTTCAGGTACATGTACACAGTTTTGGGAAAAGAGGTTTTTTTTCTTAAAATAAAAGATAAAAATAGCATTTTTCTCCTTTTATGCCTGAGAAAAAAAATCTTTGTCCAATTACAGTTATGTACAGGTATCATAATGTCCTTTGAGTTTTATTGTAGCTCATGTGTATCGATCTGAGTGGTTTATTTCTAGTTACCAGGTACATGTATTACATTGTTAAAATAAAACATGTGATTAAAAGTTATTTGTAGACTAGCTGTTAAAATACTAGTATGTCACAGGATGAAAGTGATGTTAGATAAAACAAAGTCATTTTCCTCTCTTGTCTGACTGAAATTAAATCTACTGTCCCAAAAATAGTGTCTTCCACTTTCCTCAAATAGATATTTTTGGGGTTTTTTTTTAGAAAGATATGAAGTTCGATTTTTCTTTTTTTAATACTTGAAGTAAGAATTACAGTTATAAAGAGATTAAGTTTTGTTTTGTTTTGAACATATTTTATTATGTAATAAATACATAACTGGATTGGGCAGCAGGCATAGCCTTTATAAGCCCTCTCCACAGGTACAAGGTTAATTAAAATACACATATTACTTAAGGATGGCAATCAAGTACAAAATTGCCAATCGGTTAACCGCAAGACATTCCGACCAATTTGTCGGTTAATCATATCGAAAATTCTCAACATAGCTACACTCGAATAAGTAAGACTATAAAGATGTTCATGTAGTAATATTATGCTTATATTTATATATGATAAGATTACTACATATATTGTATTTCAATTCTAGTGGGCAAAAAAAAAAAAAGGAGAGAGAGAGAGAGAAATTAAGAAACCAATGAAACATCCTGAGGTCGCAGATGCATTAAAAAAATTTCAGAAAAGATGTCATTCTGCATTTTCACCATAATCAAAATTTAGTCTGAATTATCGCTTATCTTACGATTTTTGTTTTAGAATATAATTTGATAGGTAACTGGAAAGGATAGAAGAGGTTGTGTACATATAATCAATTCAATTCAATTTATTTTTACATTGTGTAAAACAACATAGAGAAAATACAACAACGATATCAAACAAAATACATGATGCAAAAGTGTACAGTTTACATTAACCTGCAAGGGTGACAGAAGCCAACGATCATTTGATTAAAATCATTAAAGAAATACGGGACAGGGTGGGTAACGACATGTGTTTAAACAGCAATTAATGACTTGAAGAGTGACCAATTACCCCCACACGATGTCCATCTGGAGAGCCTTAATTATCTTCGAATCGTGTTAAATAGATAGGTGAACATGCCAACATTTCAGAAAATTTTATCTGTATTTTTTAAATTGAATTTTCAGGAAATTGTATTCAAATTTACACATATATTAATTTTTTTTTCCCGACTAACCGATTACAGATTTTCTATCCGATTACCATCGTTCCATCCGAGTAACCAGTTAACTGATTACAAATTGCCATCCCTAATATTACTACATATAAATACAGGTACATATCACCAATAAGTTATAGTTAAGTAACACAAAATTGTATGGAATTTAGAAGAAAGTAAAAAAAATTTCAAAAAACTAGATGAGGTCTCGTTGCGAGCAATGAGTAGGTCTTCCGTTAGATTTTTGATAAGATCTTGATTGGAAAAGTTTGATTGATGAAACAAAGTAAAACAACTTTAAAGAAATAATCATATCAATTCTTCAAAATATGTTTAGCAACACATAAAAGAGCGAAATCTATCAATTTCAATAACTTCCGGTCTTTTCATTCACTTCCCGTATGACCGGAAGTACTCAAAATGACTTTTAACTCCTCACTGAGTGTGAAGGAATCATCCCTCAGAGTTGCCAGGAAAAATGAGCATTTTTTTGCCTACTTCTGGTTTGGAAGAAATAACTTCCGGTGCAAATAATATGACACAAAACAGTCTCTTTTCCTCTATTATGAACATTTCAAAAATAAAAAAATAAAAATTTGCATATTTTTAAACTACTTCTGGTGGACAACGGACATCACATCAACAAAAACCAAACAGGAAATGCAAATCTACGAGTCACAATATATCATCCCTGAAAGTTTCCGGTTTATGTGAAAATGAGAGAAAAAACTGAAAAATGGGAATTACAGCAATTTATATAAAATACAATGAATGTGTATTTGATTTAAACAAGAAACAAATATTTCATAATTTCGCATCATTTATGAAACCTCTTGGTTTGTGAAATATATTTATGAACACAATCAAACAATTTCATATTTTTTGCATAAGGAATATGACTATCACCAAATAACAATAGATTTAGAGATACAGGATGTTGCAGGTCTATACTAGATATACAATTAAAAAGATTATTTCTTTGCTTGACATAACATGGACAGTCTAAGAAAAAATGATATGCATTTTCAGTATGAAAACCACAGTTTTCACATTTGGAATTTTCATTTATATAATCTTTCTGTAAATCAGAATTTAAACTACTAGCATTATTTCTTAATTGACAATGAATAATATTTTGACTATGATTTCCATGATTAAAAAGCTTATTGGGAGTTCTGTAATGAGCCTTTTTAATGGCATTAGTGAATGAAGATAGAATTGGTAAATTTCTAATATGATATGGTGAATTATTCCATAGTTTAATTGTAGATGGGAAATAACTATTCATATATGATGTGGTCCTAGTTTGATGAATAAGAAAAGTAAGACCAGTGAGACAAGTAAGAGATTAAGTGATCTTCATGATGGATTACAGTTGGTCTGTCAACTTAGATATCAAAAATAGATAACATTTTATTACATAATAATGAATTAGTGAAATACTTTAATTTATTGAATAAAAGTGATATTTTATCACAGTATGAAAGAATATCAAAATGATATTTTGTCACAGAGTTAAAGAATATCACAAGTACTGCAAAACTCGAGATTTTCCTTCCGTTCACAAAGAGTGTTGTAATAAATATTCCCTGGCCATGCTGTTATAAGATTGAGAGAGTAAATTATAAACCATCCTGAGAGAGACTAAAACTGCCAAAGTTTCTCCAAATATGTTGTTGAAATCTATGTTTACAATGTTTTCAGTATTGCAATCACTAAGCTATGATGTTTCAGGCACTCAACTATGATATCAAAGCCTATGATGCTGTGTTATGAAAAGACAGAGGCAAAGGGAAAAATCAAAGAAAATGTGATAAACAGAAATTTCAATATTTTGTAGTTGGATATGGAATTTATTTCACTCATGAGACAGGATTTTTTAGCTCACGTGAGCCGAAGGCTCAAGTGAGCTTTTCTGATCACATTTTGTCCGTCGTCCGTCCGTCCGTCTGTCTGTCCGTCTGTCCATCCGTCTGTAAACTTTTCACATTTTCGACTTCTTCTCCAGAATCACTGGGCCAATTTCAACCAAACTTGCCACAAAGCATCCTTGGGTAAAGGGGATTCAAATTTGTTCAAATGAAGGGCCACCCATTCTTTCAAGGGGAGATAATTAAGAATTTGTGAAAATTTGGTGGTATCTTTTAAAAATCTTCTTCACAAGAACCAATGGGCTGTAAAAGTTGAAACTTATGTGAGACCTTCATTACATAGTGTAGATTCAAGTTTGTTCAAATCATGACCCCCTGGGGTAGGGTGGGGCCACAATGGGGGGTCAAAGTTTTACATAGGAATATAAAGGAATAAATCTTTAAAAATCTTCTTCTCAAGAACAACAAAGCCACAATTAGTCATGTTGATATGGAATCATCCTCAGGTAGTGCAGATTCACATTTGTTCAAATCATGACCCCTGGGGGTAGGGTGGGGCCACAATGGGGAATCAAAGTTTTACATAGGAATATATAGAAAAAAATCTTGAAAAATCTTCTTCTCAAGAACAACAAAGCCACAATTAGTCATATTGATATGGAATCATCCTCAGGTAGTGCAGATTCAAATTTGTTCAAATCATGACCCCCGGGGGTAGGGTGGGGCCACAATGGGGAATCAAAGTTTTACATAGGAATATATAGAAAAAAATCTTGAAAAATCTTCTTCCCAAGAACAACAAAGCCACAATTAGTCATATTGATGTGGATTCATCCTCAGGTAGTGCAGATTCAAGTTTGTATCAAATCATGATCCCTGGGGATAGGGTGGGGATAGGGTGGGGCCACAGTGGGCGATCAAAGTTTACATAGGAATGTACAGAAAAAAAACTTGAAAAATCTTCTTCTCAAGAACAGCAAAGCTTTGTTAAGTCATACTGATATGGAAGCATTCTCAGATAGTGTAGATTTAACTTTGTTTGAATCATGACCCCCAGGGTTAGGGTGGGGCCACAATGGGGAATCAAAGTTTTACATAGGAATATATAGAAAAAAATCTTGAAAAATCTTCTTCTCAAGAACAACAAAGCCTTGTTAAGTCATATTGATATGGAAGCATTCTCAGATAGTGTAGATTTAACTTTGTTCGAATCATGACCCCCAGGGTTAGAGTGGGGCTACAATGGGGGGTCAACGTTTTACATAGGAATATATAGGAAAAAATCTTGAAAAATCTTCTTCTCAAGAACAACAAAGCCTTGTTAAGTCATATTGATATGGAAGCATTCTCAGATAGTGTAGATTTAACTTTGTTCGAATCATGACCCCGAGGGTTAGGGTGGGGCCACAATGGGGAATCAACGTTTTAACAAGGGAATATATAGGAAAAAAATCTTTAAAAATCTTCTGCTCAAGAACAGCAAAGCCACAATTAGTCATATTGATGTGGATTCATCCTCAAGTAGTGCAGATTCAAGTTTGTATCAAATCATGACCCCTGGGGATAGGGTGGGGCCACAATGGGCGATCAAAGTTTTACATAGGAATATACAGAAAAAAAACTTGAAAAATCTTCTTCTCAAGAACAGCAAAGCTTTGTTAAGTCATATTGATATGGAAGCATTCTCAGATAGTGTAGATTTAACTTTGTTTGAATCATGACCCCCAGGGTTAGGGTGGGGCCACAATGGGGGGTCAATGTTTTACATAGGAATATATAGAAAAAAATCTTTAAAAATCTTCTTCTCAAGAACAGCAAAGCCTTGTTAAGTCATATTGATATGGAAGCATTCTCAGATAGTGTAGATTTAACTTTGTTCGAATCATGACCTCCAGGGTTAGGGTGGGGCCACAATGGGGGATCAACGTTTTAACAAGGGAATATATAGGAAAAAAATCTTTAAAAATCTTCTGCTCAAGAACAGCAAAGCCATTTGTTATATTGATATGGAAGCATCCTCAGGTAGTTTAAAATCCAAGCCCCCCCCCCCCCCCTTTTAAACTTTTCAATAATGAAGTGATTTGTGCTTTTTCCTAGCTAATGTGCTCAGGTGAGCGATGTGGCCCATGGGCCTCTTGTTATATTTCCACTCGTGCTTCACACTAATGAAAGTATTAAAAAAAAAACCTCTCACTAATGGAATAAATTCTGTATCCAACTACAAAACATCAAATATCCTCTAATTCACGTTAAACTTTACACTTTCATCCCTTGGATACCACTTATTGGATAAATTATGTTTTATTCCGGACTTTGTATCAGACATGGCCTTGATACAATGTAAACAAATACATGTAATCGTGTGTGTACAAGTATTTGTAAACATGGAAGATAGAAAAAGAAATCCAATTGATTTTGATTCATAAAGTCATTGAGTAACAGATCTTTTTATATTTCCCACTTTTTACTCTGTTTCATTGTACACTATTTTAAGTGGTGTAATGTCTTTGCCATTGCCTTGCAGCATAGAGACTGTGTAAAACCCATAAAAGTTAAGTAAAAACACTGGATCAAAAGAATCTTTCATGGTTTGTGATTAAATATGATATTTAACCTCTCCCCAAAAGATTTTTGATAGAAAACACACAACTCCTTGGATAAAAATCATATCCAATCATAAACCATGGGAAACTCTTACTACAGCATGGTAGAGGTTTACGGTGAGATACTTTTGACTTGGCGCCACGTTACGAGGCATATAAGGAGCGTAGGGACATTAACTGAGGCTCTTACTTGCAGAAAAGTTCTATACTTAATATCGGTTATTTTCTGAGGATTTTTATTTTAACTGTAGAAATTAAAATAAAAACATTTGCTTTCCTATCCACAAAAAGTTTAAATCAGGAGATGGGAGAAGGTAAGAGTTGGATGATATTTTTAAAGAACCAGGCCTTAGAATGATGTTTTATGTATATTGCAGAATGGAGAGGAGTACAAGCTAGCTGACCCCATCTGTACCTTTGTCTTCTCGGTTCTAGTCATGATCACCACAGTCAAAGTTCTGAGGGACACACTTCATGTTGTTATTGAGGGTAAGATTTTTTTTTATCCTTCAACACCGCTTGCATTGCCCCAATAAAGGTATAACCTAATAAACCAAAGTTATATTCAGTCAGTGCTGAAATATAGCCTCATGCATCCAGATATCTTTAAAAGCATTGTGAATCGTCATCCATATTGCATCTAATGGAGAGTAGAATTGCACTCCAGAGGACAGTGCAGGTAACCTAGTTTACAACCAACAAAGCAATTATGACTGAATACCTGCTCATCATAAAGACATTAAAGTGCCCTGGTAATCAACACAGTAATGGTTTAACTGATGGCTATAGAACATCAGATGACAACAGTTGAATCATTTTAGTACTTAAATCTTATTAAGGTTTGAAAAATGAATCTTAGCTCTCCTTCCTCCATTAAGAAAAGCCCTGTCCTCATCCTGCGATATTGATTTTAAAGATCATCACATAAACTGTCATGTCATTATGAAAGGAACATATAAAAGATGGAATTCCTGCTTGGACAAGATCTGTGACCTGGTTTTGATGTCTGAACTCATTACTCACTGTGTTTGACTTTGATATACCAGGGTATGGCCTTGAATCAAGGTCATAACACTAAGGTTTTGGGCAACTTCCTCCTAAATTCATACAAGTCAAGGATGGAGACCAATTCAAAGACAAGACCTGACACAGTATCAATGTCTTATGTGTCAGTGACTGTAATCAGAAATTGATCTTGAATTAAGATCGTACCTAATACCGTACATCCGGTTTTTTTTCTCGCAATTATCTATTTTTCGCATTTTTTTGCGACCATTTTTAACTCACTTAAAATAAAACACACAAAAATTAGAGGTGTAACTCTCCATTTTAAAAATGTTACTCTTTTTTTTTTATTTTTTCAAATCACAAAAAATAACTTGCGCAAAATAAAAACTGTACAATCTACTCTTTTTCCGCAAAATTTGCAACATGGGAACATGGGAACCCCCCCCCCCCCCCCCCAGATATATAGGTAAGAAAGTATTAAACAGGTCCAGCTACCTACATTTTAAACCTACTTAGAGTAGCTACTTCTACCTACTTTTAGCTTTAAAAATAGAAATAAATAATAAGTATAAGGGCATCTTTAAAAACTGGTCATATTTGTGTTTATTATGTTGTGCACTTGCATAGCAAAATTTGGGGTGTAAATTAGTAAACTTTATGAGGATAGAGAATCAGGAGAGGAAATGCATGAAAAGTCATCCCAAAAACCTTTTATCTAAGAGTGCATGAAGGTAAGTTTTAAAATTGCTTCTTAAAAGAAGGTAAAGTAGGTAAAAATGGTTATCTGGAGTAGGTTTATATACCTTAAGAGAGCTTTAACTAGGTACTAGATAGAAATAGTCTTTGGACTGGACCTGTTAAAGTTTGAAATCATTTTAATATCTCCTTGTCTTTTGACCTTGATAATTATAATACATTGAATTAGGATTTAATAGTAATCGACAGATCGTAAACAAGTAAAGGGTATAGAAAACAAAGGTAACAACAAAACCACCAAAGTAAGTCTAAATTGCCGGTGTACCCATATAAAGTTTTCAAAATTATCATCCAGAAATACCAAAGGTATAATGTCTCTTCTTCCCTGTTATTAGAAGGGGGTAGGGATGATTGTGTAGTTAGTTGTAACCTGTTTTTGAGTCTTGCTAGTAGATATTTAAATAGACAGTAAAATAACATATACTGGATTTTACATTAATTTAAGCATGTTGCATTTTCTTTACTTTTTCAGCTGTGCCAAAAGATATTGAATACCATAAGGTGCTAAACGATATCAGATCAATTCCTGGTGTTAAATCTGCTCATAGTCTGGCTCTGTGGGCCCTGACTGTAGATAAAAATGCAGTAACAGTTCATATCTCCATTGGTAAGTCTACTTAGCAGTGTCAGTGGGTTTAATCTTTCAAATAAGAGAATGATTCTAAAGATTGTTGATTTGACATGACTTGCTTTTAGAAAATTTCATTTGTGCAGGTCCCTATTCATCATTGCAAACCATGGCCTAAGTGTACAACCCTCTCTCATTCAAAGAGAGAGCTATGTGTGGACTCCAGACTGTAGCTTGAGATGATGGTTCCCTATAAGATTATAAATCAAATAAAAACTGAGAATATTAAAAGGGTTCCTAAAAAAAAGATTTCCTGATTCTGTAACTTGTCTTTTATTTTCATCGCGACATCTTTGAACTGGTTGAAACTAATCATATATATAGATACATGTATGATAAAATATTTTACAATGCTCTCCATGGAAGTCAAGTTAAAGTTTTACTAGAAAATACATATTTAAAAACAATACATCTTGTACCAAGGGTTGCTCCTAAGAATTGAAATAGAAGGGGACATTAAAGAAAGTAGAAGGGGGTCTTGGGTTCCTCCCCTAATGGGGAGTTAAGGGGGAATACAAAAAAAACTGGGAGATTACTTCATTAAAGGCTGGGAAATTCCCTGGCCCTGGGGTCTTTGACTACCAGTAAAGTATAAAATGATTTATATACATTGTATAACATTTTCTTTAACATGAGGCAAAAATACCTCTCTGATGACTTTAAATGAATTCCAGATGGCTCAAATGATCATCAGAAAATTCTGGAGAGGACATCTAGGATGCTGAGGACAAAATACAAATTTATCTTCACAACAATACAAGTGGAAATGCATCAGTCTACCATAATGGAGTCTTGTCGTCACTGCAGCATTCCAAATATTTAACTCACCGTGCTGTCATAATGGAATACAGCTTCTAGAGTGTGTTCGATGTGTTATTCCAGTTACTTCTGAGGGTGGAGCAAGGTTTCAGATTCCCTTTGTGTTGTGTAACATCTGAGAGCTCAATTAAGGATACCTCATACTGTATTAGACAGAAATCCATGTCTTTATATATTACTTGAGAGAAGGTTTACACATTTATTGAAAAAATATTGATATGATCCAGGATGACTTTATTTTCAGTGAACCGTGGCAGAGAACAGTTGTTCAAAGTTAAATAAGAACGAGAAGGTAGTGTTTCAGTAGATCTGCTCATTATATAAGCAATTCAAAACATTCCCCCAGGAAAGTTTTTCTTGTTCCAATGATTATCGTGTTTTCTTTAATCAACAGTAAAGGTGCTGTGATATTTTGAGAAATCAGTCAATGTGATAGTTATTCCATTTTGTCTTCCAAGGTTGAATTACATCTGTGTTGTTTGTCAAGCTTGTTTTTTTTTAATTAATTTTATTGATTGTTAATCAGTGATTTTTTTTTTTTTGCCTTAAAATATTGTGCTTGATAATAATCTAATCAATACTATACTTTTTTTTGATTGGTACATTAAGCCAGCAAATGTATTTAAAAAAAAAAAAAAAAATAAGGCCTCATTCTTTTTTAAATTGTTTTTACCTTTTAAAATTTTTAATTGCAACTTAGTTTGTCTCTATTTTTGCTCTTTTTCTGTTTATTTATGATATTACAATTTATTTTTGCAAATATATGGAGACTACCGGTATTTTATTTTATTGTTCTGAAAAAGATCTGGGCAAATCTTTCATTGAAAACGTCCCTTTTCTTAAACTGTGCCATGCCTTTGTTATCAGCGGAATTAAAAACCAGATTTTTATGAAACATATACATGTATCTGGAAGAGGGGTTAGTATATATTCAGAAAATGTATTTATATTCTTATTATGAAGCAGGTTGAATGCTCATGAAATCTTCCTTTTTGCTACAATCTTATAAAGCTGTTTCCAATAATAATACATGTATATAAAAACTATGTCAACTCCCCCCCCCCCCCCCCCCCCCAACACACACTGAACAGTCAACATATTATTCAGTTCAATATTTTCTCTTTTATTTCTTATGAAAAAATATCTGAAGCTGGCTATCTACGTAAAAGGTTTTTTAAATATGTGTCAAAGGTCAACTGTCTCTATTTCATCAAATTAATGTATGAGTGGACAATATTTAAGAACCTTAGCTCACTTTATATGAATGTGTAGCAGACAGTATATAGGGATTATATTTATACTGCCTCGCTAGTGAGCTAGCTATTCTAGTGATTTAGCAGAGTGTCCCTGTATTCAGTTGAGCTGCTTTTAGTCTGTTAGAGCTCTTAGATGGGTGACCGCTTCATGTTACAAATATTTTATACAGATATAAATATAAACTGTTACAATATCTATCTTGCCATTTATGCAATCATTGCAGAAGACATAACCTGCTTTTGTGGGTTATATATCTTTTCTTCAATGTTTTAGTGGTTCATTCCTGTATAACAAAGAAAGCATTTTATTGTTTAAGCAAACAGATTATATGGGAATCCATGTATAGTTTAAATTTAAATCCTTTTTTTTGTGGTTGATCTGAATTTTATGAACCATCCCTAACCTTTAACTGACTGAGAGGAATATTAATGACATTCATTATTTTGTATTCTGTATTCAAATGCTTATCTGTAACATTTGTGTCCATTATATTAATACATACTGAAACATTTTGTATGATAGTCTTCAGTGTTGTATTTTGTGTATTTTATCGTCGAACCTTGTATGGCTGTACAGAGGGATTCAATTTTAAAAACAATAGGCATGAATGGAAGATCTTTAAACCAACTTGTATGATCATTTATTGGGCTGAAAGGCTTAGTGTTAATGTATGGAACTATTACAAGGAATCACCAGCTTTCTTTTGACTTATTTATCCAAGCCGTATCTTTTACCTTACAAGCAATAAAGGCTGTGAATGAAATGTAATACTTGTATATATATAGTCGTAACTTTATAAGCAACCTTTGAAGATTAAAAAGGCTTGTAAAAGGTCAGCTAGTGGTCCCTTATTTTAGGTAATCAAGATAACAGGTCCTAAAAAATGAAGAATGGATTGAAATATGCACTCTTGTAGGTCCTTTAGAAGATGGTCATGGTGTATAAGGATGTATTCCGATTCAATATGAGAATCCACAAAATGACTACATGTACTTTTATTTGTCAAATAATTTACAATTGTGAACTATAGTTAAGAGTTGTAAATCAAAGTTTCACAAATCGTGAAACTATATTTATCAGATAAACTATGTTTTACATCGTTAATGATAGTGTTCGGTCGTAAACTATAGTTAACGATCATTTATACTCATAAACTATATTTAACAAACGTAAACTATAATTCACGATCATGAACGATAGTTTTGATAGATAAACTATATTTTACAATTGTCAATCATAGTTTATCACAATAAACTATAATTCACATTTGTAAACTGTAGTTTACAGTGGTTAAATATAGATTATGCATAAAAAAAATCTGTTAACAATGGTTTTCAATTTGAATTCTCGAGGAACCAATCGTGAGAGGCAATACAAAATGTGCGCCATGCTAGGAAATGGCTCTTCAAAGGGAAGCACGAGCGAATTTGCCATCCGTACAAAACTGCATAAGCAGAATTAATTCTCTCCTGGATAATCTTTGAAGTCACCAGCGAATCCTTTGATGCTAACACTGCACGGTCATCTTTGTTTGACCTACGACGTAACATAGAAAGGTTGGAGTCGGCAGGAGTAGATGTTTTTTTATATTTTAATTCTTTTAAAAATTAATAATTTTTCCGGTAAAGTTTTTTAAAATATTAAATTTGCCTGAAAGTCGTTACAAACTAACTTTTCATGTCAAAAATTATATATATATATATCATAATACATATATATATATATATATATATATATATATATATATATATATATATATATATATATATATATATATATATATATAACAACCAATGAAAATGATCGTTGTAAAGGCAAACTCTTATCATGTTGTAACTGTATCTATGATGTACGAACAAAACTATTGTTAACTATAATAGTTTTGATCGTAAACTATAGTTTAGAGTTGTGAAATATAGTTTCACAGAAAATTATGCATTTCCGATACAAAATACGAGATTCTGTTTGTAAACTGTGTTTCTCAAATGTAAAACTATATTTATCACAATTTTGTGAATTCGGCACCTTAAATATCTGTTAACTATAGTTTACAATCGTAAACTATAATTAACATTCGTTAACTATACTTAAGAGTTGTAAACCGTCGTTTACAAATTGTGAAACCGTATTTATTAGATAAACTATGTTTTGCAATTGCTAATGATTGTTTTCGGTGCTAATTATTGTTTACGCTTTTGAAACATAATATGGCACGCCAAATTCACAAAAATGAGCTATAATCATAGTTTCACAGTAGATAAACTAGGTTTATAGACTGTAAACTATAGTTTACGGACCCTAAACTATAGTTAACGATGATAATCTATATTTCACATCTGTAAACTATAGTTTACACGATAATACATGTATATGTTTCACAAGCGTAAACTATAATTAACACGGAAAACAATCATTTGCTACTGCAAAATATAGTTTATCTGATAAATATAGTTTCACGATTTGTAAACTATGGTTTAGAACTCTAAACTATACTTAACAAATGTAAATTATAGCTTAGGCTTTGTAAAGTATACTTTACAGACATACAAAGCGCCAAATTCACAAAAATGCGATAAACATAGTTTTACACTTGAGAAACACAGTTTAGGAACAGAATCTCTTATTTTGTATCGGAGATGCACAATTTTCTGTGAAACTAGATTTCACGACTCTAAACCATAGTTTACGATCAAAACTATAGTTAACAATAGTTTTTTTTTTTTTTGTAAATTATAGATCGGCTAATCCTAGTTACAGCATTATAAGATTTTGCTATGTAACAACGATTGTTGTTAGATATATATGCATGTATATTTCTTGTTGGCATTAAAAGTAAATGTTCTATTATTTTAAAGCAAATTTGGAAATAAAAAGAAAAATGACAGGAAAATTATTGATTAAAAGAATGAATCCTCATAACACTGCTTTCTCGCCCCTTTTTAAATGCAGAATTTTACCTTTTCAAATCGGAACATTGTTATATTATAGCTAAAGTCTTCAAGCATAGTCTGTATAGATACTCATAAAAGATTTTTTGAGGAAAGAGACTTTCAATATATACATTATATCGATTAAATAAAATCGTATACTTCACTGTAAAATCCCGGTGTCGCCATTACAGCTATGTAGGTCATTGTATTATTTGAATGAGAAGGCGGAGCGTCTCTCAATTCGCATTGCTGCGAAGCGTGCGATTAGTATGAATACATTAGCGTGTGTTCGAGGTGTACTAATTTTTATGATTAACTGACACCTAAAAAAGCCTTTTTCATGCTAGAGACCGACAAAATATAAGCATACGTTTTTAATTTGGTTGGCTTAACTTTGATTTCTTTTCTACTTAACTTACGAGTCGTAATTGAAATGATTTACTAGAAATTTGTTAAATTATTTAAGTATTAAATACACAATGGAATTCGGAAAACAGAACGTATAACGAAGGATACACTATTTTTCACACTTTAAAGAAACTTAAAAAAGAAGAAGAAATAATTAATCCATTTAAGCTTATTACGTACATAATTAGAAATTGTTCATATATATATATATATATATATATATATATATATATATATATATATATATATATATATATATATATATATATATATATATATATATATATATAAATTTTGCAAAATGCGAGTGCTACAACAAATACACGTAGGCGGTTGAATTATGATATAAAACTACACTCGGTGTATAAAAAATAGTTAAGAAAGTGAAAATTTAAACTTCAATTAAACGTCAATTTAACGTCAGTATCATCGCTGGTGGATAAAGAAACACCCGTGTCAGTGTACTTTGTACAGTCCAAATTGCATTGCTTCAAAAAATCCTGTTTATTCATGCCAGACAAGTTAATATGATCTTCCTCATTTAGGAATTCATTAATTGTCGAAATCCACTCCTGTACTTTTTGATTTTAACAAACTCTCTCCCTGTTGTAAGATAAATAATAAATCACTCCGAGGTATTTTTAACGTCCTTTTTCATTCGACTGATTTTTTTTTTTACTAATATCTAGATCGGACATGTGAAAGGGTCATACAAATGCATGTTCTTGCTTTTAAACATTATATGCTTTAAAAATACCTGCGAACATGGACTTTCTTTTACGTGATCTAAAAAAAAAAAAAAAAAAAAAAAAAAAAAAAAAAAAAAAAATTGTGAAATTTTGTGCCGATGTAAAAAGTTAAAGCATTTGCTTTAGAAGAAACCTGTAGCTTCCTATTAGGGGTGCTTTTGTGCATCCAGTGACTTTTCATCCGATACACATGTTTTTTATCGAGCGCTCCGTGCTTCAATTTCTTTCCATGAAGGTTTCCTCTATTGGAAGTATGCATTTGTAACAAACAATTTATTTTTCTAAAGATATGGTGAATTTATGTTTTTCAAATAACGGACTATAAAATTAATGACAGTTTTAACTAAAAAAAAATCTTTCATATCTTCCAAGGCAATGAACGGAGCACCGATGTATATTTAGGAACAAGGGCAAATGTATAATATATACCTACAGTAATTTAAATTTTAAAATTCTGTATTTATGAGGCACAAGCAGTAAGTGCAAGCTATATGCTACAGGACTTCAATATAAATTGATATATACCCCCCTCCCCCCCCCCAAAAAAAATCAAACAAAATCGACTGAAAATATTAACACATCTTAATCATAAAAAAAAAAGTTTTCTCACAGAATTTTAATTACCCATCTGAAAAATGATTTGACCATCGATAGCTCGCAGACACTAGACACAATGTCGCATAGGTGTGCTCAAAGCGTGGAAGTGAATAGATTTGAATCACGTGTTCAGTGCTTTGTTATTCATGAGGTCAAAGACAGGTTGAAATTTGTAAACAAGGTGCCTTTACTATGGAGACAAGCACCCGTGATTTTGCACCTTTTTGGAAAATAACAAATGAGCGCAAGACTGTTTCAATTTCTTTCTTGAATGTAAATGACTAGTATAACTCTTTACATTGACTGTACTTACGACAACTTGAAACATCCATGCGCTCATATAAAAAATGGGCTTGCAAAATGGGGGTGTGGCCTAAAGTCTATGAGAAATCGATGTAAACAACATACCCCTGCTATATTAATCACATAAATACCTAATTACAGCGCAAGGAAGTAAAAATTGAAATTGAAATCAATAAACTACAATGTTTGATGGAAAGATTGAGGCAAAAATATTTAGAAAATCTTTAATGTAATTTTTTGTAAATTATCGGGGGGCCAGATTTGGACGTTTAAACGATTCATCCTTTCATTTTTTTTAATTTAAAAGAGAAAAATAGAGACCGGAATGCGTGATCTGTCATTAATAAAATACATGTATATCTTATATTAATCTGTAAATAAAGACATAACACAGTGCATGTAACATTGCAGGCGCGGAATTTATTTTTCAACAACCGAATTTTCTTCATACATAAATAAAAGTGGCCTTTTACGGAACAAACAACAAATATTTGGGACTTCTCTCTCATTCTCTCTCTCTTAAATTCAAAGGAGGACGTTGAAACCCCCACAACCCTATCTATATCCGCCACTGCATTTCCTCTGTTTTGGTGATGAGATGTGGCGGGAAAATGCTTGACACATTGTAAAACGCGCTTCACCCTCCTCTGCTTGAGCAAAAATCTCGTAATATTCTGTCTTTTAAGAAATTAAAATTTTATCATATTTTTAAACATTTCCCATAGGAAATGTATATATACACGACATTTTAAAACAAATACAATTAATCTTAAATAGAGAAAGTAATATTGATTATAATATAACTCGGTCTTTGCTTTAGATAATGCCGAACACGTGTCCTTAATATTCTCCCCACTGATAAAACCTATACCCCATTATTGCTTCTCGCGATTGGCGCCGCGAAATTTCGAATTGAAAAACTATCGTTAACAGGTGTTTAGATTCATAAACTATATTTAACAACTCTTAACTATAGTTTACGAGTGTGAATTATAGTTTATGACGATAAACTATGATTGGCAAATGTGAATTATAGTTTAGCTCTCAAAACTATAGTTTACGATCGATAAGTATAGTTTACGTCTGTTAAATATAGTTTGTGAGTATAAATGAGAGTTAACTTTAGTTTACGACCAAAATCTATGGTTAACGAATGTAAAACATATTTTATCTGATAAATATAGTTTCACGATTTGTAAAAGTTTGATTAACAACTCTTAACTATGGTTAACGAATGCAAATTATAGTTTACATATGAGAATCTATATTTATCAGCAAAATCTATTGTTAACGTTTATTTTCAGGCAGATAAACATAGACTAACATTCGTAAACTACACTATACAACCGTTAAATATAGTTTTACAAAGGAAAACTACAGTTAACGAATCGTTAATTATAGTTTACAGTTCGTAAACTATAGTTTACAATCGATAAACCTAGATTATCAACTGTTAAACTATGTTTATCTAATTTTTGTGAATTTGGCGTGCCATAAACATAGATTATCGTGTTAACTATGGTTTACAGATGTGAAATATAGATTAACGTCGTTAACTATAGTTAACGATCCGTAAACTATAGTTTACAGCCGATAAACCTAGTTTGTCGACTGTGAAACTATGTTTAGCTCATTTTTGTGAATTTGGCGTGCCATACATAACATCACAAAAACTCCGAGAAAGAGAAGATCTTGTATTTAGACAAACTGCATGGTCAAAAAGAAAAAAAATTGTAGGTAGATAAGTTTAGATGATCGAATGACTAAATACATGTAAATGGAACAAACACATAAACGAATGACTATTTTTATTCACGGTAAACTTAAAAGGCACAATCTCTCTAAAAACTTGACAAAAACGGGACTGGCATATTAATTGTAAATACTATCAACATGATCAATATGTATTAAATACTATCAAAATGGATCGATCTATTCTGATCATCCACTGTAGTAAATTAATCAGACCGAGGTTTCTTTTAGATAAACAAGAGCTGAAGAAGGGAGCGGAAAATGTCTCAAATCAGACCAGGATTCGAACATGGACCTCCTGAACTCTAGTCTAGGCAGCTAACTGTTAGCTCAGGGCCGGGTCACAGGTGCCACACCTTAAACATAATCAGTCATTCTGCGAAAAAAAAGTGACCAAATATTTTTTTAATATCTCTAATAAATTTACTGTTGCAACATCATTTAATCTATAATTTAAAAAAGTGAAACCCAATACACATAAATTTAACGATAAATTAATGTTTGGGTTCAAATCTCATTCTCATCATACAAATATTCTCGTATCATAACTAGATTTGGACAGTTGATCCATAACGTTACATTCCGCAAAGCTCAAATTACTTAACTGTTATATGTGTAGTATTCATATTACTTATATGTGTAGTATTCCTTCCTCTTTTTTTCAAAACGTGCTGTATTTTGAAATAATAGGCGAGGATATTAAGTCGTAGTTATGTTTATATACGTATATTTATTTTTTTTTTCATTTTGAAGAACACATCGGAAAAGCATGAGAACGAATTATCAAATATTTCCTGTTGTGAATGAAAACAACACTAGGCTCTGTATCCGGACATTGATCGCGAGATTATGAATCAACGAGGAATCAACATATAGCATATATTTTAGGGGGAAATTAGCAATGTTGTCTGCAGTAGATGCAACAGATATTGGATCATGCTCTAAGCGGAAGATTATCATAACTCTTATTGACATATGCATTGTTGGATTAGGTATGTACATCACTCTGTCCAGAAAATTAAAAAAAAAAGTTTCATTAAACTTGATTGCTAGTTATTTCATAAACTTGATTGCTAGTGAGTACTGGTGTATGCATAAGAAAAAAGTAAAAGATAACGTATTTATTCAAATGGTTATGGTGTTTGTACATTGATCAACTTTTTATTTCACTCAATGTATTTGTCAGAGAGTGGGTCAACTGTGGGTGTGGATTTTCTTAATGATAACCACTTATGATTAAATATGGCAAGAAATTTGTCCTGTGTTATACTGTGACGATTATCAAAGGGTACAATCTCTTAGAATATAAAAGATGGGTTGCTTATAGGGTGTTTATATAAGATATGATACTAATTCTTACTGAAAGTGAAAGTGGAAAAATAAAAAGTGTACATGTACCATACATGTATAAGTATGTCACACTTGGCTAGGTTATATTTCTGTTGGGATGTTGTCAATAACATGAATTGTTATGTAGGCTACTCCAATCTCATTATATTACAGGTTCCATTGTATCGGAGTATTCTTATTTATGAAAATTTAAAACATTTTCGGAATTTAGTTTCGTTATCTCATATCAATATGAATATACATATGATTGTATATAAACAAATAAAAACATTGAGTCAAGAAAAGATATTGAATTTCAGTTGTAAGTTTAATATATCACCTATTAGCAGTATTAACTACAGATGTCTGAATTTATAAATTTGTAATGAAATATAAGATTTCAATATCTAAACTTTTCAGTACTTTTTCAGTACAATAATGCATGACACCTGTATATATATGGGTTTGAAGGCTTTAAGGAAATGCTCAAGCCTTGGTCTGTGTAAAATCAAAATAATTTTTTTGAAAACAAGTTTTCAATGTAAAAATACTTCATAAACATGTGATTTCAATCTCCTCATGGATCTTATTTTTAAAATAGCTGTTGCTATGAATTTTCAGTAATTCATTGAAAACTTGAGGAAGAAAACGTTAATCTATTAGATCAAATGTCACGTATTTACATCCCCTTTATGTTTTCCATTCATCAATCCGTTTATGCTGCTATTTAACTAGTTAGAACTGATACATGTATTTCAAGGCCACCTGTATGAAAGTGAGCTATATTTCATCAATGAAACGTACACAACTTACAAAGCATAAATACAATATTTGAGTAACTTAAACTTTTGTATGATTACTTATAAATATAAAGACAAAATGTCTTTGTATGTTTATGCATTAGTTGCAACTGTTTAATTCCCACATTAACAAACGAAGAAAGATATTTTATTGTTTTAAGAACTAACTGGGTTTTAAATTTAATTCATAGACTTATTTTCAAACAGCTGCAGTACCATTGTTGATATTTAAAGTATCAGTGACTCCATATACTAGAGGATTTTACTGTAATGATGACAGCATCAAATATCCTTACAAGTCATCCACAATAACATCAACAGCCCTCTACACCATAGGCTTTGTCATCAATATTGTGTTGGTAAGATTGAACTTCCTGGTAAAGTCATCTTTATGATACAGTCACATGAGAGAGAGAGAGAGAGAGAGACTTGGATGTAAAGAGTGGATGGGGTATCTTGATTTTTAATTTTAATACATATTCTGACAAGAACAAACTTTTTTTCATGCTTAACATATAAAGCTTAATTGACATTATACTGTAAACCAACTTTTATTCGCATGTGAGAAAGATCTGCGAGTTTCGTGACCTACTTTAACTCGCAAATTTTAATCACCGCAAACCATTTATTTTGCTTTGTTTTTATAGAGAATGTTTCGTCAGTCACAAAAATTAATCACTACAGATTGATTTCAAACTGACAAATCGCAAATAAAAGATGACACGAATAATAGTTGGTTTACAGTAACTCAAACTCAGCTTTAATTCTGTACCGTAAAAAAGTGATCTTTGAAGTGACAGAAATGTCTTGAATTTAAATTTATTTTCTTGACAGATTCTCCTTTTTGAATTCATTCGTTACCAATTTGGCAGCAGCTATAGAGCCACCAATGGAGGCCCTGCAGCAGAGAGCACCACAAGCTATACTGACAGCACTATACAAACAGGAAGGTCAACCAGACGAAAAATCTTCCAGTATTTCTACAATGTTTACAGGGTGCTCCTTCCTTTTGTATTTGGTGCGGTGGTGGAACACCTGACGACAGACATTGGAAAATACAGTATTGGTCGACTTCGTCCTCACTTTCTGTCCGTGTGTCAGCCAGATCCCGCTAAGTACAACTGTGTGACAGGGTACATCACTGATGATGTCTGTACCGGGGATCAGTCTCTCATCAGAGAAGCAAGGTTAAAATCTCTTAAGATAAAAACATCAACTAGATATAGGCAAGGCACTCAAAACCTCAAGGGGTTTGCTATGGATGTCAAATATGAAAATATGGAATGTTGGAATTATATTCTTACATAATTCAGAAATCTGACACAAATTATATCTTTGTCCTTAGAAAAAACTGGACTTACTTGAATGTTTATACCTGTATATAATGGTGTTAAGTCATTTTAATATTGAATCAATGGCACTCATTTAAGCTTCATCACATTTAATCTATATAATTATTCAAAAGTCTATATAAAGATAGGACTGCTTACTTTTGGAGACAGAGCAAAAATGATAAAAGTAAATCTGATCATGAATAAACGTGTCAAACTTTTGATTATTTTTCTATTACAGACTTTCTTTTCCATCTGGACATGCATCATTTTCTACCTATACAATGATTTTTGCCATGGTGAGCAGCAGTATTTTTCTTTGTCTTAAAGTTCAGAGAGAATGAGAAATAATCTGATGAATCAATGATAAACTGTACAACAGTGGACAAAAAGTAATTGATTAAACTTCTTATTCCCACTTTACAGGAGAAATTTAATGGAAAATGGATTGGGACTGAGTGCATGTATTTATAGATGCTTCCTTGTGTTTGAAATATGATTCACATGCAAACTTAAACCTTTCTTTGTAATTCAACTCGGGTAAATCTTATATTTATTTACTATGACGTTTAATATTGTAGTTGTATGTCCAAGCCCGCTTAAGATGGAGAATTGTTTATCTGTTGCGTCCTTTGATCCAGTTGATCTTGTTCTACCTTGCGTTTTATACCTGCCTGTCTCGGGTGTCTGACTACAAACACCATTGGAGTGACGTGTTGGCGGGAGCCATTATAGGGGTAGTCACAGCAATCCTAGTGGTGGGTTCTACAAAATTAATAAAAATATAATTTACACCTTATCTATAATCACCTTTATCCTCATCACCTTTCAGAGGCACAGAAATAATTGCCTTTTTTATATCATTATTAGTCCCCTACCGGTGAAACCGGAGGGGACTATAGGTTTCCTCTGAGTCTGTCCATCCGTCTGTCCATCCGTCTGTCTGTCTGTCTGTCCGTCTGTCTGTCTGTCCCTCTGTCTGTCTGTCAGTCTGTCCCACTTGGTTTTCCGCACTTATTTCCTTAACGCTTGCAGATATTGAGCTGATTTTTGCTATGTGAGTGTATCTTGATGAGTTACAGATCAAGTTTGCATTTCGTTCCGCTTCGTTGATTTTTGACGGAATTACGGCCTTTTCAATTTTTACGGGTTTTCCGCAATTTTCTTCTAAACGCTTGTAGATAATGAGCTGATTTTTGGTATGTGGCTTTACCTTGATTAGTTATAGATCAAGTTTGCATTTCGTCCCGCTTCATTGATTTTTGACGGAATTATGGCATTTTCAATTCTTACGGGAACCAGATTACACTTGCCGGTAGGGGACTAGTATTGCTAATGCAATACTCTCAGAATGCTTGTTATAATAGTAGTCTATGTTAAGAAGTAAATTATCTCTCTTTTGTATATTAGCAAATACTGATGCTTATTTCCATATTTAATCTGTTTGATGAAAAAGAGATAAATCCTTACAGGTTTTTAAAGTGTCCAACTTATTTGAGATTGAACCTAAGGATGTCAACTCAGGCACTCCTGTTATTCAAAACATGGTGGTCCAAACGCCAGAGCACAGAACCATGGGCCTGCAACATTTTACAGAAACAGTCGGTCCAGGACCAAAGGGGAAGCAACACAACACCCACATAATGACCAAGGGATACAGCAACTCTCAGTTTGTTCCTGATGAATATGATGATAGATATTACGTACCAAAGGCCAGGCATAGAAATGGTGTAGCACAGAGTTACCGTGAAAATGAGGTGGGCGTCAGGGCAGAAGGGAGGATAGCTACACAGGTCTATTACATCGATGCAGGGTCCAGTCACCATTCAGACAGTGAAGGGAATGCAACATTTTCTAAAATGACAACTCAGTTATAAAACATTATTATTGATCAAAATGTCACAAAATTATTTTCTAGTCTTGTACATTCTAATATTTTTATTCAATGCCAAAGAGTTTAAGAGTATTCTACCATACATCTATATCAGTCAAACTATCATTATACCATATCATCATGAATAATCAACATCAAATGCAGGAATTTTTAATATGAAAAATTTACTTCTAAAAATATTATTATCCTGAAGATATATTTCATAACTTGTTTTACACCATGACAACTATATTTTTTCATAACAAGCAGCATGGAGATGTGTGTAATACATGTATAATGCAGCTCAGGTTTTGTTTTTTAACATTTTAAAATATTTTTCTTTTTCAATGAAAGAAAAAATATATTATTGCTAAATACCCAATGCCTTCCTCTCTCCTAGTGCAAGGAGTAGAGAAATCTAGATCATCACAAAAAATAAGTATGCTGCCGAGTAGAAATCATAATTACATGTACTGGGTAATTGTCGATAGTGCTCCAGACATCTTCAAAGTCCAAGAGATGTTTTTTTTCTGTTGAACCAATTAGCTATCTTTATTGCTATGAAATGTTTTGTTGTTTATGTGTATAAGTTTGAAGATTTTTATGTTATTGTAGAAAATCATAATCTACTAATTGATGTTTACGTTGTGCTGTATATTATGAGACAAAGTAGTCCAGATTTAAAATCTGGACTGTTCTGTCTCATTTTTATACCTTACCCAGACTCTATAATTTATTCAGATCTTTTGTTATGTTTGCCCTTCTTATTTATCCATTCCATTCAAAAGGTAATGGTAATGATAAAATTATCATGAAAAAAAATGAAAATTCCAATTAAAAATTGAATTGAAAGTGTACACTAAACGAAAATGCAATTTGAATGAGATATTGCAATGTGCAACTATAAAATTAAGTGGTATGTTTTATGTAGCTTTGTATTGAATTTTTTCCTTCCATAGTTCATGGGTATCTTTCTCAATTTTTAACTAACATTGCAACATTGTTCCATATTTTCTTAGAAATTAATAATAATCTTTATTCAGGTATAGGCATTATGCAATGTACATGGACATTGAGGTGTGAGTATTATACACATTTAAAACTTTTAAATAGACATGATTTAAGAGATGAATTTTAAAACATATTAACTAATAAATCATATTTTGCATATAAATCAAATAAATATATTATTATATTGTATATGCCTAAACCCAAGGATAACCCATGAAAGCCAGTATGGCTTATTTCCAATGGGGTCCTTTTACATGGAACAAAATTACTGGCATATGACATATATATACTTAATATAAACAAATAATATACTTACTATAAACAAGATGGCTTAAAATTCAATTTTCAACACTTAATAAAATGACTCAAACCAGAAATTAAAAAATGTAGATCTTTGAAGGAATTTATTTTGTGTTTGAAGATTATAAGGGTATATATGATTTTAGGGAGTACATTCCAAAGTATTGATTTGAGAATAGATGTAATTTTTTCCAAACATGTGTAATATTGTAACTTATCTTCAATCCTTATTACCTATATTTATGTACATAACTTACATGTATAGTTCTACATGACCCACCGTCAGAACAGAATATTAAGGCATCAGTAAAGGTGGTGCTTTTTTCATACAAGTAAAGCTACAAGATGTAAGCCTACCTAGCATGTATAGAGTTTTTATATATTATGCAATCTTTTTGGTAATTTATACATGAGTTATCAGACTTTTCCAATTTTTCCATGTATCCATGTACATGTTGAGTACCCTACATTACTGAGGGCATGTATATTACGTAGTAATATGATTGACCAACAATATACTAAAGATAGGAAAACTTACCACAACTAGTCTTCCAGAATTGAAGAATAATAAGCAGCTATGATTAATATTGTGTTATTTTGACAATTCATAAACAAAACCTGCTATATATTGCAATAATTGTGTTACAGTTTACACCATTCATCTTTGTCTCGGTGAATGACTCATTAAACTTTCAGAGTTGGCTCCAGTTTTAGTATCCAAACAAAATACTGCTATATACAATGGTAATGTTTACTTCCACTGGAAGACTTTTATTTTTTGTGTCATACTAGTATTTGTTGTTATAATATGATTACTATATAATTTCATTGTAATTGTACCTTTGTTATCTGTGATGCACATACATGTACTATACAGAATTAAAAACAATCAAAAACTGTTGTTCACTGTCCTTCACAAATGTTAGAAAAGCAATTTTTAATAAACATATTGTTTAATCTTAGCTTTAGCAGGAACTGAAAGATACCTGCACCTTTGAGAAAGTAGCTATCAGGTCATTAGAAAATGACCCTCTCTGATCGCTACTTCAGCTTAGACATGAAAAATTTATGAAATGTCACCTCCTGTACATCCTGCTCTTTAGTATGAACTGTCCAAAGGCCCCAGTAGTGTAGCGAGAAAATGCAGAAATTGAGACGGATACTCTAAAAACTGAGCTATCTCACCATCAACACCTGGGGCTCATTTTACAAAAGAACTTACGACTATGGCCAAAACTTAATTCTGCTTGTAACTTTCTAATTTACATTGAATTGAAAATGGTTTTAATCTTTTTAAAGGGAATGTAGAAAGGTACTTTAACATTAGCAATTTTAAACAGAATAATTAATTTTTTAAAATTTTACAAACAACTAAAGTTTTGGGTCTTAGTCGTAAATTCTTTTGTAAAACGGGCTGCAGGTCATTTCTTATAACCTCCTGCCTCTGGAGATTACATAGGTTCGTCCCTGGCAGTGTTTTTACCTTACACTATCAGGACATGGTCACAGCACCAAATATGACAAGATTGGAGAAAATGAAACAGACCAGACAAGAATTAAACTAGATAGGTGCTTTACATAACAAAACTATCTTGTCACTGGCAAACTTGAGGGATCAAAATAAAAGTAATCTTCCCTGGCTTGACAACAATGGAATATGATTAAATTGGTCAACAAAGAAAAGGTTAACAAGTAAAATGTCAAGGTTGAAATCATCCTTAAAATTTGGTTAATAGAACATGGCGTATTTGGCATGTGAACTGCAGGAAGCACATGTACAAAACTTTTATAGTTTAAATATCCACGACTTGGTCATTGAAAAACAAAGCATGTATAAGACTATGGCTATTTCCAAGACAATTTATGTTTTTTTTCAATTAAAGGTCTTCCCCCCCTTCTCTGTCTAGCCAATTTTCAAGTTAATTTTTAGCAAATCAAAACACAACACCAGGAAAATATATCTCTTTCCTATTTCACAGGAACCTGATACATCAAAAGAATGCTAAAACTTCATGTGACAGATCAATGAAATTTACTTTTCAAGAGTGCCCAGATTCCTGCCGAATGTCAATCAAATTTGCCTTTGTTCTTCAATGTACTACTACCCTCTTCTAAACATGTATATTTTTGTAGTAAAAATTAAGTATTTAAACAGTAGATCAATTTTGCTTAACACTTTGACAACTGAAACATAAAACGTGACAAGGTTTACAATTTATTGCCATTATTTTTTTTTTTTTTTAAATTAAACACATCCACATGGAATACAAACTATTTGTATCTTGCATAATTTAGCAGGACTAATTTAGAATATTGACTGAAATATTTTTACCCAAAAGCAACATTTTGGACCACTATTCATGAACTCCATCTTTGTTTATTAACAAATACTGGGATTGAACAGCTTTCTCATTCCATAACTCCAGTGTGTCTCACATGACCTACATGTATTATAGGAATCAAATATAATAACACAATATCAAATGCATTTTATAATTTAATGACATATCAAGCAACAATGTTCATTAAAGACAATCTTTTACAATAAAATAATCAATATATACATTAATAGCACTAAAAAAGAAAATCAATCTCTCCTTTGTAAAGTATCATGCTTGGTTTAGTATAGGATAGCAGGGGAGGCAAACCAGTCCATTGTCCTGGATGACAATTGCACCAAATTTCACATTTTCCATGAAATAGAAGAGATTTCTATATATATGTACAATACATTGGAGGTTGAATATCTCGGTGAATTCATGGTAACTCTTCAATGATGGATGTGAGACTTTTTACTGAATTTGTATTAGCTCTTCAATGGTGAAGGTGGGATTTCTTAGTGAATTCTTGTTAACTCTTCAATGGTTTTTACCAAGTCATCCACAGTTGCTTCCCTCTTCATGCCACTCCCATCATCAATCTGGAAAAAATTAGTACAAGTTACTGTCCACTGTCATAAAACATATCTACATATATTCAATTTTATTCAAAATCTTACATCTGACCTTTTCTGCATAGAAAATATACTTTAGAAAGGTTGCCTTTTATAGAGTTCAGCAATGAATTTTGTGTTTGTACCTGTAGCCCTTTGACAGTTTCCTGCATTTTGTCTCTGTTCAGATCTAAGAAACTTTCTATCAGATCACCGTCAATAAAACCTTCACATGCCTCTGTCTTCCTCTCGGTGTGGAATGATCGCCAACTGACAGATGTCAAGGAGTTCAATGGAAACAGAATTAAAACCCTCAAATCTAATCAAAATCAAGTCAACTTTATTTGGAAAATGCAAATCTGTCAACCTCTCTCTATTTAGATTTTTAGTACATGTATATCAGGGACAAGTTCTAAGAAAGAAAGAATTTATCAAAAGGAAATCTTTGTTCATAAAGGATACAATGAGTGTTCTATCTTTCCAACACTTTTGATAACTTTGGCCAGTCTTGACTGAACATCTTGTAGGAAAGTATAAAATTCTTGTGGCACCTGCGTTACCAAACCTGCAACATATAACAGCCATGTACAAACAAGAATCAGATTTAAGTGAAAAATAAAATAGATGGTTCCTATTGTGTGTGCTACACTTACCCACAACCCTAATAACTGTTCAACCAGTGTTTTCCCCAGAAAATTTTCAATGCATGGGGGGAATTTTGCTGAATTGACGGTGCGCGGCGTGTCTTGTTGAGTTACTTGTGCATGTATCTGAATTTATATTTAAATGAAAAATACAAATTCATTCATTTAATATATATTTTTTAATTTAAATGATATATTTTGAATACATTGTCAATTTAACTTTTAAAAAAGCTAAACAATTGAGTTCTCTTTTATAAAAATAGATCTGATCACAAAAATTGTTCTATTTTATATTCCTCTAAAGACACTGTCTTTTTATCATGTTTATGTGCCATGTTATTCTTGCTTTCTACAAACTGAATAGGCCCCTAGTGACCCCCCCCCCCCCTTTATTTACTAGACTACATTTTTTTTTCTTTTGAATGTCCCTACTTTTACAGTCATTTTTAAACAAAAAGGGTGCACATTATGTAGCACCATTGCTTACATTTAAATATTGTGACAACATATTTAGTACATTGGTGTCTGATTTTTTTTTTATTCAACGTAATGTAGGTCAAGCATGTGCGCTTGAACGAAGTATTTGCCCATAGTTCATAGAGTAAATAAATAATGATAATATTTATTGGACATGTTTATTTTAAGCATATTTATTCTAAAAAAAAATGGCTTTAAAATTATGTGTTTAACTAATGAATCATTTTTGATGTCGGAACATCAATGCTATTTATAGAATGACCTGTGGATGTTGGAAAAACCCACATGTGCATATAACAAGTGTATATTACTTTCACCGTGTGTACTATCTTTCAGCAATTAATAAATTTTTCATGTTTATAAATATTTTTAATCAAATAAAAGCTTAATACTTAGTAACATATCAGTAAATTGCAATAAACATAAATAGAGAACTATTGCATCATACCACGTACCGAGTTCACCAGGTGCGCAACATGTGTACAGTACACTCTGTGACTCTAGTAATTTGAATTGTTTTATTGAAAGATTAATAACTGATAACAATTTCAATGTATATCTTCTTCTAAAAATAGTCTGCCTTTAATAATTCATGCATAGCGGGAAGCATAGCGGCAATGTGTGCTGCATGGCAGGGGATCGTGAATGCATGGCGGTATCGCCATGCAAAAACGGTCTGGGGAAAACACTGGTTCAACACAGAACCTTGAGTAGCTGTGCTGGTTTTTTCCATGTTTTACTTACCCACAACCCTAATAACTGTTCAGCAAAGAACCATGAGTAAATGTGCTGGTTTCCATACAGCACAGAACCTTGAGTAGCCCCATTCACTGTTCCATACAGCACAGAACCTTAAGAACTTGTGCTGGTTTTTTCCGTGTTTTACTTACCCACAACCCTAATAACTGTTCAGCACAGAACCTTGAGTAGGTGTGCTGGATTCTCTGGTGTGTTACTCACCTACAGCACCATTAACTGTTCCATACAGCACAGAACCTTGAGTAGGTGTGCTGGTTTCTCCTGTGTGCTGCATTACCAAGGACCCTAAAACAAATGGAATGCAAGTTACCGAATATATTCAGGTAGGATGCTGTCTTTAAGGACATACGCAACGTACCTTACCTAATGATAATTTTTCAAGATATTCTTTATTTAAGATTATAGTGCCAACAGATGCTCATAGACAAAAAATCAGCATGCATTACCAGGGCTTTTGAAGAGATATCAATTGAAAATTCTTGTATACTTCAAAGAAAAATATTCAAAAATTACTAAACATATATTCTAGATGTTTTGTTTATCCAAACTTGTTTTAGAAGTGAAAAACAGCATATATAGGAAATGTAGCACACAGTTCCTTTTAGTATTGGAACTCTTCAACTCCAGGGAAAAAGACAATCAAGTTCAAACTACATTGCGTATGTCCTTAATAATGAGTATCAATGAACAAGAAAATATGATTTGTAAAAAATCATCTAATACTACCCTGATTTGTTTTGTACCTACCATGCCTAAATACATTAACAAATTCACCAAGATGAAACATTCCAACTTCTTGTAGGTTTTGCCTGTCCTCATCTGTTGTGGATGCACTGAAATTAATATCAGTAATCACACTCTTATAAAAAAACGAAACCTGCTCAAAATACTGTACACAGATTAACGAAATTACTTGAAAGTGAATCGGTTATTATATCAAAGTCCAGACAAATCTCTACCTGTCTTTCTGACATGTGAATAAATTAAATGAATTCTCAGCTCCAAGGAAGTTGTCATCATCCAAGATCTCTATTGCTGTAGTCCAGTTTGGATTGCAGTCCCTGGCAATCTGCAATAAATTAAAATCTCTTTATCATATTATATTCAATTTCTTTTAAAAAAAATTTTGTGTGTGTGTACATGTACATCCAGTTTATATGTAAGGAATATTAGTAATGTCTAATACCTCCTCAAAAGTGCCCTCCATTGGTTTGTACAGGAGCAATGTAATGGAGCGCATCAGGTCTCCCACAAGAATAAAATCACACTTTGTCTTCAGATACAATGCCACAATACTGTTAAAATAGTTACACTCTAATCTCAACTCCTTTTCTGTCGTCCACTCAAATAGCCGCACCTAAAAGTAAGATTAGGAAAGGTGCATGTGTCTGAATAATCATGGACTCAAAGATGTTGGTTTTTATAACATCCTTAAATATACTGAACTTACAGTGCTATTAATACTGGCAAGTAACTTCCCATTGAATTCCACAAGTGTGTAGGCAGCACCTTTTATTTCTTTCTCACCAATTTGATTTAGTTTACCTGAAAAAGAATCCATCATTGTTACAGAATCCTGCATTTTTTCCTCGTATTTCTATTTCCTTCCATCATAAGTATGCCTTTTGAGTGTTAAAAAAAAGATATTCTGGAAAGTTAAACTTTTTTCTTTATCATACAGGCTTTCTCTATGATGAAATTTTATAAAACTCATTGATGTTCATTTAGATTTTTTTTACCATCATGGAAGTGGAAGATGACAATTCTTCCCTGTTTAGGCTCTGCCTCCTCAGGGTGAACCAGTGCTGTCCCCACAATGTAGTATGTACATGGATCCTCCCCAAGTTTGGCAGAAATGAGACTAGTGGCAAATTCATTGGGCATCAGCTGGTGGGCATGTAGCACTGAAATCATAATCAAGTGTTTATCATACATACTATAATTAATAAGATGGCTCTTTCTCAACATCATTAAAGTACTGACTATAAAATTAAACAAGTTGCTGTATATTTTTTCTTTTACTGTAGATTAATATCACTACTGAAGATCATCTAGATGATGAACAGGGGGAAAAGTTGAAATTCAAAGTGTTTGGGAAAAGGATTACTTTTAAAAGAAAATGCTAAACTTGATTACAACACTTTATTTATTAACCTTCAAATGTGTGTTGATCAATGATCAACAGTGAGTGGACCTCTACTTCATCCCCGGTAGAGTGCTCTCCCATTGTGCTGGTCCCCATGGTAACCTTGCCACTAGAACTTGAGCTTGTCATTGCAGCATGTGTGCTGGCACTGGGTCGTGTGGGATTTAAACCATTGCTGTCTTGAAGGTCCATACGCATGGAGATAACACCAAATGTCTGTGACGATTCCTGGTAAGCTATTCGCCTGTAAATACCACACATTTACACTGCACTATTACATCATTAACTTTAAAAATTTTATCCCAGAATCTCTATCTTTGACACTCCATAAAAAAGATACAAGACTACTGAATGTTACACCACTGGTTAGTATTCATATATAGTTTGAAGGAATTATGGAGTCCTTGATTACAAGTTTGGATTTCTGAGAATAACGCAATGTAGAGTATGCTGTATGCTAATAAACTTTGAAGGAAAAAAAAAATTGTTATTGTCTTACCTGGGTGACTCCCCTAAAGGAATAGTTCTAATGTGTAACTTCTGAATTTCATCTATAGTCCCAATGGTAAGAGTACTGTCATTAGCTAATGCCAAACTAGAACACAAAAAAGATACATGTAAACAAACAGTTTCCAGTTCAAAGAAATATACACGTACGTGTAACTTGTTAGAGTTGTACCTTATTGTAAATACTACTTTTGTGTTTGGGAATAGGAGGATAAAAAGGAAGTATTAATGTAAACATGCTCCTAAACTGTTTAGACCCGTGAAAAATTTGAAGACTTGAAATCCCCTTTACACATCTCCTCCTGCTTATCCTGTGATAGAGACTCAGAACTAACACCTGTATTTTTTTACTGTTCTCACCTGTCTGGGTATCCCTCTGAATTCAGTGGACACATGTGATTAACTTCTTTTAAGTTGACATTGGAGAAAACAAGTTTATGATTACTGGAATATATCACAGTTGGCCGATCTGAACACGCAAACACATTTGTTGTAGACAGAGATCTAAATGTTCGTAAAACTGTTGGCTGTGTGCCCAGAGTCACTTTCCTCTTCTCTGAGAAGTATCCTGCCAAAAACATCATTGCATCAGATCTCTGAGACCTTGAAGTATTCTAAACTTAAAAATATTTCACACTGTTGTTAAGATAAGGATTTTGTAATCCAATTCTATAAACTAACTAAATTATGTACCTGTTTCAATATTAAAATTAAAGTAGAATAATGAACCATCTCCTAATGCACACAACAGATAATGAATTCCTTCAAATGTTGTCATCAGAATAGATCTTGGGATGATCTCTGTAATAAAATAAACTTATGTTACATGTAATACAAAAAAACAAAAAGGGTTTCCCTTTAATACCAAAAAAATGTTCAATCCCAAACAACATGTCAATGAATCACATGTATATTTCATCAGTGAATTACAAATGACATTATCCAGTACCTCCTCCCAGCATTTCCACATGGAGACTCCGGAAATCTGGCAAACTAAGAACCCTGGCTGAGATGTCTGTCCACAGACCAATAGCACACAGGTGAGACTTCTCCTCCCCTTCCCTGAGGGGGGTCAGGTCTACACAGGCCACTTCATGCTCCATTGTACAGGTGCTGTAAAAACAGAGATTTAATGCAGCAGAGTCAACACAGGTGCTTGATTGTTTAACAAACAATAGTCTTCTAACAATGCAGATTCTGATACTGATCACTATAAATAAAAATATTTTTTGTTTTCTCTTTTGAACAGTAAATTTTTTCCCTCCTATATCTATTGTACCTGTCACAGAGTAAAAAAAAAGAAAGTCTTGATTAAAACTGGAACCTCAGATAGAGTTTCAACTACAGTTGAACTTCAATATCTTGAACACCGATATCTCGAATACCATGGATATGTCGAACTGATTTGGAAGTCCCAATTACTTATTTTTTAAGCATATTACCCTCCCTATCTTGATTCCTCCAATATCTCAAAGTTTTTTCTCCATTCCCATCATGTTCAAGATAATGAGGTTTGACTGTATCTGAAATATCAATGTCACTAAATATGATACCTTGTAACTTGACCTACTTACCTGACTTGTTTGATGTCCCCCTTTAACAGTTCCAGGTAATACAACTCACTGCCAACACAGGCTACAACCTGACAGGTGTTACTACTGGCCAAACTGATATTCTTCCCTCCAGGGTGCTTCCATTCCTTCATCAGTTTCTGGTTATCACAGCTGATCAGTCGAACAGATTGAGGGGTTATCTATAAATGAATTCATAAAATAAAATTGAAATAGTAACTGTAAATACAAGCTGTGTAACTTGAATAAAATGCCTTAATAGTAGGGTAATACTGTAACTTCCGTTTGACCATATACAGGCGACTCTCGATCTCTCGAAGTTCAAGGGACCGCAAGAAAAGTTCGAGAGATCAAGGGGTTCGAGAGAGAGAAAGTGAATAAAATCCGGAATTTTCAGTTCCGATCATCATTGTTCTACTATTATAAATACCGGAAGTATATGTCGATAATGTCATTGCACGTTTTCATTCGTACTATTTTACAGGTAATACTTGATTTCAACAACAATGATCGTATTTTGAATAAATAAAACGATCTCTTTAAATTTCAGTATTTATTTGTTCTCATTTCATAATTACATGAAACCTGAATAGCAATCGTCGGCGTGGCTACCCCCAGGGCTTCATCGGGTCCTTCACCAGATTTCTCGTATTAAATGGGTAATTAATTCTTCAGATAGGATTTCTTGTGCAGTGTTTGTCATACTGGGATTATGTAAGCTCTAATAAAACTTCAAAATCTATGAAAAAATATTGACACATTTCTTAACTCATTTTCTAAAAATTATCGTCTCGCTGTCAAGTCAAAATAAGTTGTGAAGCAATTCGTTTATAGTTTACCAATTGTAACCAATTAATTATATCAACACTCGGATGCTCACATGTATAGTGTCATCTATGTAAACACCCATTTAACACCTCAATGCCAGCCCGAGGCGTTCACTGTTATCCAGGTAAGTCTAAGCTGCATTAATTTTACGCTTGATCGGCGTGTGCACACACGCAATCAAAACTTCGAGAGATAGAGAGTAAAAAAACAAGGAAATGTGTGTAACGGGACCCAGGTCTTGGTTCGAGAGATAGAGAACTTCGAGAGATTGGAAGTTCTCGAGATAGGAAGTAAATTTGCTTAGTTATATAGAAGAAAAAAACGGGACCGGAGGTTCACTTCGAGAGATCGAGAACTTCGAGAGATCGGTGTTCGAGCCATCGAGAGTCACCTGTATATGTGCATATACATTAACTCTGACTTGTCACAGGGCAGTGACTCAATTAACCTTCATCTTAACTAAATGATTATTATCTCCAATATTTTTATAGCTAAACTCAAAGTTTAAGTTGTGGACAGACTGACTTACAGATCATATAGATGTAAATATACAGGTTCTTATTGCTCTACCTGCTTTCTGTGAGAAAAATATTATTTAAACTCTGGAGACAATATTACAGACTTTACCTGTAGAAGTTGGTTGTGTACAACATTGGCACATAGAAAGGTCTGCTGATCTGATTCAAATCCCGAGAGCTCTGTTTCTTCTACTTCCTCTCCGTTTAGCATAAGCACCCTACAAAGTCATCATCAAAACAAGTCATATTCAATTGTCGATTTACTTCACCATTTACCTTTCTCCTTTTATTTAGTTTACCTACCTTGTTTGTCCAACAAAGGAAAGCACTATCATATTGTCATATTCCGGTGAGTTCACTCTCAGTGACCAAATACCTAAAAATGAAGCTCAAAATATTTATCCAAACTTCTAACTTGTTTACAGTATTCAACGTATAATACCACAGACTTTAATATTACAGGGAAATAGTTTTAACAAAATATTTAGCAAAATATGTAGGTTTAGTATTAGGTTAACAAGTACATGTATTTTGTATTTAGAACATTTTGAAAAATTTCACATTTAAAAATTAAATTGAAATTTAAATCAAATTTCAATTCTTGATACTCCAATTATGTTCAATATAAAATTTGATGAGCCTTCTTTCCACAGAATATAATTATTTTTTAATTTTTTTCTATAACAGTCTTTTCAAAATACATTGGATTTTGTCATAAAGCTCTTCATTAAATAAAAATTAAATTCCCAATTAATGATAGACTGGTGGATAATTTAATTAAATATACTGGAAAAAAAAAAAAATCAATTTTCAAGTATACATTACGCCTAAAAAAATTAATAACTTGGTTCTCAGGCCAGTTTTCTAAAAAAAAAAAAATAAATGCGGGAGGAAGGCATTTTTTCCTTTTTTTCCTATTAAAAAACAGACGCAGGATTTTTAATTTTTTTTTTTTAATTTCAAAACTAGCAACTTTTAATCAACAATGTTTCAACACTGAGTGCAGAAATCAAGATCATTTATTTCCTGCTTCTTTCTCTTTTTTCTTGCATTTTCTACATTTCGGTGATTCGTGTAATGAAACGGTGGCATCCTTAACAACCAGGCGTGTTAAACTTACAGAACCCAACACTTTTGCTTACGTATCACAACTAATCTAAGAGTGTTTCAGCACTATAAATAGCGCTTATGATTTTATTAAACATTGTTAAATTTAGCAGTCTTTGGTTTATGCACATTATATGATATCAGCAAATCTTGCTGAAACTTTTCTGGAAACTTCCAAGGCTGAGGGAGTTGTCTTTGATAGCGTTATTGAGTTCTAACATAGAACCACCTTCACGAAACCCCCACTATGTGCCATGGAAGTATTTCAGTCCAGGGATCGACATTAACGGTTGTCCAATTGCCCGGGACAAGTAAATCATCAGTTCGGGCAAGTGAAATTGTCAACGTACTTGTTCGATAGGGCAAGTGATTTTTTTTTTCATTCATATGTACATATTTATTTAGTTTACATTAATTTATAAATAAAACCATAAATTGAACACTTTATTTCTGCAACGTACCTGACTGACAATGTTTTTGCATTCGGAATCCCTTGCTAGTGTTTCTGTATATATACCGTTCATTTAAAAATCAGGTTCCTTATTTTCTTTCGTAGTAAATACACTCTACGTCTAACAAAATTTTGTTAACTTCTTATTAGGAAATTAGATTATTTATTCACGCACAAAATATAAGTACAGTGTAACAGGATGTATCGTGATCAAGATAAGATGTATGTTTCGTAGCAACTATCTTCCTTTAGCGGTGCTTCACGGTTATCTCTGAAAATCACGATTCACAAAAGGATCCTACCAAAAATAATTTTTAATGAACTTTATTAAAAGGAAACGGAGGGTTATTGCTGCATGTCAGTGTGTGCTAACATGTTAAATTTACAAGTACAGTGGTATACATTTATGTACAAATGCAGCATCGCAATTTTTTCAGGTAGCTCAACTTGCCAAATTGACAGTATTGTATTTAGTAACATTTTTTCTTATCATAACGTTTACAGTAATAAATTATTTTCTTCTTAAATTCTTTCCTAATTTGGGCAACCAAGTTTTGCATTCGGACAAGTCAAAGTTTGAGATCACTTGCCCGAAGGGCAAATAAATCTGAAAGTTAATGTCTATCCCTGCAGTCATTCCCTAATGAATTTGCACTGAAGCCATCATGACCAAAATTAATCTTGACGCCTTGACCTGTTAACTTGACAGCCATATTTGCAATTTTTAACTAGGCCACTAGTCTGGATCATCTTGATGATTGTCAAACGTTTTACTGATGGGAGTATCTAAAATGCGGTCAGGGATTCTGGATTTTTTTTTTTGCACCATATGAGCGCATGAGAGAAGTTTTATTTTATTCATTTGAGGATAAAAATGGGTAATGCACATTGTTAAATATGATGCGGGCGGGCCTGAGAACCAAGCTATTAATTTTTTTCAGCCTTATTTCATGAAATATACCTTTGATTCCTGGTAAATCTATACTGGCATGTTCATGAATTCCAATACCATTTCGTATTATCCTTAATGAACCCTCTTTATATGCACCAGAGCATGTAACAAGCTAAAAATAAATAGGCATTTTATTTAAATGTAAATTTACAGCCTACATGCATCTTAACCTGTCTGATATCTTAATTTTCTTTTATGCTGTACACTACCTGTCCTTGACCTTGTCTTTCCAGGTCAACCACACACATATCAAGGATAGGGCCCAGGTTTGTGAATCTCTCCATCTCTTGTACATAGGATCCATTCTCATCTGGCTCAACGTTGAGCTAAAATAAAATCATTGTTAATTTTCTCTTTAATCAAAATGGTGTTGCAATTTTCGAGCATCATAGCATTTCTTTTCTAGACCAAAAGAAGAAAATCAAATATTCTTACTTTGACAAGCTGTGAATCTCCAAGTCTGGATCCAATATACACAACAGCATTGTCCAAATATGTCATACATTCAGCTATTGTAGTCTGCAGTGAAATATATCAAAATTTTTAGGTAAAACAATGTAGTCTGAAGTAAAATATATATACATGAAAAATGAAACATTGTAGTCTTCAGTAAAATATATGAAGTCTACAGTAAAATACACCTTGCAATATATTTAAGTTAAACTATCATCTAATAAGAATGCATGACAATTGTTCCCTCAGACACTGACCTCTCCCAGGAGTTCCACCTTAAGGTCCTTCACTGTCACTGTAGAGTCCATTTTCTCCTCCTTCTCCAACATTAGCATGAAGAGTCTCCCCATCATGTCTCCTAATAAATAACGGGAACCATTGGCATCCACCTTCCCGTAACACGTCAGGGTACTTTGCTGAAATTCAAAATATGCTGAATAATTCCCAACAGGGTGGTTATCATCTTTACAATTAATGGATAAATGATGACAGATAGTTACTGAATGTGTCAACTCATATTGCCGTGATCTGATCTGAATGGAAAACTCTGTACTTTGTTATCAAACGGTTAATATTTAGCTTCAAATTCCTTCATTAGCAAGAATAGGGTGAGAATTTTTGCAGGTGGTATACAAATGTTGCTGTAAAATTTGAAGTTTTTATTTCCTTGACAAACCCATGACTATAGATATACCTTTATGGCAGGTGGAGCAATAGGAATGAAGTTGTCTCCCTTGTGGTACGTAATGGACTCCTGTCCAATGATTAGTGCTCCACCAAATGGTTCAGGTACTACAATGAAAAGAAAAAATTCATTTAGTTTAAAATATATTTTATTCATGCAAATGAAATGGATTGAACAGCAGGCATAAATGCCTATGATCGTTCTCTCCATTTATTCATTTATTCAGGACATCAAAAAAAAATTGTATAGGAATCATACAATATTATAATGAATTCCTTACCAGCTATAAGCATGCATGCTTCTGTTTCCACATTGTCTTGCTTCCATGGACCTTTCTGAAATTCTTTGTCTCTGAGAGATATTTCATATGTTTTAACATGGCGACCATGTTGATCCTGTAAAATACCGCATCAAGAACACTTTAAATTTCTTAATAGCTGGTGTCATTAGACAGATGCTTTTAAAAAAAATCAAAATAGAACTGTTTTAAATGGACCAATATCCCTCACATTATACACTAAAACAAGCTTGTTTAGAAATATTTAAGATCTCAGTAATACACTTGTATCACTAAGATTTCACTCTGCAATTTTATACAACATGAACTTCTCCAAATGTATTAATGCTGTAGTTTCTGATCATTAGCAAACTTCTGCAATCTATACATGACATTATTATGACTTGAACTATACTTACTGCCTCTCAGTGGGTGAATCATTAGACAAACTCTAGTCATGAGCAACCAGAAGCACATCAAGAGAATGTGGGTTAGATCAAGCCAAGTATGAAATTCTACCATTTGTCTATTTCTTAAATACAAGGTTACGATGTGGACAAAAAATCCAACATGGAAACTTGACCTTACTAAATTACCAACTTGTTTCAGGGTCATGACACCCTCTAAGCTAAAAAATAGTTTGCCAGCGATGACAGAGGTACATTTCCAGGTATGTTTTATGATGATCAAACCTTAAAGTCATACAAGAAAATGAGACTACTTGTTTTTTTTTCCTTAAATTTGCTAAGCCTTGTTGACTTGCCTGATGAATAAGAATCAGAGTTGGGGTCGTACAGCCATGAAGGAATTGTATGTCAATAACTGTCAGCTCCTCCAATCTGCAAAAAGATTTAAAGTGTGGAAAAAAAACATCACAACATATTTCCTGTGTCTCCATTCTTAATGACATCACATACATGTATATTTCCCGATATTCAGTCAATAACCTTTAAATATAAAACAAACCTAATATTAAAAGCCTTCAGTTCTTTGTTGTCTCTTTCAAGTGGGATAACTTTGAACAATCCATCATACAACCTTAGACCTATCACACGACACAGGGGGTCGATGATTCCAATTATCCCGGTCTCTGATGCTCGGCCTATTTTATCCTACAAGAGACAACCCAAAAAAAGTTAAAAATAATGAAACATAAATCTACAATTTTAACATATTTGGACCTTCACTTAGTAAGGAGGCTTTTCTGGGTCTGTGGTCAGTGATAAGAATATATCAAAAATTCTTATCTTTGTCTTTATTCACTCCCTTTGAAAAGGGGCATGGTCAGTAATCTCATTAATCTTGAATCACAATTAGTTGGCTTATTTGAATTTTACACAGAATTTCTGGGAAAATGAGAAAATTAGAAAGCAAACTTCAATACCTGTACATTGCCATGTGCTCTTGTGATAATGTCAATATTTTCCCCATTTTGATTACATTCCAGTATCATAGCATTATATCTCTGTGTCAGTAAGAACATCAAATCTTTTGACTCCCCCTGAAAAACACACCACATTTCTAAGACAAAGTTTAGAAGTATAAATAACTTGTGAACCTCATCAGTTTTTTGTGAAAATTTTCATTAATGTATATACATTAAATCAGAAGATTTAATTTGAAAATTTCCTTCCCAGAACTTACAGGTGGTCTGAACAACTCCATTACAGCAATTCTACCATAGATACCAACTTCTTTTACTGGACGCAAACCTTCTGGTGTCACCACATATATTTCCATCCGAGTATTTCTTGCAATAATTAAATTAAGGTCATCTGGTGATGTAAAATTACCTAAAAATAATAAAAACATCATATAAAATTACCTAAAAATAATAAAAACATCATGTAAAATTACCTAAAAGTAATAAAATCATAATGTTTCTATAAGACAATCAAAAAAATGAAACAAACCTGATAGATGTATGAAAGTCTTGCACTCAAAGTTAAATTATCAAATATTGCACAGGCATTAAACAGTAACACTTCAAGCATTGTATAGTAACAGCATTTTTAAAAAAAATAAAATTTAAATTTAAAAAAAAAAAATAAATTTTTAGATTTAGCTATTAGGTTAGTCATTTATAAATCTATAATTTCAACAAAATTTTCCTATTTTTGCCAGAATTAAATGAATATTCAGAATAAAGTTGCTACTTAAACATCCACTTAAATGTCTATCTGCCTAGCCAGCTTCTACATTTCTCCAGTGGCATTAGCATTACAGCTAGCCATTTTAATAGGGAACTGCAGATTAGGCCAAAAAAAATTAATCAATAGTTTCTCAGGCAGTGCCACATCAGGTCAAAAACGACCGCATTGATCAATTTTATTGACATTTTTAAAAGGGAAATAACTCAATTTTCTATTTTTCCAAGTTGAAAAAGAAAATTGAGTTATTTCCTTTTTCATAACAATAATAGTAAAACTTTTTTTTTTTTTATTAGATAAACAATATTCTTCTAGTCTATACAGTCCTTTATTAATTAACTTTTAAAGAAATGTTTAGAATAACATAATTTGAAGTTGAGTACATTATAATTAGTATTAGTATTAAGAGAACAAAAAAGTGAGATTCAGTTAATATCATCATTTTGTTGAAAGACTGACATGAAAAAAAGATACCTTTTGAAAAAAAAACAAAAAACAAAAAAAAAAAACAAAACAAAAAACAAAAAAAAAAAACCGGCCTGCCGCATTGAATTTTGAAATTTTTGGCCTGAGAAACTATTAATTAATTTTTTATGGACTTAGTTTCACATTTTATAACAAAGGAATGAAGTATATTACAATTAGTAAATACATTATTATTTATTGAAGCATTATCATTATTAAGCAAATCCTGCTTCTGATTAGATCTCTATCAGCAGTGTCCTACGAAAGATCACCATTTTATTGATTCTGAGAAAAAATATCTACATGTACATGCATGAAAATTTTAAAAATATCAGTCTCAAATAGACTTAACAGATATTGCAAGATATCTTGCATAACAATATGAATTGTGACAGAATTTTTAAAAATGTTTTACACATCATTTACAAGTTTTCCATAACTTATGCCATCCTCAAATAGTCAGGGTTCTTGTGTCAACTTGTTGCCATGGGACCCCTGACAAATTCATTTGGTTTTATTTGGACTTGCTTCTCTCATTAAAAAGCATCAATCAAATTGCAGAGACAGATAATGTAAACAGAGGGGAATCAGTTGACGCCTAAAATGCAGGTAGTATGCATTTATCATTGAAAGGCCTAATGTGGTTGGTTGAGAGATAAAAAAAAAAAAATCCAAGATTTGTTATTTTCCAGAAAGACACCGCTGCAGTAGGGCTGTCACGAGTACCTGAAATAACCGAGAACCACGGTCCAACTTGTTCGGTTCGGTTTCATTTTTCTGGATTTCGGTTCGGGTCTGGTTTATGTATTATAGTCTGTTCAATACAAAAAATGGCATCGAAATCAAAGGAATGATGACGAAACAGTGATAAATAAACATCACAATGGAAATTTCCTTCGTTCCATGACAAAACACTTGTCACGGAAGTATTATATAATTTTCAAAACGAGCAGGAATGGTCAGGTTGTGCTTAATAGTAGGACAAGTAGTTCTACACACCGATGTCTAGACATTCGCATGGTTAAGACTTGTTTTCAATGTAAATTTAATGTAACAAATAAAGATTTTTCAAGTTAAATTCATGAAAATAAGGTTTAAAATAGATGTAAATAACCAAACCGAAAAACCCAAAACCGAATCGAAAATTTACAGAACCGACCAGACCATAAAAATTTTGGAACCATGACAGCCCTACACTGTGGTCAGCCCATAAGATATCAAATGAAATTTGTCTGGGGTCCCTCAGCAAAAAGTTGACACAATTATTTTGCAACAAAGCTTTACATAAATATACATTTGTCATCGTTCGAATGATGTATTAGTTACGACACCATTGATCCTTATTACATTTAGCACTGTTATAGAGATTATTTGAAATCTGTTGCAAATAGAAAAAGATTTTGGTCCAATTTTGTTTTTGAACATGGACCTTTCACATGAGAGTCCATAGTCCGAAATATCTGAAGTTTTCCAGGCTTTTTTCATGATTTTCATATTTTACGTGCCAGGAAAACGTCAGAACTGGTGCCATTACAAAAACTGGAAATTCGCCACCTTCAATCGGAGGCGGCATTCTCCTGTTGAAATGCAGCATGGTTCAGAGACTAGTGCCCTGTCCAGTCAAGTCCATGTTGAAATATTCACTGCAGAAGACAGATTAAAACCTCAACAGGTCCAGTATAACCTCTTGATCTAGCTATAAAATTTGCATTAGCTGTTAAGCTTCAAGGGCTTTCAGGAATTGCAAAACTTCTATTACGGCCATGAAATATTTTGGAACCAAAATATTTTATCTTATTGATTGCAACCAACGGTACAATTTACTGTTCTTAATTTGTCAATGTGAAACAGTGTCTCCTCGTCAAGGCCAGGAAGACTACATGCAGTTACACACAGTCACTCTAGCACAAAAAATCCATCATTTCCCTATATTGTGCTATCATAAAGATTACCTGTTACACATGCATTTACAGCAGTCGGTTTGTGAGCCGTGACAACGTAATTATGAGCCATTTTAATGAAATTATTGTGTTTTCTTGCTCTTTCTCCTTATTTACGAACTCTTTCTTGAATAAGCACCTTGATGATGAAGATTTGCGGAAATGCGCATGCCTGGCGCCAATTTTATGAAAAAAAAAATTCAGAATAAAATAGTTACAGTCCGAAAATATTTATATGTTATATTTTTCAAAAATCAAACAAATTTATTCAGTAAAAATGAAATTTCATTTATTCACAAATATTTATGTTTTCTTTTTGTCTGGTATATCTCAAAAATCAAAATTTATTTTTATTCGTTTTGGTTTTATTCAGTCAAATTAATTTTCTGTCTCGAATTTGTTCAATGTTCAATTTTATGTTGGGATAGCACTTTTGTAAGTAGTGATAATTATGTAATTTACTCGATATATTTCTAACTAAGACAGAATTTGAAGCATGATAATGTGTTTTATTAGAAAATATTGAAAGACTAAACTGTCATCTCATAACATCCAAGATCTCTTAGGTTTAGATTTAAAAAGCCACAAACCTGTTGCAGCACAAATTGTTGATTTAGCTATATAGCTTGAATTAGCCGGGACCCCTGCATCACTAGTCAGGTGCTCTACCGACTGAGCTACCCACGCCGATATCCGCGGCCCAAACCATTACAGATCTATTTTTCAAATGTTTTTATGTTTCTATGCAAACTTCGGCAATTTTCTTCATAATTTCCTCCTTTTTTAATATTGGACCATTAAAACCTTCTTTTTTAAGTTTTTGCTTCTAAAAGGGAGAATTAATCATAATAATTTGCATGTGAAAACATTGATGAAATACTTGAATACGTCTACTCTTTGTAGTTTGAAATTCTAAAACCTTGCGACAGGCCGGGCCAGCCAGGTTTATTGGTTTAGCTATTAATAGCTTGAACTAGCTATACAGCTTGATTAAGCTATTCAAAATATCTTAATTTAGGTATTTTATCATATTTTTTTCTTAAATATACAATTGTAATGGTTTGGGCCGTGGATATCGGCCTGTGATAGCTCAGTCGGTAGAGCACCTGACTAGTGATGCAGGGGTCCCGGGTTCGATTCCCTGTCCAGCCATACATTTTCTTTCCCGTTACAGATCTAAAGTAATGCACCTTGTGTTCACGTTTTTAAAGAGTTGCAATCATATCCAGGTCCAGTACAATCAGTACATTTAGCTACGTAGCTAAAATTACCTACCGTAGCTTTATTTACCTACCTCGGGTAGCTTTATTTAGCTATTTCAAGGCAACTTTTCACAGTTTTGCTTTTTATTTTAAAAAGACAAAAAGTCGCAAGTAAATGTTTACTAATATTTATTCTAGGTATTATTTAAAAAGCAATCTAAAGCAGAGATAGTTTTAACACTGCTGCGTTTGAAAACTGTTAAGGAAAATACGTATTTCCATTGTTTGAGTAACTGTGCACCACCTTGTGTGCGATGAGGCGTGGATAAGTATGATTACTTTACATTGTGCTCATGTTAACCAAAACTAGTTTTCTTTGGTATGTCACTCAAGAAGTAACTGTTAGATCATAAATTAACTCTTGTATATAGCCCCAAAACTTTTATAACTTTGATTGCAATTGCGCTGAAAAAGACACATCTCCAAGAGTGATTTTTTCATGAATTGTTTTCAGATGAGTTCAAAGTTGAAAATTATCACTGCATCAAAGTGCAATTTTCTGCACTTTCTGGGAAAAAATGCTAATTTAAGAAATAAGTTTGATTTAGTAGCTAAATAAAGCTACTTCAGGTAGGTAAATCAAGCTACGTAGCTAAATCTAGTGATTGTACCAGACCTGATATCAGCCAACTATGTTAATTCTTTGCAAGAGTGATTTTTTATTAATTAAGATAAGATTTTACATCAAGTTAGTTATTGTACACATATGATTGTCTAAGTATGCAATGGCATCTCTGTATTTTAGTTAGACTCCAACGTCTATGTCTCTATATTCATCAATCTTTGAATCTGTGATTATAGTTTGATATTATTTTATATTCAACTATTTTTTTTGATGAGACACAGCTTTTCCGCGGAAAAAATCCTGCTTTTCCGCAACAAATTATAGTGCTTTTCCGCGGTAATATTTTTTTGCTTTTCCGCAACTTATTTCAGCATGTAACTCTTTTATTTCTCCTTCCTTACCACAGTCTTCAGCCATTTTCTCATTATTGAGATGTTTATTTTTTTTTTGTTTCTATTATGGCAATCACTTTGACACATAGCCATTCTTTAAATCATTGACCTTTCTAAAAATAAATTCATCGTGTATAATACATTTTTTCTCATGATTTGTCTCTTTATGAACAATTTGTATAACTAATACCAGTGTAAAATGTGATTCATTCAATTTTTATCACACTGTGAGTACTACAAAGAGAGGGGAAATACATGTAAATGCAGGTACCCTATATTGGCAACCATTTGATGTTAACCATTTAAGTACTTATTGTGGTCTTTTAAAAATCGCAGAAAGGAAGTATCATAATTTAAAGTAAAATTCAATACTGGAAATAAAACATGAGTATGGAGTAATTGCGGAAAAGCAGATAGGTTGTGAAAAAAAAGGTGGAAAAACAGGCCGACTAATAAAATAGAGCATTTTTTAAACATCCCATTGTCATAGGATTGCTAAAATAGTATTTAATCTGAAATTACAAAATCTGTTTCAAATTTCTTAGTATTTACTTGTTATTTTCTATGTTTTATTCATCATGTGTACAGTCTTGTAATAAATGTTTATAGAACTGTTCCAACCAAGATTAAAGAGAAGTTATAGATCCCTTCCCCATTTTCATTTAACTCATGATTAACTAGATTAATATTGATATTGAGAAATCTTTAATTGAATCCCCTTTTTTGTGTACCGGTACATGATATTGAAGATGTTACAGCTATTAGCAGTGAATTTTCTTTTATCTATTTACAGCAATACATTGTATGTGGAAATGGCTGATTTTGGGTTTGCAAACTTTGGAGATGATGATGAAAATGAAGAGGAAACAGGATTTGATTTTCTGGTAAATCAGTTGTAAAAATGAATGGTTAAATTAAGGTCTTTGGTTTCTTCACAATCTATCTAAGAGTAAGATGAGCAATATCATAATTAGATGATTTTTACAAATGTATCTAATTTTACCCTCTGTTTTGTGATTTGATAATCAAAGACTCATTGTGTACATTTGAAATTTATTAAAAACAGACAAGAGCTCAAAGAGACGGCTTAATCTTCTTGGTTGACTGCTCCAAGTCTATGTTTGATAAAGAGGATATAGATAATGAGGAGGAGGAGTCCCATTTTCAGCTTTGTCTGAGGGTAACACTGTCAATCCAGTAAATAAACCTGAGGGTCAAATCTTTAAGTCAGGAACAATTTATTGATATCAATTTCCCATCTGTGTCTAACTCATTATCAGGTTCAAATGATTTAAAGGCATTTATTGGTACATACAGTAAAAAAAATATTTTTTTTTTTGATTAGCTATAGAATAGCATAAAAAATGTTGTATGCATAGAATAGTTGTATTGAGAAATTTTACTTCAAATATTTAAAAAAAAAAAAACTATTGATAACCTGCCTTAGCTGTAATTACACATTATATATATATATATATATATATATATATATATATATATATATATATATATATATATATATATATATATATATATATATATATATATATATATATATATATATATATATATATATATATATATATTTGTCAGTGTGCCAAGACGACTCTACAGAACAAGATCATCAGTAGTGATAAAGATCTTGTAGGAATAGTCTTCTTTGGAACGGTAAGTATTATCCATTTCTTCCCTTCACATCTCAATTACCCGGTAATTAAAAAAAAGGGTGAAAATATTGTACATGTAAATTAAATTAAATTATACGTAGCATTGAAATATTCTGTAAAACTTGCATGATTTCAAACAACCAACCTTGGATATAAAGGAAAAAATGCAAAACTTATATAAGCACTTGAAAATTTGGTGATGTACATTACAGTATTGAGTCTTCTGTGTATTCAGTGAGTAAAGTTTGTACTTCATGTGAAAATTTTTTTTTTCCTAGGAAAAATCCCAGAATCCCAGTGATTTCAAACACATTTATGTCTACCAGGTAAACATAACTGAACATAAGTGCAATTTAGTATCCAATCAACATAAATGTATACAATTTAGTATCCAATCAACATAAATGTGTACAATTTAGTACATGCTTTATATTAAATAAATAAAAAGTTAAAAAAGTAAAGTTATGTTTTTATAGCATATTTTAAAGAAATATTATGGAAATTCATTTGAAATTGTAGTAAAAATTGTGTGTAGAAATATCACGATTTATTGTGATATTTTTGGAAAAAATCGTGATATATCATGATACGAAATTTTTGCCAATACCCATCCCTACAAATTAACATAAATGCGTACAATTTAGTATCCAATCAACATAAATGTGTACAGTTTAGTATCCAATCAACATTATTGTGTACAATTTAGTATCAAATTAACATAAATGTGTACAATTTAGTATCCAATCAACATAAATGTACAATTTAGTATCAAATCAACATAAATGTGTACAATTTAGTATCAAATAAAAAAAATTGCAGTATTTTTGAGCATTAATATTTTCAGTTGATTATGATATGAATGTTTTAGGGATTAGAGCAGCCTGGAGCAGAACGGATCTTGGAGTTAGAGAATATAATTGATGGTAGGTCACAAGATTAACCGAAAAATCTCTCCAAATCCTTCTTTATGACATTTTCTACAGTTAAATTAGAAAATTTGGAAGTTCAGATTTTGAAACTATTTTTTAAGGCATTGGTCTAGCAGGATTAGTTCCAGTTTACTTTTACTAATCAGGAGCCATATTTATTAGTCAGGTTGTCCAAGGGGCCAAGGAATTTCACTGCCTTCAATGAAATAATCCCCCAGTTATTTTGGCTCCTTCCCTCAGTTCCCTGTTAGGGGAGGGACCCCCCTTCTACTTTTTTAATGTCCCCTGCTATTTCAATTCTTAGGGGCAACCCTGATTACCGGTAGTACATCAAAATTGAAAATCAGTGTTTTGCAGTAATTAGAAATTGATTATACAATGTACACATGATACTTTTTTGTTAAATAAATAAAGCATTTTCATGAAGTTTTTGATTAAAAATAAAATAATGCTCAATTTGTAAGGTTAAATTTTATTAAATTTGTCAAACAAACCATAAATTCAAATTGTTGGAGATTAGAACTTTTTATTTTAGCATTCTGAGTTTTCACATTCAGGAGGCCATCCTGCTTTTCCAATTTTGATTTTATTTCAGCTCCTTGTCTGCTTTCTGCGACTTCTTCACATTGCTTTTCTGTGATTGGTTTTTAACTATAAGTTGTGTGTAATCTCCTTATTATGACACCTCCTTTACACATTTTTCAATGGCCATGGATAGTGCTTGGCATCAAACGGCTGCTGATATTTACCTATTTTTCTGTATTTTATCTTAAAAGTTTTATAGTCAGTAGTAATGATTATGAAATCATGGTGTGAGAAAAATTGAATGAATTTGACAAAGTTCTTCACATTCAGTGATAGGTTTCAGATGTCATGGAAATTATTTATACAGTAACAAATCGTGGTAACCAATGTATAATTTACGATGTATACATGTTTAGAAAAATCAATGTTTTGAATAACGTGTACGTTAATGTACGTGTCTTAGTAATGTAGCATAGGAAAAGCAATTACATCTAAATGCAAAAGGAGTTTTACTTGGCTAACAGAAGAGATACATGTAAAACTTAAGTCATGGAAAAGCAAAAACTATTATTGCAGAATAGCAGTACAATCTGTCTCGGAAAAGCAGAAATTTTTTGCAGAAAAGTGATGTCAAATTGTGGAAAAGTGGAACAGCCATTTGGGACTTTAAAAAAGTCTGCCAGCTGATTAAGTCATGTCATGCGAACTCACAATTACTAAAATATTTTTTACATCATAACAAACATATGAACAACTAAGTGCTTAATAGCGTGACCACCTAACAAGATATTACATAGCTAAAAATATGTTTCATGATTTTCCAGTGAAAGTTGTCAAAATTGGACAAACATGAAGATAATTTATTCAAGTTGTTTACCAGGAATTTTCATTAGTACTGCAGATTAGAAACAGATTTCATTAAGCTGAGTTAAAATACATAAGTCTGAGGCTAAGGGACTAAACATTAGTGTTTAACCATGGAACTTGTGAACACTATCAGAACTACTAGTATTGGGCCAGAATTCCCATAATTCTTCAAACCAAAAAAAAAGAATAATCAATTTTTCTTTGTTATTATCATTCATTTGTCACTATATTTCAGAGGGAATGAAAACTTTTGACAAAGACTTTGGACACAACACAGCATATTCCCTGAATGATGCATTATGGACCTGCCAGAATATGTTTGCTAACAGGTCAGTCTTACTATGCTTATTATATTTAATTAACATTTGTAGCAAATATAAATAAATATTGGGAGAAAAACTAACCTCTGAATATTTTTTATTTCCAAATCAATTCTAGTTTTTCATTTGTGTCGTAGAATAATGTTTTTTTTAAATTGAATTTTAGATAAAATCAGTGAATTTCCCTGGTAATTTATCTCTACAGACAAATAAAAATATGTATATATGAGATGTAAATGCAACTTCTTAATTTATTTTTCTTTTTCCAGTCCACAGAAGGTTTCCTATAAGCGAATCTTGTTGTTCACCAATAATGATAACCCCCATGCTGGCTCCCCACAGCTTCAGGTAGACAGGGCTCTGTTTAATACAAGCAGCCCAAAACTAATCATTAATTGTGAAAGTTTAAACTGAGAATGCATGATTGAAATTTATTTGGTAATTTTCTTTTATAGCTATGTTAAGGAGAAATATATTTTAATGATTTAGCAAATTTGATTTTTTTTCCCAACTAATGTTTTCGTTTTCACAACAGTAATAATGCTTCTCATATAAGAGTTTCTTTTATGGAGATAAAAATGTAAGTAAGAATTGTGTAATCCTCAGTAAGATTGTATCTTGAATCATTATTAAGCGACAAGCGAAGACAAAGGCCAGTGATCTTAATGAAACTGGAATTGATCTGGAATTGATGCACCTTCAGAAGCCAAATGAAAGCTTCAATGTCAGCAAGTTTTACAAGGTGACTGGACTTTACATCAATTTTATTGTGGAGAAAATGATTATAGGCATTCATGCTTTCTGTTCAATCCACTTCATGTTGCTATGAATTACAAAAAAATATTCTGTGTTAAATGTTTGTTTCACAGGGTTTTGATAATATGCCCCTAAATTTTATTTTTTAAATTTACATGATAATTGTTTAGATACCAGCTGCACACCATGTACAGTTTACATGTGCATACAGTATATTTTTAGTTTAACTTTGAAAAAGTAACATTGATATTGGTATTCCATTTCCAAATTGATTGCTTGAGAACAATATACAGTATGTTGTCAGTGTAGAGATTATACTGTTGATAATCTGGAAAAATGAACTTATTTGCTTGCTACTTTCTTATTATGTTAGGAAACATGATAATTCTGAATTAATTAGTCTGTGAATTACGCCAAATTAATTGTTTTATTTAATTTTATCAGGATTTACTTTACACTGCCGATGATGACTTCACAGAAATGGCAGATCCAGCGGAAAGACTGGAGGAACTACTTACCAGGTATTTATTTGTTCTTAACCAATTCGATGCAAAAGTTTTGCTGAATTGGCTTGTTCAGACTGTATATTAGAAAATATTGTATCAATATAATTAAATGCATGGGTTTCAGAGTAACATTTTCAGTAGAAGATATGGAGCTTTATAGGTACATGTATTTGAAAGTCTATATTATTGAATAGTTCATCAAAGATTAAAATGAAAACAATGTGAGGGTAGAAGACATAAAAAAAAAAAAACACACAGATAAAATGTGTCCCCCTAAAACTGTATGGTGAAAAGAAATTCCACACAAAAATAGATGTCTCAAAATGTTCAGTGCAGAATTGATTTTAAAGAACAACATATTCATTAAGATGGAATTTTTCTGTTACGATGGTAAAAATCTGATAAAAGATGATGGTATAAAAATTTGGGGAAACACATTGTCAAAGATGGAAATTTGATGAAAAGGAACTAGCTGCAGATCTGTAGCTCACTAGACTGAAACATATATGGCAAGAAATTGGTACTGTGTATTGAGGTCATACTTTTGTACCCTAGGGTACATCCCCTATTTATCCTTTAGCAATAAGGTTACAAAAAGGTTACAGTATAAAACCATTGAAAAATGAAAGTAGGAAATTTCTGAAGGACTGTTAATGTGACCTGGTTACAGTGGGTAGAGAGGGTACAGTGGTTATGTAATAATACGAATTCTACTTTCATTATTATATTATCTGGATTCTGAATGTAACCAGGGTACAGAAGGTACTATGGGTACATGATCATTTATTTATATTTCTAAAATTTTACATAATTATTGACATATTATAATTGACCTTTGGCATGCAGCAACCAAGTTTCCCATTGACCCCTATAAGCTTTGGAAACAAAGGGTCACAACCAAACATACACAGTATAAGAGACCCAAAGGATATATTAAATGCAAATTTCAAAGTGTAAAATATTTCAGCTCCTTACCATATTTAATTATGATTAATAGTCCAATGTTCTTTAAATATAGAATTATTCAATAATCATTCCTTTCTAAATTCTCATTCATTATATTTCATCTTCCTATTACATGTATGATAATAATGAAAGAATAAAAATAAAAAATAAAAATATAATTAAAATCAATTATAAATTAATTTACATGTAAATATCAATGAATTATAATTGATTATCTTAAAAAAAAAAATGTTTTTTTGACCTCTCCAAACCGACTGGCTAAAAATGCCAAGACTCAAAACATTTTTTAACCTCAAAGAAATGATATTTAAATTTTTATTTTTAATCCTGATTTTCCCTCAACATGTAAGATGGATTTTTCTGAGAATTTTTTTTTTTAATTTTTCTATCTTCAGTGCGATGCGCCTCTCAGGCCTTCAGGCCTTTGATTGTTAAAAAATGCTATTTATATTGTTAATGTATTGGTAGGGTACGTTCAAAGGACCACAAGAAGAGAGCACTGAGGAGGATTCCATTATCACTGGGGCCAGGGCTGGATTTAGGGGTCGGAGTGTAAGTCAATACATTTGTGTCATTGTTAGGATACAATATGGAATGATTTTGATGCAACCCTAGGCTAACTAAATAAAGTTGTATATGTTGAAATATTGTCAAAGTGTTAAGTCTTGTGACTTCATGAAATGACTATATACCTACTAACAAAATACCATTGACTTCAAACTGAAAGGTTGTTATTGTATTATTTTTATACGCCGTCTTAAGACGGGACGTATTATGTTATGGCGTTCATGTCCGTCTGTTAGCTTTTTCATGTCCGGCTCATAACTTTAATACTATTAGGCCTAGAATTATCAAACTTTGTCAGCTGATACATCTTTGGTAGAAGGTGTGTCGCACATTAAAAGTAGGTCGCTCTAACCTTTATTTAAGATGCTATGGCCAAATATGGAAAAATCCTGTCCGGTTCATAACTAGAAAACTATTAGACTTAGAATCATCAAACTTGGCCAATTTATGCCTCTTACGTAGAAGGTGTGTTGCGACCTATTTCATGGTCACTGTGACCTTTAGTTTAAGTGAAATTTTTTTAAAAAACTGTCTCTATACTATTGAATTACACAATCCCCAAAAATGTAAGAGTGTTGCAGTATCCTTATTAAAAAGTTTTAAATCAAAAAATACTTATTTTAAGCTCACCTCGACGAAGGCGAGATGAGCTTATGCTATACCCCCGGCGTCGGCGTCACGGTTAAAGTTTTAGGAGCAAGTCCCATTCCCAAGTAACTATAAGCCCTACCTGGACCAAACTTGCATGGCTGATGCATTTAGGGATGGACACTACCACGCTTGCTTCGGATGCTGGATATGACCTAGATTTTCCAGATGAGTGACTAGATTAATGTTTTTGAAGCAGGTCCATTCCCAAGTAACTATAAGCCCTACTTGGACCAAACTTGCATGGATGATGCATCTAGGGATGGACATGACCACACTTGCTTCGGATGCTGGATCTGACCTAGATTTTCCAGATGAGTGACTAGGTTAAAGTTTTTGGAGCAGGTCCGTTCCCAGGTAGCTATAAGCCCTACCAAGACCAAACTTGCATGGATGATGCATTTAGGGATGGATATTACCACGCTTGCTTCGGATGCTGGATCTGACCTAGATTTTCCACATGTGAGACCAGGTTTAGATTTTGGAGCAGTCCCATTCCCAAGTAACTGTAAGCCCTAGCTGGACCAAACTTTCATGGATGATGCATCTAGGGATGTACACTTACCAACCTGCTTCGGATGCTTGATCTGACCTAGATTTTCCACATTAGTGAATTTTAGCCATATTTTAACCAAATTAGCATGGATGGTGTATCTAGGGATGGACACTTCCAAACTTGCTTAGGATTCTGAATCTGACTTACATTTTCCAGATGAGTGACCAGGGTAATTTTTTTGGAGTAACTATATAATACTATGGCCTGTTATGATTAAACTTGCATAGTTCGTGCATCTAAGGATGAAACTTCCAGACTTGCTTTGGATGTTGGAACTGACCAAAATTTTCTTGATTAGTAAACAGGTTATAAGTTTTTTGAGCAGATCTATTTCCAAGTAACTATAAGTCCTGCTCAAACCAAACTTGCATGGATATTGATCTTGGGATGTACCCTAACTAGAAAAAAATATGATGTGAAATTTGCCTTACTTATAGATAACATTCATCGAGGTGAGCTTCCTAATCTTTGATTACCTGTGTTTTTCATTATAAACTTTACAGCAATCTATAACAAATGTAGTATTATAAGAAAAATTCCATCTCTCCCATGGGTGTAATTATCAAGCACTGGTCAAGGAGAATTTTGATAACAGAAAATTGCATGTCAAATTAGAGAGAAATTGTTGAGTTTAGTGTGAGGAGCTACAGACCCTGAAACGTGCTACTACCCCACAGGCACGCTGCACGAACGGTACACGCTCGCTACACGGTTTGCATGAAACGCTACACGGTTTGCACGAAACGCTACACGGTTTACACGAAACGCTTTGCGTGAAAGGCTGCACGGTGTACACAAAAGCCTGCATGAAACGCTTTGTACACATTTCTCACACGCTTTGTACATGATTCTTGCACGCTTTGGCCTCGATCTGAATTTTCTATTCGGAATCTCTCGGACTTTACTTAAATTATCACAGATTAATCAAAGATTAGTTAAGAATTGCAATCATTCAGATTAAGTTAAGAGTAAAACTCGCTACACCAGTACTATATTCACAGATAAAATACTCAATGTTCACTTGTAATTAATTACATTGTAATAGTTGTCATTGAGTATGTGACCCGCCCGGTGAAATGCCTATCATCGTCTATGTACAAATCTTTTTCACTAGACTCTAAATTACGCAATGAAAAAAATAATTATACATGTATTTGTAAATCATAATCTTTTACAGCATTCAATGATTTTACAATTTTAGTTTGATATTAAAAAGTCATTTTATTACTGACAAATAAACTCAGTTATTGGTTTGGAAAAAAAATGATTAAATTGTGTATGATTTCTGTGAACAGATTGATTTTCTTTTCTTTTCTTTTTTTAATTTAATTATTGATTGATTTATTCATTTCTGATTACATTGGGATCTGTTTATAATTTGCAAACTTTAAGGTAGTATGTACACTGCATCACACAAGAACATTATGCAGGAAAGGGGAGGGGAGATTACCGAGATCTTACCGGGTACTTCTGTACATGGCTAAATATAATGGGCACTTGTTTCAGTAAGTATACCATTGGGAAAAAATATTATAGAAACAAATGCCTGTTCTTAGAAAAAAAAAGGATATCTATATCTCCAGAGGGACCCGATACCTGTAATTCATTAAATACGCTTTATTCAGAATTGTAAATATATCGTTTCATTACAGAATTAAACTTTGGTTTATCATTTAAATTTAATATGGTAGAGAAGTCGGGGGGGGTGGGGGGGGGTGGTGGTTTTGGGGGGGTAGATATTGTAATTCTTTAGTTCTCTTTTAAGGCATTGTGTTTATCAAATAAAAACAATATACCCACCACCTTGTAAAATCCTTTATCTCAAACCACGTATAGACAAAAAAAAATGTAATCAATAGTCGCGGCTCTTAACAATACATTCAATATAAATGTATACATGACCAATGAAAGCTAAAAATTATGCTCAAGAACTGCATGATTAATAAAACAACTACTATATAATTGTTCGAGATTTATTTCTTTATAGTTTTTTATTCACGAATAGACATCAAATTAATTCACTGTTTACAGATAATTGGATAAATTTAAGAAATAAAATCCATGGGTATTTATTTGTACCCATTGAATACTAATAAAACAATTTAATTTTACAAATTAAAAACCAATCGTTATTGTCGGTTGTCATCTTAGCCATGATTGACAAGAGCTAATACATGTAGCAGAAAACGTTTTCGGTTCCCTGCACATGGAGCCCGTGATCGCTGTTGTAAATGACCTTGATCACAGTCGTAAGAAGAGTGTTGGAAGTGTAAAGAAGATTCCAAAATATTTTTAAGGGTAAGGGGTGCATCGGGCACACCCCTAAAAAAGCAATAATTTTCTTTAAAAAGAAAATTATCTCAAAGTTTGTGTGTTTTCATTTGACCCCCCCTCCCCCCCCCCCCCCCCCCCGAAATATTTAAACCTGTATTTGCCGATGTATGTGGGTTATAATTGTTATAATTCATTCATATGACAATTATTAATCAACCAATTTTATGCATAAATAGACTATAAATGACTTCGTTTCAAAATTATTTGTGAGAAAATTATGTTTGATTATAAAGAAAAAAAATTAATTGTGCTCCCCGGCCTAGAATTCCCATACTTCACATTTATTCAACGCACTAAATTTTGTATTTTATTTTTCATGCCTGTCTTATCTATCTATTATTTTGTATTAATCACCCATATGTTCTTGTAATCTCTATATACAGTAATTGTAAATTTGTAATTGAAGATTTTCAAATTAATGAATGAAAAGAATTCCTGACGAATTTTCTTTAAAGAAATGTTCAGTATTGCTCCCTATAAAAATGTATTGCATCAAATACCTCAAAATTGATTTTCATATAATTAATTACTTTGAACACATTTTCTTTCCGTCTTTATTTAAATAAAAAAGAAAGAAAATCAAACAAATATGTAATACATTACTGAGTAATTTTATTTTGTTGTTTCCATATTTTTTTCTCTTTTAAAATACCACCGGTACCGGTATGATAGATCCGGATAATATTAGTTACAAACAACACAGAATGATAAGTTGATCCATCAATAGCCATATCTGAAATAAAGTGACTTCTGAATGAATCCTACACGTTTCTCACACGATTCTTGCACGAAAGTCACACGTTTATCACACGGTTCTTGCACGAAAGTCGCACGTTTCTCACACGCTCGCTACACAGTTTGGACGATACGCTTTGGAGCTTACACGAAACGCTACACGGTTTACACGAAACGCTACACAGTTCACACGCAACGCTACATGGTTTGCACGAAAGGAAAAGCGCACGAAAGTCACATGTTTTTTGGGGATAGTAGCACGTTTCAGGGTCTGTAACTGGTAGAGCATCTCTGATCAAGCAGGTGTTATCTATATCTCTTGGGAATTGGGCAAAGGAATCAGCCATGTTTGATAAATAGATTTTGTTGGCTAGCCTAACTTTTAAAATGAATTTGGTGAAAAGTAATTAAAACTAATTTGATTTTGTAAAATAAACTGATTTGATATTGTATAGTATAAATAAAACTAATTATAGGGGGGGGGGATATTGGAATCAGCATGTCCATTTGTCCATATGCACTGCAGCTTAAAACCAGTTTGACATTAAATCTCAAAAAATCATCAAGCATTTTTAAAAAAAAAATGTTTTATGGTAGATAGTCCCTACAGATCTAAGAGTTATGCAGTAACCTTATTAAAAATGTTGCATCAAGATCACATAAGTTTTTGTTTCTTTTTATAAATCTTTTTAACAAATTAAAAAAATCTCTGTTTTCAACAGAATGACATAAATATGCATTTTTACTGCAGGACAGACTACAAAGCAGATAGTGCAGATCCATTCATCCCTTGGGAGTGATGAGTGGACATGCATCCAGTTAAAGATTATAATTAATTAATGAGTTCAATGTAGGAAGGCTAGCTGTCTCAATCATTTCTGTTAGAGCATCTCTGATCAAGCAGTGCCTACACAACAGGAGATGTATAAACAGCAAATATTATAAGGAATGGAAAAATCATGGAAATCTTTGAATAAAGGTTGACATGATTTTCTTGCACTCTGTTTATGAGAATTGAACAATATTTGATGGGCGTATCATGCTGTGGCAGGGCACTTTATTTAATGGTGATGTTTTTGAAGGAATAAACAGATTACCTTTGACTTACAGGTACACTCTAGTTCGTCCTTGTTACAAACCGTCAGCAGTAAAGCTATACAGAAACACCAATGAGGAACTCAAAACTCACTCCAAGACATATTTACAGGTGAGTGGGGATCTGGACCAATAAGAAATTCTGATGGTTGTAGAACATACAGCTAAATAGCAATGGTTGCAAAATGAATACCATTTAAATATCTGTTGTATCACACAGGAAACTGGTGAAGTATTGATGCCACAGGACCTAAAGAAGGCACAAACTTACGGAGGAAAGAGAATCAGCTTTGAAAATGATGAACTCAACCAGATCAAAAATTTTGGAGAAACTGGTACAGTGTGTTATATCTTTTGATAAAATTTTTTGGCTTCATTTCTTCAAAAATTGTGATATTTGCAATGTGAAAGTTTATTCAGAAGTTATTCATTTGTAAGGAAAATGTATGTAACGCATCATCAAACCTCAAGGCTCAAAGACAGAGCACAAAGATATTATTTTTTAGGTCACCTTGAGTCACTCAGGTGACCTATTGCTATCCATTTCCGTCCGTTGTCGTGCGTTGTGCATTAACATTTGAACATTTTTAGCTTCTTCTCTGAAACCGCTTAACCAATTTCAACCAAATTTGGCATATAGCATTTATGGGTGATGGGGAACAAAAATTATGAATTTCATGGTCCCTGCCCCCCTGGGGCCTGAGGGGTGGGGCTATAACCACTAAAATTAATGCAATCTTTAAAAATCATCTTCTTTACTCCTGGACATCAAGCAGTCAAACTGTTGGCATGATTGTAATAAGCATTGAGCCCTCTACCAAAATTGTGAAAGTCATTGCCCCAGGGTCAGGGGTTTATGGTGCTAGGGTGGGACTATCTAGATCATATAGTGAAAGTGCATTATTTCTTTGAAAATCTTCTTCTCTGCTCATGGGTATTAAATAACCTAACTAAGTACATAGTTATGAAGAGCAAGAGTGCCTCTTCCAATATTTGTGAATTTCATGGCCCCAGGGTCAGATGTTCTGGCGTTAGGATGGGGCTCTATTGATTATATAGTGAAAACACATTAATTCTTTGAAAATCTTCTTCTCTGCTCCTGGGTATTAAATAAAGTAACTAATTACATAGTTATGATGAGCAAGAGTGCCTATTCCAAAATTGTGAATTTCATGGCCCCAGGGTCAGATGTTCTGGCATTAGGGTGGGTCTCTATTGATTATATAGTGAAAACACATTAATTCTTTGAAAATCTTCTTCTCTGCTCCTGGGTATTAGATAAAGTAACTAATTACATAGTTATGATGAGCAAGAGTGCCTCTTCCAAAATTATGAATTTCATGTCCCCTGTGTCGAGGTTCTGGTGTTAGGGCGGGGCTCTATTGATTATATAGGAAAATGCATTAATTCTTTGAAAATCTTCTTCCCTGCTCCTGGGTATTATTCAAACAAAGAAAGTGCATGGTTATGAAAAGGAAGAATGCCTCTTTCAAAATTGTGAAATTCATGGCCCCTGGGTCGGGGTTCTTGTGAAAGGAGGGGAGGGGGGCTATTGATTATTTAGTGAAAATGCATAATTTCTTTCAAAATATTTTTTCTACTACTTTATTTAATAATATAGTGGAAATGCATTTCTTTGAAAATCTTCTATGCTTCTGGGCATATTCGAGGCAAACAGAGTAAAAGTTTTAATATGCAAGGGTATTTTTACCAGAATTTGGAACACCTGGACCATTTAGTCAAGTGTTCTGGTCCTGGTCAGGGCTCTATTAACTTGTAGTCTGCTGAGAAAAGTTATTCCCATTTGCTATTCACCTTTGATAATTAATCACTGTAAACAATGTATTTGAAAGGTCAATAGAACAAAAGAATTATGCAAGAATATTTCTTGTATAATACAAAAAGTACTTCCATAGTTTAAATGATTAGGTAGACTTGGAAATAATAGATGAGTAAAAATGAGACAAAAATAACTTATCTTTTTTAATGTTCTTCAAAGAGCTGCCAATGTGAGAAGTAAAAATATGGGGTTAAAAATAGAAATTTTGTTAATAGTCTGCATGGTAATACAGTGTAGTGGTAAATGGGGGACAGATAGATACTAGACCAATTATTTTGTTGATGCTGATCATACTATTTTTCTTTTTTTTTTTATTTTTCTTTCGGGCAACAAAGCTTCTTTTATCAGTTTATGGATCCTCTAAATTGTTGTATTGTACCTAGGTGACCATTAAGGCCCTTGGGCCTCTTGTTTTCATGAGGTTTGATCTATGAATTGTAATGAATCAAAAGGCAACATTTGTTTTATTATTTTTTGTTTATGAAAAATATCTTATATTTAATCCTGCTTTTCCATTTAACAGTAGTTTCATATTCAAGGCATTGTTACATCATACCCATTACGTCATCATTAGGGCCTGCAAGGATTTGCAGGTGCCCTATAGTAATCACTCTGTCTGTCTGTCCGTCTGTCATTCTTCCATCCACAAATTTTCTGTTTTTCTCTAATAACTTTTTTTTAGAGTTGACCAATTAAGTTCAAATTTGGTATGTTGGTTGAATAGGCAGTAAGACATATTTTGATGCTAAGTTTGGGTCCCTATGTCATCTGGTTTGTAGCTGGGGTAGTGGGGTAGATTCCTTAACTTCATATAAGAGTGAATGGGCAAAGAGAGATAACTGCTGAGAATGTTCCTGTTGTAAACTATGAAAGGCAGCAATGAGTCTCTTGAGATAAATTAACTTTCCTCTTGAAGAAAATCCAAAGCATTTATCTTTATCTGCCACATTGAGATTAATTAACACCTCTGTCTGCAAATGAAGTTTGTTTTGAAGTTAAGGTCAATTTTGAATGATGTTTACATTATCTGAAATGTGGATTTAAATAATGTTCATACTTTATTTTGGTAAAATACACAGTGAGTAATGATTTTATTGAATTCTTAAAACAAGATATACATGTAGATAATGATATCTTTTTTATAATGATTTTATTTTTTGTTTTCTTTTTTTCTGCTTTATGTAAATTCAAGAATACTGTTTATTTTAACAGGTATTCAGATAATAACCTCATTCTATCATTGCTTAAAAAGTTCTTATTGTAAATTTAGAAGAAAAGATTTAGAGAGCAGTATAATTAATCCCTTGGGATTGATTATCTTGCTGGTTTACAGAAAATTTTAGAGGGTTATCTTTATTTATCACTTTAAGATTAATTAACACCTTTGTCTGCAACTGATATTTGTTTTGAAGTTAAGGTCAAGCCTGGGTGATATTTGCAGTCACTGAAGGCTGGCATTTTAGAAAACACATGCTTCATTCTTCTTTAAATATACATTTAATTTAGTTATTATAGATATGAGGTATTTTACTGCCTTATGTAAATACAAGGATACTATTTACAGGTTGTTGGATATTTAGCAGTTGCTGTTGCCTTTTCTTTACATATTATTAAAGTTTTGTTATCAAGTAAAATTCTCATCCCCTAATCTGCACCCTTATATTTCTACCCCTCAGCAGGGCCCTTGCTGACTCATCAGATTTCTAGTTTTTTTTTTAATTTCTAAATTTCATGTGTTAAAGTGTTCATTGTGTATATTTTTTCCAATGTTTATTTTTAAATGCTTATAACGTTGATTTTTTGGTCTCTTTACAGGATTTCAACTGATGGGTTTCAAACCCTCCAGTCTTCTGAAAAAATATTACCATGTTAAGCCAGCACAATTTATTTATCCTGATGAAACTGTAAATATATAGTTTTTACTCTCATACTTTAAGCTCTCTTTTAAAATTGAATTAAACTAGTGGCAGAAATACTATTATTCTAAACCATTTATACAGGATATTTGTCTGCACTGCTTTTTTGGGAGAAAAAAAATCAATTGCCTCCAAATTAATAATAATGCTTTTTGAAGATAATTGTACATGTGTATAAGTTTATTGATAAACATATGGTAGGAGTGAGCCTTGTTATTTGTTCATGTACTAGCTGGTTCATGTATGTAATATTTGTTGTTTAAAAGCCTATTTTGTTTAAATTTTGACAAGACACCATCTTTCATGTATTTTAAATGTTTATTCATCTTCATCTCTTTATAGACCATCACAGGCAGCACCACACTGTTTACAGCACTTCTCAAGAAGTCATTAGAAAGGGATGTAACTCCAATTTGCAAATACATCAGCGGCAAAAATTTTCCTCCACGCTTTGTAGCACTAGTTCCTCAGGTATAGTTACAATGTTTATAAAAAAATGACACCTAAGAAAGGAAAAAAAAAGAAGCATATTGGCAGTGAGACAGAAATTTGTGACTGTATATTGCAGGAGGAGGAGTTTGATGAGCACAACGTGCAGATTTCACCCCCAGGCTTCCATGTGATTTATCTCCCTTATGCTGATGATTTCAGAAAAGTAAAGTTCGAGGAACAACCCAAAGGTACGTAATATACTGTATATGGCCTTAAAAAAGCAGGATTTATGTATTAGCAGCTTTGGCACAGTCAACATTTTGCTAATTCATGATAACATTAAAAAAATGAATACAATATCTGAGCTTAAATGATCAATCTTACCGATCATTTTGAAAGGTTTTGAACAGATTCTGATTCATCTGTGCAATTCAAATGCTACATTTGTTTTAATTTTGTACAGACATGTATACTGGGTATTAATTTTTTTCTTCAACTCGTTTTAAATATAATGAATTCCTCATTCATTCAAAAGAATATGCATGTAGTCCACCTTCACAATCAATTACTTACGCTACTCTAGTAATGATAAGATTTACCCTTTCTTGATTTAAATAATCAGTGGGTATTTGTATAAAAATAATCTTGTTCCTATTTTAAAATGTGTGTAAATGAGAGTATCTCATTCTCTGATCAATCACTCTATTTAGTATTTATAAGTGATACAACATCTATTTGGTATTTATGAGTGATACAACATCTATTTGGTATTTATAAGCGATACAACATTTATTTGGTATTTATAAGCAATACAACATCTATTTGGTATTTATGAGTGATACAACATCTATTTGGTATTTATAAGTGATACAACATCTATTTGGTATTTATAAGCGATGCAACATCTATTTGGTATTTATGAGTGATACAACATCTATTTGGTATTTATAAGCGATACAACATCTATTTGGTATTTATGAGCGATACAACATCTATTTGGTATTTATAAGTGATACAACATCTATTTGGTATTTATAAGTGATACAACATCTACCGTAAATCTGGAAATTTTTACATCGATTTATTTTTGCGAATCTAGGTCAAAAAGCTGTTGATTAATTTTTACGTTTCAAAATTTTGCGAATTGTCATTGGCGCTAAAAATAAAAAGCACTTTAAATTTTCATAACAGTTTATATGTTTCACATTAGTTAGCAGAGTTAGAATACCACCAATATACTCCGCAATGTGGCAAAAAAATTTCAGACTCGCTCCGGAACAATTTTGAAGAATACAAAAGGATTTGCACTGAAAATAATTTCCAAATTAATTATAGACCTTTTTGAGGCTGTGTATGCCTTTTAACCTAAAATATAAATCCAAATAAAGACGAAAATTCAACTAATTTTCTCAACTTTTTTCTCACCTCAAATTTACACGCCATGTTTACATTTGGAACTCTCTGGATTGTTTGTGGAAAAATGCACTGAGTTCGAGTTTGAGTTATCGCCTGTGTTTATTTTGCAACACTGTAAATACACGGAACGAATTCTATCGTTAAACCGGGTCCATAGGACTATCCTTTTAACGATAGAACATGCTATCAAGATTCACATGTACATACAATAAATTACACATGTACATATGGCAATATAAAATGACGTCAACATTCAATAATCAGAAGAAATATCAGAAGAGATAAAACATCTAAACTCTATTTTATTAAATCATGCATGTACATAAAATATATTAAAACGATGTCATCTTTAACTATAACCTTAAAAATTCATATAAAAATATTTTCTACCGTGTATAAGAAGAGATAAAAACGTCTAGTTAAAATTAAATTAAAACACAATTTAAAACATTGGTTCACATGAAACATTTTTTGTTGAAATGGTCCAGTATGGTAACAAATTTATTTGCGTTCATTAAAATTCAAATGAGAGTTTCAGAGCGTCTGAAATCCCAGCTTTCTTGAAACCGTTATAAACTTTCTCTGGATTTCTCTTTAGGTAGGATATGGCTGAATCAAGCCACTTTGCACTGAGTGGTTTGAGAACAGACATTCCAAGATTAAAATCCAATTCATCACCAGCTTTGAGCTTCGCTGTGACCTTTTCAGCATACCACGTTTCAAACTGTTCACGCATGTGGTCTTTAACAATCTTTTGAACACTCAAGTCCATTGGTTGAAGTTCTGAGGTACAGTTCGGTGGGACGTACACATAAACAAGACCCAGTATTTTCATACAATCTCTGAATTCCTCGGAAAGTTGTGCACTAAAAAAGTCCCAAATGATCAGAGCCTTTTGGCGCAAAGGCAGGTCTAGTTCATCCCTCACTTTGTTTACGTATGGTATGATGATCTTGTCAAGATAACGAAAACTAGTTTCTTTGTTCGCCCAATGTTTATCTGTGTGAGTAACATCCCAGTCTCTAGGAAAATTATACTTTGCATGACAGGCATCTGTTTTCCCTTTATAAATTACTTGCGGTGGCAGAATATCTCCGCTCAAAGCTCCGGCCATAACACCTGTAATTTTTTAAATATGCAGTATTGAGTAAGATGCCTTGCTTTAAATAAATTAAGCCTATTTATTATGATTTAAGAATTGTCATTCACAATTATATAATTATTCTTACCTGTGATTTCACGTTTGTCGTCCAAGCCAACGATGTTTACTTTGTCACACCCCTTCTCCGCCATTGTCCACCTGCTGACAGGTAATAGCTGAACACTCGTGTGGTCAAAATTAATTACCAGCTGTGGAGGGATTTCATACTTTGTAACAAGTTCTTCGATTTTACTGAGAAAATTTGATTTGAGTTCCTCTAAGTTCTTGATTTCAGGTTTAGCCGTACTGCTTCCACGTCGTTTTACCATATTCATTCGCTTCAAGAGCGAGAGTGCCCACTGCCGAGTTATTTCAATGCACCCCCCATTTTCTGCTAACAGTGTTCTGTCTTCTGCTAGCACCACCCCTTTTGCTATGGCACGGATTATTCGACTGTTAATTATACCACCCGCATCCCTTATTTCTGTAACTAACTCCTGCACTTTCTTGTCAAGGTCTTCCCCCAGCATTAATGGCGTCGAACAGTAGATTCCTTTAAATTCAATTTGCCGAATTTTTTTAACGTTTTTGGTGTCCCGTGTTCATTAGCGTACTGCGCCACTTTGGCTCTCATTTCCTCACTTAGTATAGTATATGACCCTCTTCTTTGTTTCGTGGGGGTTTCTGCATAAACAAGAGTGAGTTCCTCATTGACAAGCTTTCGTGCTAGGGATTCGTTGGTAGCATGGTTAGATAAAATAACTGGTCTCTCTTTCTTGGCAAAATAATTTAAAAGAGACATACCGGTACTACCTCAGTGCCTGTCAAACCATCAGACGATATTGAAACTAGTGAGGGCACTTTACACGCACAGGTAATTTGCTTGTAATATAAACAGGTTTCTAAAATGACCAGTGCTTACGAACACCTGTTCACTGAGTTAAAAATAGACACCAGCTTTCAGCAAAATTTTTGTTTACATTTTTTGTTGTTGATTTATTTTTAAGAAAAATATTTTTGCGAATGCAATGCACGCGCAAATTTGCTAAAAATTTATCTACAGTAAAAATTTCCAGATTTACGGTATTTGGTATTTATAAGTGATACAACATTTATTTGGTATTTATAAGCAATACAACATCTATTTGGTATTTATAAGTGATACAACATCTATTTGGTATTTATTAGTGATACAACATCTATTTGGTATTTATAAGCGATACAACATCTATTTGTATTTATGAGTGATACAACATCTATTTGGTATTTATAAGTGATACAACATCTATTTGGTATTTATGAGCGATACAACATCTATTTGGTATTTATGTGTGATACAACATCTATTTGGTATTTATAAGTGACACAACATCTATTTGGTATTTATGAGTGATACAACATCTATTTGGTATTTATAAGTGATACAACATCTATTTGGTATTTATGAGCGATACAACATCTATTTGGTATTTATGAGCGATACAACATCAATTTGGTATTTATGAGCGATACAATATCAATTTGGTATTTATGAGCGATACAACATCTATTTGGTATTTATAAGCGATACAACATCTATTTGGTATTTATGAGCGATACAACATCTATTTGGCATTTATGAGCGATACAACATCTATTTGGCATTTATAAGATACAACATCTATTTGGTATTTATGAGCGATACAACATCTATTTGGTATTTATGAGCGATACAACATCTATTTGGCATTAATGAGCGATACAACATCTATTTGGTATTTATAAGTGATACAACATCTATTTGGTATTTGTAAGTGATACAACATTTTCATGAATTCTGTTTTTGTTGTATATTGTCTTAAAAGAAAAAAAATATATGCATGAATAAATTTTCACAAGACCGTAAATAAAAAGTTCTTGCAAATAAAAATGATTTACAGTTATTGTTATTATTGTTATTATTATTACTGGTACAGTTACTATTGTTTGTAAAAAAAAAAATTTTCTGAAGGAATGAATGTGTCCCTAATTTAGTGTTTGCTTTTTTAAGCTGATGCTGGTCAGATAGAAAAAGCAAAGGAGATGATTAAGAAGATGAAGTTTACATTTAACAGTGAGAACTTTGAGAACCCCTCACTACAGAAATACTGGAGGAATATTGAGGCTTTGGCCCTTGACAGAGCAGCCCCTGAAGAGGTGGAGGACTTTACTTGTAAGTATATGTACACAAGTGATGTACAGTTCAGTAAAACCCCATTACATTGAACATGCTTATAAAGAATTAAAGTTTGGTCCTGTCTAGTTTATTTTGTGTCAAGGTAGCCCGACTGGCCATTTAAAAATTAAAGGATTTCTTAGCATTTCATTAAGTCATGAGTGCTTTCTTGTTTTCACCAGAAAAATATCAATATTGACCTCAGCTTCGCCTCGGTCAATATTATATTATTGTTTAAAATGAATGTATTTTGTGTCTCAAGAGGTTAAAAAATGAAATTTACATCTTTGGATCCTGTTGTATTTCATTATTGGATTCTGCTGTATTTCATTGTTGGATGCAGTATATTTCATTATTGGATCCTGCTGTATTTCATTATTGGATCCTCTGTATTTCATTATTGGATCCTGCTGTATTTCACTATTGGATCCTGTTGTATTTTCATAATTGGATTCTGCTGTATTTCATTATTGGATCCTGTTGTATTTCATTATTGGATCCTGTTGTATTTTCATTATTGGATTCTGCTGTATTTCATTATTGGATCCTGTTTTATTTCATTATTGGATCCTGTTTTATTTCATTATTGGATCCTGCTGTATTTCATTATTGGATCCTGCTGTATATCATTCTTGGATCCTGTTGTATTTCATTATTGGATCCTGTTTTATTTCATTATTGGATCCTGTTGTATTTCATTATTGGATCCTGTTTTATTTCATTATTGGATCCTGTTGTATTTCATTATTGGATTCTGTTGTATTTCATTTTTGGATTCTGTTGTATTTTCATTATTGGATTCTGCTGTATTTCATTATTGGATCCTGTTGTATTTCATTATTGGATCCTGTTGTATTTTCATTATTGGATTCTGCTGTATTTCATTATTGGATCCTGTTGTTTTTCATTATTGGATCCTGTTGTATTTTCATTATTGGATTCTGCTGTATTTCATTTTTGGATCCTGTTTTATTTCATTATTGGATCCTGTTGTATTTCATTATTGGATCCTGTTTTATTTCATTATTGGATCCTGTTGTATTTCATTATTGGATTCTGTTGTATTTCATTTTTGGATTCTGTTGTATTTTCATTATTGGATTCTGCTTTATTACATTTTTGGATCCTGTTGTATTTCATTATTGGATCCTGTTGTATTTTCATTATTGGATTCTGCTGTATTTCATTATTGGATCCTGTTTTATTTCATTATTGGATCCTGTTGTATTTCATTATTGGATCCTGTTTTATTTCATTATTGGATCCTGTTGTATTTCATTATTGGATTCTGTTGTATTTCATTTTTGGATTCTGTTGTATTTTCATTATTGGATTCTGCTGTATTTCATTATTGGATCCTGTTGTATTTCATTATTGGATCCTGTTGTATTTTCATTATTGGATTCTGCTGTATTTCATTATTGGATCCTGTTGTTTTTCATTATTGGATCCTGTTGTATTTTCATTATTGGATTCTGCTGTATTTCATTTTTGGATCCTGTTTTATTTCATTATTGGATCCTGTTGTATTTCATTATTGGATCCTGTTTTATTTCATTATTGGATCCTGTTGTATTTCATTATTGGATTCTGTTGTATTTCATTTTTGGATTCTGTTGTATTTTCATTATTGGATTCTGCTTTATTACATTTTTGGATCCTGTTGTATTTCATTATTGGATCCTGTTGTATTTTCATTATTGGATTCTGCTGTATTTCATTATTGGATCCTGTTTTATTTCATTATTGGATCCTGTTGTATTTCATTATTGGATCCTGTTTTATTTCATTATTGGATCCTGTTGTATTTCATTATTGGATTCTGTTGTATTTCATTTTTGGATTCTGTTGTATTTTCATTATTGGATTCTGCTGTATTTCATTATTGGATCCTGTTGTATTTCATTATTGGATCCTGTTGTATTTTCATTATTGGATTCTGCTGTATTTCATTATTGGATCCTGTTTTATTTCATTATTGGATCCTGCTGTATTTCATTATTGGATCCTGCTATATTTCAGTGCCTGATGAAGAGAGAATGAAAAAGAAAGCAGGAGAAGCAATCAAGAACTTTAAGGACATTGTGTTCCCGAGTGGATATGAACCAGGGGCCAAAAAGAGGGTAATTACAGTGTTTTATTCACATTGACTTGAATGTTATACGTTTCATGTATAAGCATATTTTAATCAATTATGCAAAGTATTTGGCCTGGTCAGCTCACATGAGTCAGATGATCAATTTAACTTTTGTGATGAAAGTTTGACCATTGCCTATCCATTTGTATGTCTGTTAACTTTCCTTGACTCCACCTGAACCACAAGGCAAGTTTCAACCAATGCTGCCACAAAGCATCATTTGGAAGAGTGGTTATTGCAATAACCCCTCAAACCCCTTTCAAGGAAATAATAATGATTATACAGTATTGAAAATATGGTGGGGTCATTTAAAAATTTTTGTCTTAAGAATCAGTAGGTTAAAAAAACTAAACTTACATGAAAATTCCATTATTGAATGAAGATCCAAATTAATTCACAACATTTTTTCCTGCGTGGTTGGATTCACCATAGATCAAAGTTTTATTTTCAAAACTTATCCTAGGGGAAGACAAAGGAATTTCTGTTTATTGACTTTGATTAATTGTTTGAATTGTAGAAAGCAGGAGGAGCCGCTGGAAATGCTGCATCAAAAAAAGCAAAAACTGCAGAGGCTTCGGTGTCCATCGACGTCAAAAAAGAGGCCGAGGCAGGAAGGGTAGGTTTTAATTAAAGTTTGAGCTTGTTCATTTAAAAAAAAAATCTAAATTAATCTTTGGATACCTCTTTAGCTCAGATAGTTCTTAAAGATATATCTCATAGTTTTAATCATACATAACATATGCACAAAGCCAGGGTAGATTCTGAACCAGCTCTGAGCCTAGGACTCAACAACAGTCAAAACTTTTAGGTGATGAAAAGATGTTTGGTCCTCTCTAGTTTATTTTGTGTCAAGGTAGCCCAACTGTCCATGTAAAAATTAAAGGATTTCTTAGCAGTTCATTAAGTCATGAGTGCTTTCTTGTTTTCACCAGAAAAATATCAATATTGACCTCAGCTTCGCCTCGGTCAATATTGATTTTTTTTCTGGAGAATATCAAACCATATTCACCACTAATAGAGTCCATAATTGTATAATATTTTTATTTTTCACCTCAAAAAAATCTTTTAAAAGATAACCATCGATTTATTGCTGACTATGTTTTTTGTTTTTTTTTAAATTTGTTAAATAATTAATTAGTCATTCATTGATCTAAGGATATTAGGTCATGTAGGTCAGGTCTAGTAAAAAAAAGTTTGTTTTAAAGTTAAAGTTGAGTCCTGTTTCTTCAGTATTAATTGTTTTGATAAGGTCACACAGGGTTCGACACTAATATTTTTTGGCATTAGTCCAACCGGAATAGTGCTTCTTTACTTTTACTAGTCCACACAGGATTTTACGAGTCCGTCAAAAGAAAATGAATGTTTTGTAACAATTAATTTAAAAATAAATATTAAAATGTTCTTTTATACTTTTTTAAAAAAAAAAAGTGAAGTGTTTTATTCCACAGATTCTTTGAAATCAGGAAGTACAATCGTATTCATGATCTTGTTCTTTTTTCTCTATACATTACATCCAAAATGTTCGACATCTTTCTTTTATGTGTCTTACTTAATCGTGATTGCTTAGATGTTTAACTTCATATCAATCAGTTGTAAAATTGCTGAATTGACTCGAATTAGCTAACCACCCACCAAGAATCTAGAAAGCTAAAATTACATTTGGGATTTTCCCATAAAAGTTGTCAAGAATCCAACATCAGTAACAAATTTATTTTGTTTTCCAGAAATTTTTATTGGTCTGTTCGGACTGATAAGCCACATATTTTATAAGTCCGAATGAAAAGTACTAGTCTGAGACTAATGGACTAATATTAATGTCGAACCGTGACACTTGAACTTGTTCTGTCACTTGAAGGATTCAAGTTTCATCACTTGAGTCTCATCCTTACAATCCTAAATAGTAACATGTATTTCTTATTTTCCCCTTTGTTTACAGATAACGATGTCAAGGAAGGAAATGTAAACTTTTCTATAAACAAGGAAGTTATTTTAAGGCAAAAAGCAAAAGAAAACAACACCACTTTTTTTTCTTTAAGTTTCTGTATTTCAATACTGATGTGTTGCTATCAACCTATTGTACTGCTTTGGTTTGTTATTTTATAAATAATATCCAAAATTTGTTACCTCAAATCTTAATTAACTTCTTGTGACCATAGGCTGACATTTACTGGAGAACAGATGCTATTATCATGGCCATAATTCACTGCACAGACCCTTTAGTGTGACAAGTGTATCTGTTTGTTCTCAAGTAGGATTCAAGGTCATCAAGAAGGTTTAAAACTAATTCTAGTGTAGAGTATATAAATGTTATTTTGAAAAAAAAAAAAAAACTTCATTCACTCATGGCAGATAACTGATATGGTTTAGATCTGAGCATGATCATACATGTAAAGAAAATATAATATACCATTAAATAACTTCCTCGTGACCTGTAGACATCGGACAAACTGCATGTTAATGATAAGCCAAGTTCTCTCTACCACAAGATTTATAATTTTATGTTCCATGGGTCCAGATTTAGAGCTCGCTGTGGAGAATAATTGATCATAAATTAACGATATGTGTGGCTTTCTAAAATCTTCCTCCTATTAGATATGTGAGAATATGAACACTAGGCTTATGTGAAAAAAGGAGTTGAGTTAGGCTCCTCAAACAAAAATGGAAAAGACAAAGTTTCTAATATAAATATTGATCTTTAATAGCTTGGGAAGTTGACAGTGGCAGTTTTAAAGGAGATTGTGAAAAAAGAAGGAATTTCTGCCTCTGGCACAAGGAAAGCAGATCTTATAGATGCCATCAATGACCATTTTGGTTGTTAACCAGCTATTGGATCGTCAATGTAATCATAATTCATGCATGGCAGCACCAGCATTTAAAAGACTCCATAAACAAGCTTCATTGTTGACCTGAACATACGTAATGTTAGAGAAAACATTTGGTTGTGTGAGAGAAATAAAGTCAGTAACATTTGTAGCATTTACATTCGTATCCTCATGTTTGAGCTGATACACAATAAACATGTTTAAGTGATTTTTGCAGTCTTAGTTGTATTTTCCAAAAAAAAAAATATATGGTATGAATTTTAATCACCGTAAATCACATTTTTATTTGCATTGTGAAAATGAAGTTGTGAACTATTTAAGAGACCTAGTGGTAAATTTGTTGAAATTAAAATCTTATATTTCCTATTTCTTTTTGATTGGTGATTGATAGATATCCTAAATGATTGTTTTAATAGAAAACTTCTTATGAATTCAATTGAGGACTCAGGAGAGCCAGGGAAGAAACATTTAATGCGATCATTAAGTTTTAACTATTATAGCCCCAAAACAAGTGACATTAGTAAACTCTACTGTTCTCTGGCTGTTTTGATTTTTTGCTTCAGAAAGTTCATTCTACTGAAATGGATTCAGTGAGCAAAATACTAGATCTGTGTGATTATCTACAAGATGCAAGGGGAACTTTAAGGCCAAATGTAAATAATGATTTTGTCCATTTATTTCTGGTAGCTTGAGAATCATCTTTAACTTCAAACCCCGTATTTAGGCACCCGTAATCCTGACCTATAATTGTGTTAAAATTATAGTTTCATTAATTATGTTGCCTAATACATGTACATTGTACAATTATCAATGCATACAGAATTTTCAGTTCTCCGCTGCACAAGCAGGGGTTAGAGTCAGAGGAATCTCGGGTTACTATAAGCCCTTCGTGGACCAGACTTGCATGAATGATGATCTTGAGATGCATACTACCAGAGTGACCGGCATAAATGCTGCACACCGTCACGTAGCGAGCGCTCGGTAGAGCGCTGGCTCCGTGATCTGAAGGTCATGTGTTCGAATCACGGCCGCGGCTGACCTAAGTCGACAAAAAATAGGTAGCAACTGTTCCTTCCCCAGGCGCTCGGCACTTTGAAGTGAAAGTTGCGGGTCCTTCGGTTGAGACCTAAAAAACAGAGGCCGTGTCAGGTGTTGGCACGATAAAGAACCCTCACTGCTCAAAGGCCCTGAGTGCCGAGTAAAGGAGTAAAGGTCTAAATTTGAATCCCTTCACAGGTATATGGTGACGTCTCTATATGAGTTAAAAAATTTTCGAACGGGACGTAAAATATACATTCAATCAATCAATGCAGCACTTTCTGATGATTAAAAAGAGTTTTTGGAGAAGACCCTTTCCTACGTAATTCACTGTAAGTCCTACCCAACGAATATCTACACAACCAAACCAGAACATTCATTGGTGTTGAGGAGACTGTCTAAATGTTTGCCCCCTCCCCCCACACACACACTGATATAGTTTCCTACTGGGCTGTTATTCATGAACTGTTGACAGCCAGGAAACGTACAACGTGTTGTTCAAGTTTTGTGTTTCTAAACGAACACGATAATGAAAAATTAATGAAGAGAGTGGTAAAAATGAATTAAAAAGATACAATTCTAAAGAAAATACCCTATCTGTGGGTGATTAAAAGTTCTTATTGCTTAGAATCCAACAGGTTCCGGGGCCTTCGCCTTCTTCCTCCGCTTAAATCATGTGTATAAAATACAAATACTGGTTATTGTTTAAGAATTCTATTAAAAAAATGAATTTTATTATTAGAAGTGACCTTCACCTAGAAACATTCTCATGCATGTTACAAAACACAATATGCACTCTTAGTAAGTCTGTGAACATACATGTAAGTTATAAATGGTTGTATGTCGAGTGGTATACTTGAAATGCTGAAAGGATGGGCGCTAGCACTTGTTTTTATTCATATTTGTGAAAGTCCTTAACAGTACAGCGGATGTTCAGAGATAAATGGATCGGAAAACGTCTGTATCTATTAGATCGTGTATTATCCTAAGATCAACATGTAGAAGATTCAGTGGGCGTGGTTCCGAGATTAAATTACATGTACTACAACAAAATGGACAAAATTCGTGTATTCCGATCACGTATGGTTAGAAAAAACAGACTAAATCAAAGTTTTTATTTTCTAAGTGAAAAGGGGGACGTAGATAATGACAGGAGTACATTTCCTATAATAGTAAATCAATGTATATACAATATATCAAATCGTTAGACAATGAAAGTTCAAAAAAAAAATATTGACACTCCGTCGTTTTACTGGCCACGAGATATATAAAAGTCCGTTCACGGTTTTAAAAAAATTCTATTGTTGTCTGTATGTCTCAGCATTTACATGAACAAACAATCATTCGTCAAATGTCTTCAGCTCCACTTTGTCGAAGTGCAGAGGATGGAGCCCAAACAGATTAAAGACGTTTTCGAATGAAAGCTGTTCCTCTGGATTTCTGGTGGTGATCTGAAAATTCTGTAGAATGTTTGCCGTGAACATGTAAAGGAAGATGTCGGCTATGTATTTACCAATGCAATATCGAGGACCTAAAAAAAGAATTTTAATTTAGTTGAAGAATTTTATAATATTTACATTCAGTGTAATATTCTTTATGAAATCCATTGGAGTTCTACAACATTCAACCCCCCTTTAGCACACACGAAACCTTGTCACGGCGTTGTTGAATACACAATAGGAACGTTTTGAATTGTCGTAAAATTATAAAAATTGTACTTAAATATTCATCTACGTTATCGCTTTTCACGTCAAAACGGCTCCTACGTCTATAACCCACACTAATTCTGAAAGGCGCTAAATTTTTAATAAAGATGAATGAAAATATTATTTGTGAAGAGAGGAAATAAGAAAATGCAAATATTAGCATTGAATTCTTATTTTTTGATGCCGTCGGCCCTATAACAGCACCTGTCCGTTCCGAAAAATATACCGTGCTAACCCACGGTTCTCAATTATTCAACCGACAACATCAAAAATAAGAATTCACTGCTTAGATATTAACTGTATATAACAGAATATCTAAAATTCTGTATTCGCTTGAGGCTTAGCCAAATTTGATGAGCTTATAAATTTCCCATATAATTTTCACTTGTAGAATTTTTGTGCAAATCTCAGAATTTAGACAACAGGGAAATCCGGTAAAAAAAATTTATCTTATGCATGGTTGTTTGCTAAATACGCCCCTTCAAGAATTTTTTATTCATGTTGGGACCACAGGTACTTGTGGACAGGAACACCCCCCCCCCCCGATATTCCACCCCGGGGCTTGTTTGACATTTTTATGCCCCGCCATGAATATGGCCGGGGCATATAGTGTTTGTCATGTCCGTCTTCCATCCTTCCGTCCTTCCGTCCTTCTGTCCTTCCGTCTGTCCTTCCGTCACACTTTGCGTTTAGCTCTGTTCAAAGCTCAGTTTCAAAGAAACTATCCAAGATATTTTTATCAAACTTCATATGCTGATAGATATTGATGAGGGCTATGCAACTGCATCAACATTTTTTGACCTTGACCTTTCCTTTGACCTTGACCTCACTTTTCTTAAATTAGTTTTTAGCTCAGTTTTAACGATACCATTCAAGATAGTGTAATCAAACTTCATATGTTGATACATACTGATGTAAGCTTTTCAATTGCATCAACATTTTTTTGACCTTGACCTTTATTTTGACCTTGACCTCACTTTTCTTAAATTAATGTTTAGCTCTGTTTTAATGAGACCATTCAAGATATTTTTAACAAACTTCATATGCTGATACATACTGATGAGAGCTATTCAACTGCATCAATATTTTTTACCTTGACCTTTCCTTTGACCTTGACCTCACTTTTCTTAAATAAGTTTTTAGTTCAGTTTTAAAGATACCATTCAAGATAGTGTTATCAAACTTCATATGCTGATACATACTGATGAGAGCTATTCAACTGCATCAACATTTTTTGACCTTGACCTTTCCTTTGACCTTGACCTCACTTTTCTTAAATTAGTGTCAAACTTCATATGCTGATACATACTGATGAGAGCTATTCAACTGCATCAATATTTTTTGACCTTGACCTTTCCTTTGACCTTGACCTCACTTTTCTTAAATTAGTGTTTAGCTCAGTTTTAAAGAAACCATTCATAATATTTTCATCAAACTTCATATGCTAATACATACTGATGTAACCTTTTCAACTACATCAACATTTTTTGACCTTGACCTTTCCTTTGACCTTGACCTCACTTTTCTTTAATTAGTGTCAAACTTCATATGCTGATACATACTGATGAGAGCTATTCAACTGCATCAATTTTTTTTTACCTTGACCTTTCCTTTGACCTTGACCTCACTTTTCTTAAATTAGTGTTTAGCTCAGTTTTAAAGAAACCATTCATAATATTTTCATCAAACTTCATATGCTAATACATACTGATGTAACCTTTTCAACTACATCAACATTTTTTGATCTTGACCTTTCCTTTGATCTTGACCTCACTTTTCTTAAATTAGTTTCTGAATCAAATGTCATATGCTGATACATACTGATGTAAGCTATTCAACTGCATCAATATTTTTTGACCTTGACCTTTCCTTTGACCTTGACCTCACTTTTCTCAATTTGTGTTACAATGTTGCATTACTAATATACCCTTGGCGGGGCATTCATGTCCTATGGACATATTTCTAGTTTTCCACAAATTATATTTATTGCACTTATTCGTCATGTGTACCATGGGAAAAAATCGTGAAAACCCCAAAATAATCACTCCACACAAAAATACCCCACTATACATTATCTCTCTTATAATGTATAGTGGGGTATTTTTGTGTGGAATGATTATTTTGGGGTTTTCACGATTATTTCCCATGGTACACATGACGAATAAGTGCAATAAATATAATTTGTGGAAAAAAATGTCAAACAAGCACCGGGGTTGAATATCGGGGGGGGGGGGGGGGGTCCTGTCCACAAGTACCTGTGTTAGATAGAACATTCTATCTACACGTCCCCCAGTGGGAATACAACCCGCGACATAAGGGTTTATTCATTACTCCGCAACTCTAGAACAAAAACGCCACTGCACCACCGAGTGTTGAATTGATCGCATGGAAAACCCAAAGATGCCGAACGCCGTACAGAATAATAAGTTTTTACCTGTTCCGTAAGGAATAAAGCACGTCTCTGGTAACCGTTGCGTGCCATTAAGATCAAGAAATCGGTCAGGGCTGAACACGTCTGGGTTTTTCCAAAACTGTCCATTTTTGCATGGCGCTCTACAGTCTATCATGATGAAGGAATCTTTGGGAATATCATATCCTCCGACCGTTATGTCCTGTTCAGGACAATGAAATGGAGTCAAGGTTACTAAAAATAAGGAGAAATCAGTAATTACTCAGTAAGTTCCTTAAGGTTCATAAACCCGCTGCTCACTCATATAAAATATAGATTTAACTTTTTTGATTTTCCGAAAAAAATATATATTACAAGTAAAATACAAACACTTATACCATAGCTTGCGGGGAAAAATTAATAACCCAAAAAATCGACATTTCAATTTGACAAATCTATAAAGGAATAGACATTTTTGTCATTAAGAGTTGTCTCTCTTACCAGAGTATCAATGAACCTTAACTGTACGTAATTACACGCTAGTAGTATGTCAGTTTAATAGGATATTATTTAGTAATTAATAAAAGGATATGGATAATAGTTTGTAATAAATAATCATTTTTTCCAATTTTGGAATTTCGGTGGATAAATCAAAATATGCCATGTCAAAATAAGTGATTGCATATTCTAATTTCCTGTAAATCACTCATGTACAACGGCTGTTCGGAAATAAATGAGAATTTAAACTCAAAAGAAGAAAAAGATAAATTCATAAAAGTTCACAAGAATTTTATCAAGAAAAACGATAGAATTGTGCAAAAGTTCTTGTTAATAGCATTATTAGATAAGTCGCGGTGAAATTCTAAACTTGCTTATGTCCATTGCCCCGAAGCAAAGAGATAATAGAGAGGTTTCGCAAACCAACGTGTACGTGCAGGCCCGTAGGAATTCGAAGCAAATTCAGTTGGGGGGGGGGGGGGGGGCGCACAACCATGCATTTTCAGTTGGGGGGCACTATCAACTACCAAAGTTCCTTGACAAGCAAAAACATAGAAAAAGGTCATCACACGTTATTATTAAGGGGGCACAAGCATATAGAAGCTATGTTTTCAATAGTATTCTATATATCGGCAAAATTATTGGGGGCGCCCCCGCCCCGGTGCCCCCCGGTTCCTGCGGTCATGACGTGTACTTGACCCCTACCATCAACACATTAATAGGTCTTTAAAATGAAAAAATAAATTAAAATATTTCTAAATTATTTCTTTCTTTTATATATTGTTTGCGTTTGTTAAATCTGCCTACCAATTTTCACTTAAGGCGTTGATTAGAAAGGAAAATGATCAAAATGTCTCAATAATTTCCGAACATTCCTTGTATATATACATTCAGGCCGGTAGAACGCTGGGAGTGGGAACCACCCTTTTTCTGAGTTTAGTCTTTTGCTTTAGTTTTAATATGTAATTTTTCATTTGAGGTAAGGTCGAACATGGGCAAAATGCAGCATTTGAAAAAAATGTACCAAAAAGTTCAAGAGAGGTCCTACCTACCATACTCTCCCCCAAAATCGAACATGCGATCGAGTTTGGACTTAATTTTTTTTTTTAATTTATTTATTTAGTTTTTTTTTTTTTTTTTTTTTTTTTGCTTGTAAGATTTTTGGGAGGTTGCTGTCCCCCTTCCCTTTCAATGATACGGGCCCAAGTTCAGCCAACAAAGAGGTGACATATTTTTTGTGGGGATGGTATTTATATTTGTACGTAGGACCATTTCACAGACACCTGGGAGGTAGTACCTGGTGAGTACATCCTCTGGATTTCCTTGATAGTGGCTAAAGTGTAAGGTGTCCTTTGTCTGTCCTCTGATTGGACCCTTTGATCTCGACCGACAGCCTGTTAAGTCATAATATTATACTTTCATGTAAATAAGTTGAATCTGATCCGTCAAGAAACATTTGTTAAAAAACATTATTGCCCTCTGAATGATGAAAAAAGCCCTCCAGCGTAGCAACAGTCAACATTGCTTGACGAGGGGTGATATTCCCCAAAAAATATTGACTGCATACAGCATGTAGTTGAGGGTACATCTAACATTGAAACTTTTCACGCCTCGGTTGACAATGGTTTTCTTGGGGTGAAAATTTTCAATGTTACCCTCAACTACATGCAGTATATATATATATATATATATATATATATATATACAGCACATTTTACAACAACTCTGAAACTAACATAACTGCCCTTAGTGAAGAAATATTAATATAGAAAGCACAAGGAAATTCACTTTTATAAGGATATCCACTTCCGCCCCAACCCGGGGTTGAACTCTCGACCTACGGGCAGTTATGTTAGTTTCAGAGTTGTTGTAAAATGTGCTGTATAAATAAAATTAATTCATTACAATGTGTATCGGTAACGATCCTCTAATAAAACTAATGTCCAAATAACTGTATCTCACTTCCATTCTCAATGACCGTGTAGTGTAGGACAGCGCCGCGAGAATTCCATCGGCATCGAAAGCAAGTTTTTTAAGGACATACGCAACATACCTTACCTACTGATACTTTTTCGAGATATTCTTAATTTAAGATTATAGTGCTATCAGATGTTCGTAGACAAAAAATCAGCATGCATTACCAGGGGTTTTGAAAAGATATCAATTGATGAAAATTCTTGTATAATTCAAAGAAAAATATACAAAAATTACTAAACATATATTCTAGATGTTTTGTTTATCCAAACTTGTTTTAGAAGAAGTGTACAATAGCATATATAGACATTAAAATTTAGCACACAGTTCCTTTAAGTATTGGAACTCTTCAACTCCAAGGAAAAAGACAATAAAGTTCAAACTATGTTGCGTATGTCCTTAACTTGCCTAGATGGCCGAGCGGTCTAGCGCGCTGTTCCTGTACTGCTAGGAGACAGATTCTGTAGGTCGAGAGTTCAACCCCGGGTTGGGACGGAAGTGGGTATCCTTATAAAAGTGAATTTCCTTGTGCTTTCTATATATATATATATATATATATATATATATATATATATATATATAATCACCAGCGTAAACCCCGGGTTCGCTTTGGGTTCACTTGGGATCCGCTGTTTAACAATTTGGGTTCGCTCTAGGGTCAGATCTGGGTCCGCTAAGGCGAACCAGCGTTCACTTTTAAAGTTCTCTTTACGTATTTTATATAACATACGGGGACTATTTCATTCATTCAGAAATTACAAATGACACTCTACAAAGTGTGGTTAAAAATGAAGTTTAATGAAACAATCACTGCTGTTCGATTTCCTTCCGTGTTACTCATTATTGTCATGTTTGTGATAATGGAGCACTTGGCGTACCTCTATAATCTCCGATCTACATTTCGATTGTACATCCGGGTACTTGACCAAAGCCATTAGTATCCATTTTGTAGATACCATAAGATTATCTGTACCGGCCACAAACATGTCGACAGTAGTCCGTAAAAGATCAATTTCTAGAAATACATACATGCAACTGATATATCAATTTACACATGTACATGTATTACAAATAAGAAAAACATATAACTTTTTCATTTAACTTTAATTCAAAAATTTGGCTGAAAATTATATTTAGTTGATCGTTTGTCAGTATATGATCTTACCCGTCATGCCGTCTGCAGACCGCTCGTTTTCTGACTTGGACAGGTAAATCTGGAAAAAATCCGAAAGAAGACCAGTCCTTGACGTGTTCGACTTTTCCTGAAGGATTTCTCGAAATTGGCTGAACACAAAATCCTGATCATCCTCGGCTTCTTTAATCTGAATAAAAAGCAAAAATTATTTTTCGTATGGCTAAACCTTTCATGAGAGGACTGATCAGGGATAATATTCCTAATCTTTGTAAGAGCTAGAGGAGCCAAGAGGACTCACCGGGGATAATATTCCTTTGCATGCTCTAGAGGACCCTAGAGGATTCACCTGTGATAGTATTCCTTACCTTTGCACGCTCTTCGTAAGGCAATAGGACACACAAGGGATAAAATTCCTTACCTTTGTACGCTCTAAAGGAACCAAGAGGACTCAACAGGGATAATATCCTTACCTTTGCACGCTTTAGAGGAGCCAAGAGATTCTCCGGGAATAATAATTATTCTTTATACCTTTGCATCCTCTAGAGGAATCAAGAAGACTCACCGGGAATAATATTCTTTACCTTTGCATTCTATAGGGGAGCCAAGAAGACTCACCGGAGATAATTTTGATTACTTTTGCATCCTCTAGAGGAATCAAGAAGACTCACCGGAGATAATTTTCATTACTTTTGCATCCTCTAAGCTCAAGATACTCACCGTAGATAATTTTCTTGACCTTTGCATCATCTAGAAAAGCCTAGAGGACTCACCGGTGATAATATTCCTTACCTTTGCACGTTCCAGTGTAGCCAGGAAAGGGAGAAAATTCACACAGTTGGCTGTTGCCATGCATCGGCTGAAATCTGCTAACTTATCTCGTATTTTAACCATATCCTCGTCCTCATAGCTGTACCTGTATAAAAAATTAACCTAGAATGTCTGCCATTGCAAGCGGAAGCATACTAGTATGTGTCCCCACACTGGCCAAAATGCCACAATATAGTCGTGGAAAGGAAGATGTTAAGCAAGCGCCCACACAGCATAACCTGTACTTTGTCAATAAACAAAATGGTCTTTTTTTAAATCAGACGTTCTTTTCATGCAATAGCGATGCCCAAATTTTGTTCAATAGATTTTAATATTTGGCAGAAATCACTTTTACAATGCAAGGAACAATATTTAAACATGTTAAAGTTTCAAATACTAGTAGATTGGCAGGAAGATGTAAAGCACAACTAAACTTGGTGACTCTCATTTCTGTGAAGTTTCAACATGAGTGTCCAAGCCAGAACATTCGCATCGTCGCAAACCACGGCCAAAATGTACGATCCTCTCCCATTCTGGTAGGAGAGAGCTATATGCGGACTCCGGACCGTGGCTTGAGACGATGGAACATTCGCGGACAAAATTATACCTAGAGATAACAAAACATACATGTCGCCCCGTTCGTTCGGGTGACATAATAATAAAACATCAAAGCAATGTTACAAATTCCATGAAATCTATAACTATACGAGTATTAAATCTAACAATTAGATCAAATTCTGTGCATGTCTAATTAGGAACACTAACTGGTTGAAAAGCACAGGTAGCAATTTAACGAAAAAATAGTCGGGAAACAAAAACAAGCTTCGGAAAACTAAAGACCTTTTGCCCATTAGGAACGATGAAAGAAAGTTGAAAGCGACTTGGCGGATCAAATCTTCCAAAGTATGGGAAGAACATTTTTTTGCGTGTGACTGGAACATCTCGTATTCTGCCGCTAGATGCCGCTGGAGCGCTGATACCACGATTGGGTCTTCTTGTGCAGATTTTAAATTGGCCTGCATCGTACGCCATGATTCTCCAAAACTCCACACTATGCCTGTTAATGGTTGGTTCCATATGTAAAAATTTCAAGAGATGCATGGAAAAATATTCAACTATAAGTGTTCAATAAAGAATTTGATTAACTTTGGTTTACGTGTGATCTACCAAACAGATTGGATATGTACTTGGTACATTGTATGAAAGAGATATAACTGTCTTCGCTCTTTCTGAGGGTTGTCCGTAAAGATTGTAGACGTATACATGTATTGTAATTTTCAACTGCGTGGACCATAAAAGATTTTGATTTACTATTATTAGTTTTAGGAAGCTCTAAACACTGCTTACAAGAAAGTTCTTATTTCATGGTAATTTTATGCAGTTAAAGTGATCTGCCCTTTGATGTAAATGAAATCAAGGGGAATCTACAGAAAATGACACAAACTGAAAGATATTAAATCTTTCTAACGTTATACTAAGATAAAGTAAATAAAAATATAATTGTATGTATTTTCTCAATGTAAGTAAACGATAACGAGTTCTGTTCACTAATACGTGTATTTCTTTTCTTTGAAGTTTTTTCCTGGAGGAATATGGCAGGTACCACATGGAGAAAATTAGCTAAATAAACTAAATATGATACAATTTTCTCTAAGTCCAAAAACACACGTTTTACTAGTGTTCAAAGCTTCCTTAAGATTGTTTTATCAGAAATGCACGTACCTATCAACTATCAAATGGAAAAAAAAAAACCTACCCAGGCTTTTAATAGTGGTGTTTATGCCTTGATCCCTTTTTACATTTATTTAATAAGATTTTAAATTCAGAATAATTTACCAGACACCCTTAACCCTTTAGACTGTAGCGGTCGACTGGATCAATACCGAGAGGGTGTTGGCTATTTTAAAATCTTTTTACGGCCTTCAGAGCAACTTTCATATTTTTTCATCGATATTACATTGTAAATACCAACTACGGTTTGATTTTTTTTTTTTGGGGGGGGGGGGGGCTAGATTACTTTGCATTTACACGACAGACAACAAAATACATTGTACTTTGAATCTCATCTTTAATCTTTATTTATTTATTTCGACGAGTACCATATATAGACCATAGTGACTCCTACGTTACTAGATCTTAATACCCCCCCCCCTTTTTTTTAATTTTTAACATTCAAAAATTTCCAAATATGGTATGAATTTAAAATAGAAATTTTTTTTTCACTTCAAAAACCAGGTGCTGAGAATATTTTTGAAGAAAGAATGTTTCCTAATAATTTTGGAAATTTCTTTTTAAATGTTCAGCAAGACCTGTATGTTTTTTTTTTTTTAATAGAAACGTCTAATTCCTTTTAAGAATAGATAATGCTATTTTCTAGAATATAGTGTAATAATACTTTTTTGCACAATTTCTTACCACGAACGGAGAATTATATTATTAAAGTCATATATGGCGTATTTTTGATAAGTTCAGACTAACTTAAATTAAAAAAGATCTTTCTAATTTTCTTTTATTACTTTATATAAAGATAGAACTTTCCTGTAAATTACACAATTTAAATCAATCACGTTTCATAGATATTAGAAATTTAAAACAATAACTGATTTATTTACCGACTCCGCATTTAAATATCAGACACAGTTTAAAGTCAATTTAACTATAGAAACGATGGGTAACTGGGGTTATTCAAATTAAAATCTGTGAAAATTTTAATTTGAACGTAAATAACAAATATCATGTTCGTCTTCACTTAATCTCGTATTTATATTTTTTAGCTAAAATACGCCATATATAGCTTTAAAATGTGTTTATCTATTATGTAAATTTTGAAGTGACTTGGTGAAATAAATCAGATTCACAACGTGATGATCAGAGAATATTTACATTTCCAATGTCTTTGTCCGAGATAAAATTACAAATTGTAAAAATACTTTATTTCTACATAAATCTACTGGTTCATCAATAGGCGCGGTTAAAAAAAATCACGTGCGGGGCGGGACAAATAGAGACAGAAGCGGGGCTATTAGCACGGGAATTTGCAGAATCAGTAGCATGTAAATATAAGGAATAACTGTCAGATTTTTTGGATTCATGACGATGATCAATCGATTGGCTTGCGTGATAATTTTATGCATAAACGCCTTCGGCGTTTATGCAAATTATCACGCAAGCCACTCGATTGATCACTTCATGAATCCAAAAAATTAGACAGTTATTCCTTTATTAGTTTAAACGTATCAATCTCCCATTATAGTTAGTAACTAGACTGGATTTACAACTTTATTTAAGTGATAATTTAATTATATATTTCTTGACAGCTGTGTCATTATGCGTAAAATTCATAAAGAAATTTTAATAATTATTTAGCACTGCATTTACTGTTAAAATTATTCAGTCATAAGCCTAAAACTCTGGTAGAATATTCTGTCACTACAGAGCTAACCTTTTCCGTGAAGAAGTTTATCTGGAATATACATCCAGTTTGGTCTTTTTGTTATCAGCTCTCCTTTATTACACAATAGTTCTTGGACATAACGGTGTCCAAAAACAAATATAACATTGTGTACTCCCATCTGTAACCTAAAAATATCCCCGTATTTCTCTCTGAAATCTAATACTTTGTAGTAAAATCCAGGGTTTCCTTTCAGTTGCGGGAGGTTCCCCACGACGGGCCACGCCCATGGACCTGGTGGTAGTTTGTACTGCCTTCTATTCCCGAGTTTCAGCATAAGTAAGATACACACGACTCCTACAGAGGAAATCCCCAGCACTCTCGGGAGAACACCGAGAGACGATGTATCGTTCTCCATGTCTTCCGCGTGTGTGAAGAATTGAATCTACCGGCTTCAGTTTTGACATACATGTACTGACATATAACGGATGCAGAGGTTTTTTTTTTACATCCTACTTAGAGTTCAATTTAGTGAAACTTCCAGATGTATAGAATCCATGAATACACAATGTGCTCAAACATATCTCTTAAAACCTCTTGAATGGATGTACGATAGAAGGACCGCGTGCACATGCAAAAGACAGACGATAATCAGAGTTATTTGTGTTTTTGTTTTGTTTTACCATTTTTAAATATTTTTATTTATTCGTTTTGTTAAACATTTTTTTATTAATTTTTTTTTGCGGGGGTGGGGTGGGGGGTTAGGATGGGTGGGGTGGTGGGTGTTTTTTCAGTTATGGGGTTCTATGCTTGAATAAACAAAAATGCTATATAAGGAGAAAACAGGTAAATTTTTCTCCATGATTAACATGAATGATAACGAATCTGAAAAAGTTTTGCCTAAGCAGTATGTATAAATACATGTATTTGATACAGTAAGAAATATCTTGTCTTCTGGGTCGTCATCTTTAAGTGTTTGTGGTGCTGTTCCTCCCAAGCAGCTATAGAGACAAAGAACACTTCACTGGAGAGTATTAAGATAGGTAATTATAATCTACTCTAGATTCGGGAGTAAGCTGGGCATCTAAACAGGTTTTTTGTGCGTGCTAGAACTCGATTGTTTATGTAAATTTCCCCAAAAAAAAATAATAAAATAAAATAAAATCCCTGGAAATGCATCATAATATTAAGAGTATTAGATACAGAAGACGATAGAAATCATCATAATACGATTCTATATGCAGCAAAGGAGGAAATGGAAGGCATGAACAATAATTACAGAAGAGTGGGAAGGAAATGGTGGATTTAGTAAGTAATTATGTAATGTGATGTCACAGAGTTCAGCAAGTTTTCCAGTAACAAATTTTATTTCTCACACCCGACCTAAAGAATCTTCAATTCACTGCTTAGAGGATGCACTTTTGAAGTTAAATGAATGTCTTTTTCATTTAGTTTTGTATGTTTTAAAGACATCAAATATATAAGTAGCAGCCAGATTGCTTTGAAAATAGAATAAAATTCGAGAGAAAAAGTATTGTGATTTTGACATAGTAGAGAACCCTATTTTGCGGAAGAAGACCATTTCTTGGTTTGACGTAATTTAAAGTGAAGTGGAAAATACTTCAATTCATTTTAAGTCCTTTTTTACACGACTCCACGTTCAAAAACAAAATCTCGATAGATTAAAACTTACATCCATCAAGAGGATATCTACTTCGTTGAAGGCTTTTCTAAACAATCTGTAGCATAAGGAATTTAAAAGACGGCGCAGACATAAACAACATCATTATCAGGACAATTCCACTGAAGTACAGGTTTGTGTCAGAGTTAAATCCGAAAACTGGAATATACATAAAAAAAGAACCCAGCCAACCAAAAATGCATAACAGAAACTACCGTTATAAGTACTGGAGTAACTAGTTTCTTAGAGAAGATACTAATAACATGTGTAGATCCGTTCTAGTCGTCACAAACCAGAGTGATGTTGTAGTCACTGAAAATAAGGAGCACCAAAAAAATTACGTATGACTATTTGCACAACTAGAGAATCCAGATATTATAGTGTCACAAGTACTTTTATGTCAAATTATTTTCTCCTGGCTTAATTGAATCAAAGACACGTCTCCGTTTGCGATATCAGAATATACCACTTAAGCTTAAACCCAAAAGAGCATAAGCCTAACATTTGTCAGAGTCCCGATTTCTTTATCATGTTGCAGATTTTGTATTTACTGAGTGGAGGTATACATGCAAAATTTACATGATCAATTGCAAACAAGCTGTAATTTTTGCATTTACCTCCACACAGTAAATTCAAAATTTGCAGACAAAAACACAATAGAAAACTGTAGAAAAACTAAAACAAACACTTGAATTAGGTACGCAATAGAAAAGGGTATCAGAGGGTAAAAAAAGAACATGGGGAAAAAATAGATCAATCCGTTACCAAAAGTGAATTCATGCACTCAATATAAAATTAGACCCTAGAATTTCGAAATCACGTTGAGTGGGTAAAACATACAACCAAGAAATGAGAAAACCTCAGAAAAAATTCCCCCAAGAATATACTTCAGTGGATGAACTTTGCAGAAATGTACATTTTAACATGAGTAGAAACCAAGGTATGGTTCTCAAGAAAAAAGTGATAGCTTTTTAGTGAGTATAGATTCATGGAACCATGGTCTATAGAATTTATTCAAGCATTAGTAAATTTTTGCCCATAGTATAAATGTATATCATGATCTTAATCAATGATTCACACCTCAAGGTCATTACGCTGCTGTTAATTTACGCAATTAGAAATCAAAACTGTTTCTGGAACCCATGACTAGAATGATATGAACAGAAATGTCAAATCCAGTGGAAAATGGTTTAACCTAAAAATCTTTTTTTTTTAAGCAAAACTAGAGATACTAGTTATTAATCATTGGCTTAATCTAAAAGCATATCTAGGAAAGTATAAGGAATTTCGGAATGAACTTAAGTATAGTAATGTAGATTGTTTATATTTGAATAGATATGAATAGAAAGTAAAATTTTAGATCTTTTGATTTAAAAATATTTCATTGGCGAAAGTGGGTACCCTATGTAAGAGTTCCATACCTTTTTTCCTTAAGTCCGATTAAAGCGGCTGTAATACGTGTGCTTACTTTGTAATTAATGACATACATGTAATATATAAGACATTTTAGAATCTATATAGAGACACCACAGGCAATTGATGTTTCAAACATTGATCATTGATAGAAAAAAATCCATATTATTAAAATACATTTTTTTAAATTTAGGAACAGAGATGTTTAAAAAGTCAAGTGAAGTGCCTTTGAGAGACACTGAATTTTTCAAAGCGATACACTAAAGATCACACATATATACGTAAGTTTTAATTCCTTGTCCTTTTTTATTTAGGTTAGGTTATAAAAAGTTCACTCTGAATTTAATGTACTCGTTAGTTAGGAGTAATGCTAATGAAACGTAGTATAAACCAGGAAAAAAATCGAGGACAAAAATAAATTGATTTTATGATCAGGAAAGGGTTTGGGCGAATTCGAGTCTTGTCTATCCGGAACACTTATTTCCGTCAAGATAAGGACCCGTATCCTATAAAGAGCATAAACATCCACAAATTTTCCAAACTTTTTCCCCATTATTTACTGATAGCTAAATATCCTTCCTTAAAAATCTTTTTATCTTCTTTAAACTCTTCTTTATCATGAAGCGATTTCTGTTTAATCGAAAGTCAATGTCAATACATACATATTGTTCAAATCCATTAGACTTCTTCTATATAATTAGAACCTCATTCATTTGTTTGAATCGACATGAGTTCTAATTTAACATGTATGTCAATTTCAAATATTAGTTTTCAGCAGCTTCAAACCGTGTTATGTAACTATCTAATAAGGGTCTGTCATCTTAATCGTAATAATAAGGAATCGGATTAGTATAAGTTTTCAAACTTGTTTTCGAATCCTTTTTGATTTTTTTCTATTACCTGTATTTTCTGCTTGTCTTTTTCAAATAAAATATGGTTTAAACTAAAGTCAATGTTGAACACAAAGACGCAGAGAGTTGTACTGCTCGTCTCTCCATTGCTGATTATGATTTTCAGTGGCCTTCTGATGAGGAAGCTTTCATAAACTCTGAAAGAAATGTAAATAATAATAAAAATAATTTTAAAAAAATTAAACATTGAAAGAGAGGGATATCTTTAGCACTTGCAGTACACTTCAGTTCTACACGATTTAGGATACACGTTATTTTATATAGAATTTGATTTGTTCGTATTGAATTTTTGTGTAATCAAACAAGTAAGAATTACTAGTATTCAATAATATTTTTTCTTACACAAATGCTTGTTCATTTCGGGATTACAGGGAGTAATCTCTAGAATAAAGGGGTTCTTTTTTGTAACTTGCATTGATTCTGGACCAGAGGTGTTACAAATGCATGCAATGTATGAAAAGTTGAAAACCCTTTACACTCATGCGCTAGATGTGTCTTTTCAGGTTGAATTAGTTTTCTCACATATATAATGATACAGGAGGTACATAAAATAATTCAATTACTTTATTGGCCAATTAAGGGCCTTCGTGGGGCAAAAAGAAAGTCCACTGTTAATACTTATATATAGTCATATACATGCAATACTTACATATAGGAGAGAAAGAGTTGCATGACCGAAAGGAAAAAGACACGAAAAGAAGGAACAAACCAGATAGTATTTACATACATAAGTTCTGAGCAAAAAATATTTGTCATTACCTATATGAACACATACTTATATCACACACATATGAAAGTACATATATGTACATACTTTTGCATAATTTATCATAATACAGTTCACATATCTGAAATTTAACTTATTTGGTAATGCCTCTTGTAGAAATCTACCAACAGAGTTTAATATATATCATTCTTCACAATTTAGAATCCAGAATATTTTTTTTGTTTATAATAATAATGTACAATGTTGCACAAATAGTCAGGGGTACATGTACTTGATTCAAGAAATAAACAAAACCCAATGTGTACATTGGATTAAAAAAACTGCTTTATGAATTTCAAGTATAAATATACAAAATTTTTGTATGTGTGTTTTCAATTTAAGGGTTTATATTTATATTCAACGCATTTAAAATATTTGGTCTGTCATATAATCTAGAATCATATTTTTTTTCTTATACATGAACATGAAAAAGCTTTACAATCATGAATCCTAAAGTAAAATGTATTTCATCGCCTATTTGTGTCTTGTTTTTCAAAAATCACATCCTCTTATCCGCTCCTCTGCCAGGAGCTACAACTCTGAAAATTATTATTAAAAAAAAATTCTGAACACGAAGCTTGAAGTCTTTTCGTGCAGAAATTTTAATTTCATACATATTCAGAATGACAAGGTTCTTTGAAGTCTTACAAACGGGCTCGTAAAAAGTTGACATTTATACCAGTATACAAAAATGAAAGCATTTTTTTTTTTTTTAGAGAAAACAAAGTTCCTTGATGTACGTACTAGCCTTAGATACCAATGCTTATTAGCATGATATTAAAGTAGAAGTGATCTGTAATTTTTTATGCAATGATAGCACAAGCTTTATGCTCTATATATTACATAACAATTGAAGTAATCGAAGAAACTAAAATACAGTTCAAGTATAAAATCATGCAATTTGCTCCGAATGCCTGGATGCATATAGTTTTTTTGATAAATTTTAAATTAGAAAATGCATAGCTGACGCTTTTATTCGAATTTCTTGAAAATATACTTGAGTTTAATTAACATTTCCTATATAATATGATTAAATATGATGATGAACTTTAAAGAAATATTATGGGTAAATACACTTTACTTTGTGAATTCAGACATTTTGTGAACATTTTTACTTAACAGTAGATTTTCAGAACCCGAGGGTCGGACTACCTTAAGTTGAGTGACGTACCACTTACCAGTTGGTGATTTTAAGTTCGATATTTTACAAACATTTCTCTAAAAGGTTGGTAAAATACTTAAATATTTTTCGTATCCAAAATTTGACTTAAAAATTTCTAGCACCCTGACTTTGTAATTGACCTTTGCTAGGTATAACCCTCTTCACGTTGATAAGCAGCGTTTGTGTGAACAATGATTAATTTTATATTATTTTTTCTCCAAAAATTTATTTAAGCACTAGACAGAATTTTATATTTTTAATCCCCATGACCTTGATATTGTTCAAATGATTTTGTTTCAAGGTCAATACACAGGCCCGTACAATGGTTTCAAAAAGGGGGAGGAGGCAACTTCCGAAAAAAAATCATCAAGTAGTGGGGGGGGGGCAGCATCTAAAGGAAAATTTACTATAGCTAAATACTAAACTCAGAAAAAAGTGCCCACCCCCGTTCTACGGGCCTGATACATATATAATCTACTAGTATTCATAAATTACTTTCTGCAATTAGGACTTCAAAATGTTTCTAAATTACAAAATGATAGATCTGTCATGTTGTAAATTTTGAATTGTAGCAGTAAATACAAAATTTACAACATGACAACTGAAACATCTCACAAGTACTGATCAAAGAAGTATCTATGTACTTTTTGCCCAGACATGAACGAGGTTAAATAAAATACGAGGCCCATGGGCCACAACGCTCACCTGTCACTATGGCCCCGCTGTTCTTCAGCAGCAGATTTTCTCAATGCATTCCTATGTAAAACACTGATGACCTATTGTGGCCCCACCCTACTCCGGGGGTCATGATTAGAATTAACAAACTTAAATCTACACTACCTAAAGAAACTTGCTTTATATAAAATTACTAAATATGCCGTTGCTGTTCTTGACAAGAAGATTTTTAAATATTTTTTTCTTGTATATTCCTTTATAAAACTTTGATTACCTTTTGTGGCCCCATCCTAATCTCGGGGGCATAATTTGAACAAACTTTAATTTACACTGTCTAAGGATGCTTCCACATTAATATCACTTTACAGGTCTTTACTGTTCTTGAGAGAAAGATTTTTAATAATCAATACCTATATATTCCCATGTCAACTTTTTATTGCATACTGTGGCCCCACCCTACCCCAGTGGTCATGATTTGAACGAAGTTGAATTTACATCATATAATGCTCTCATATAAATTTCATCTTTCCTGGATCATGCAGTGGTTCTTGAGAAGAAGATTTTTGAAAGATGCAGTGAATTTTTCGCTAATTCTTAAAAGAGGGCTTGGGCCTTCATTTAAACAAACTGGAATTATCATTACCCAAGGAGTTTAATTGAATTGGCCATGTGGTTCTTGAGAAGAAGTAAAAAAAATGTGAACAGTTTACAGACGACAGACGAACACCATACACCCTTCGATCAGAAAAGCTCATGCCTTAGACACAGGTGAACTAAAAACAAAGTAAACATTTTATAGTTTCTGAAGTAAGTCTGGTGGTGAAGCATCACAAAATGTATCATTCAAGCATGTGAGGCCCAGAAAGAGCTTATAATTGCCAGAGGATGCTCCAAAAACTTTAACCTAGTTACTCATCAGGAAAATATAGGTCAGATGCAGCATCCAAAGCATGACTGATAGCAAACCTCTCTAGTATGCATCATCAATAGGAATTTGGTTCAGTTGAAGTTTAAAGTTCTATAGGAAAGGGACCAGCTCCAAAAACTTTGCGTAAGACACTTACACAGGGGGTATCACATACGCTTATCTGGTGTTTGTGGGTTAGCTAAAAAGTGGTGTGTGCAATCTATATATTTTACGTACTAAAATTGATCAAGTGTCAATTATTACACCGGTTTCACTAACTATGGTTGAACAAATTTCAACTATTCCATTGGTTTCATTCATTCATACTCTATCTCCACTTTACAGTGCTTGATGAACATTATACAAAAAATATGCAAGAAGAATAACATAAAAGTTCAAAATACATATCATATTCGTACTCAAGAGAAAGTGAAATGCATGTGTACATTTATAGAAAAATGAAATATTTACAAAAGTTGTGACCACAATCTAGTGGCCATTATTTATATATGCACATCATATCCAAATGTCTCTATGTGATATCACAAAAGGATAACAGATATAAAAGGGGGAGGGGCTGAAAAAAGGAAGTTTTGGAAGGCATCCCTCACTGGCAGATCTCCAGTACTGAAAGACTACGCTTCTAGCATCGCAAACAAGACGAAAGTTTCGCAACTGGAAGTTCCGAAGGTGGGAGGCGGAAAGAATGGTGCTCGGCTTGCGGCCTAGTAGAATCAAGCAGAGTTCGTCATCTGTAAGGGCACATAATTCAACACACAAGCGAATATAAAAGAAGTTGGTTATATCCTCCCACCATTGATTACGGATATCATATGTGAAGCGGCATGAGCAAGACACGTGGTTAAACAGATCAACATATGTAGCACCACAAAGGGAGCAAATTTCGCTAGTTACTCTTGGAGATTCTGACACCAACTTGCAGTTGAACTGGCATAGAGAAATTTCGTAACAGTTGGAAGACAGTCGCCAAAACAACGCAGGGTTACTATCCTGAAATATATCACGGAAACAGTCGAATCCTGAATCACCTGACATGCGATTATCCCTCTGGAGTTTATTGTATTGAAAGGTTGCAGATTTCACAATCCGTTTCCAAGATGATTTTGACGGAAATACTCCAACCGAAAGCCACTCCTTCATATATTCACAGAGGTTATATAAATACATAATAAATTCAAAATGTCAGGAATAAAGCCTAGCTGTTTCGGGCGATTCTCTCAAAGTATGAAAAAAGCCTTGTTAAGAATATTTTCTTTGACAGAGTTTTGAATTTCAGGCGACACAGATGGCCAAGAAATAGTAGCTTTCTTGTATCAATCTCAGCTTGTATCGGAAGAACTTGAAAAAGGTTTTCACAAATGTCAGACCTTGTTCTTGTAGGAAGATTTTGGGCATATTTTACCACTAAATGTTGGAAAACATTCAAGCGATGTAAATCATTTGAGGATATGTCATTCCATAATTCATATCCATAAAGTACCGAAGGTAAGACAACTGATTTGTAAAGATTGATTTGTGAGAGTGTTAAAGGGTTTAGGTATCGAGATTCAATATCATTAAGAGCGAAATATGAATTTTCCCGCAGAGATAATCCTATCTGAAAGTTGCACTTATCATTGATGAGAATGCCAAGATGGTTGCAGTTGTCCAAACAAGGAATGATATCATTCCCCAGATACCATACATAGTGAGTCTACTTTTACACTTTTCGCTCGAAATCTTAAAATGCAAGATTTTTGGGCATTAAACGTAAATCGCCACTTCCTAGAGTATTTGTATGAAATGTACATGTTAAGCATTGCTTGAAGGTAAAAGTCCAATGCATGCTCGATCATCTGCCAGTGAGGGACAGGTGCTTGAAATATTAAGAATGCCAGATTTATTAGATAATTTTTCTAGACTATCAAACAAATATCAATAATTCCAGTGGTTTCATTAACTGTGGTTGAACAAATGATAATTGTTCCCTTGGATCCATTAACTAAGGTTAAACAAATGCCAGTTATTCAAGTGGTTTCATTTACTAAGGTTAAACAAATGTCAATTATTCCAGCGGTTTCATTAACTAAGGTTGAATGTCAATTATCCCAGCGGTTTCATTATGATTTCGTCGAAATGTTGAGGTCGAAGTCCAAATATGTCAAAGTTGTCCTCCATGGACAGCTCTGTATCTGGATGTCTGGTCATTATCTGGAAATCCTGAAGAATGTGGGCCGTAAACATATATTGGAAAATATTTCCAACATATTTTCCAATGCAGTATCGGGAACCTAAAAAAAAAAACCCAATAATTTATTCATCACATTATGTCATTTAATTTCATACTTGTCTGATTTTTTTTTTTTTACTATTTCGTGGTTTTTGTCTAAATAATCACAGAAATTTAGGCCTATCCTTTAAATATTAAGGTGAATAACGGAGAATAATTACTGCAGAAAACAAAGATGCAACAGCATGTATCAGTTAAAATGAATCATTATTTTAATTTGAAAGTTAATAGAATAAGAGAATTGTGCAAAAAAAAAAAAAAAATAGGGTATAATGCAAAAAGTACTTTTATAGTTTTAATGATCAGGTAGACTTGTAAATAATAAATAATAAAAATGAGACAAAAATAATTTAATAAATGTTCTTCAAAGACCAAGAGAGGCCAATGTGAGAGGTCAAAATATGGGGTTTAAAGTAGTACAGAAGAACTAATACATGTAGTTTGTTGATAGTCTGCATGGTGATAGTGCTAAATGGGAGATAGATTAGAATTTAAATGTACGAATTGTTACTGAATACTAGACTAATTATTTCATTGATTCTGATCATCGTATTTCTCTTGCTTTTGGGCAACAAAGCTTCATCTGTCAGTTTATTTTATATTCTATGGATCTTCTAAATTGTTGTATTATACTCAGGTGGCCGTTAAGGCCCTTGGGCCTCTTGTTCCAATAAAACTTACGCGTTAACCACTACGCTACACAAAATATGAAAAAAAATGTGGCATTTAAATCACCTGAGCACTGTGGTTAGGACAAAGTAGAAATCAGTTCAGTATTGAAAAGTTTAAACATAAAAGTGGTTGTGGGGGAGGGGGGATTTGAACAAACTTGAATCTACACTATCTGAGGATGCTTCCATATTTCTTTGACTAATCATGGCTTGAGTAGATTTTTCAGGAATGTTTCCTATATGTTTGATCTTCTATTGTGGCCTTGTCCTACTCCCGGGATATATTTGAACACACTTGAATGAATCTACACCTTTGAATTAATATGACTATTCATGGCCTCTCTGTTATTGAGAAGACAATTTTTATTGATATATCCTTTACACATGCATTCCTTTGTATAACTTTGATCCCCTGTTGTGGCCCCTCTCTACACCTGAGGGGTCACGATTTGAACAAATTTGAATCTACAATACCTGAGGATGCTTCCTAATTAATATGAGTAATCATGGCTTGCTGTTCTTGAGAATAAGATTTTTGAAGATTTTTTCCTTGCATTCCTATGTAAACTTTGATCGTCCATTGTGGCCCCACCCTACCTCCGGGGTTCATGATTTGAACAAACTTGAATCTGAGGATGCTTCTATATAAATATAATCAATCATGGCTTAGCTGTTGTTGAGAAGATGATTTTTAAAGATTTTTTCCTGTGAATTCTAATGTAAAATTTTCATTGCCCATTAAGGCCCAACCCTACCCTCGGGGGTCATGATTTGAACAAATTTGATTCTACACTACCTGAGGATGCTACCATATAAATATGACCAATCATGGCTTTGCTGTTCTTGAGAAGAAGATTTTTCCCACGTATTTCTATGTAAAACTTTGATCACCCATTGTGGCCCCAACCCTACTCCCGGGGATCATAATTTGAACAATTTGATTCTGAGCTACCTGAGGATGCTTCAATATAAACATGACCAATCATGGCTTAGGTGTTCTTGAGAAGATTTTTAAAGATTTTTTTCTATGTTTTCCTATGTAAAAATTTGATTACCCATTGTGGCCCCACCCTACCCCAGGGGCCATGATTTGAACAAATTTGAATTTACACTTCCTGAGGATGATTCCACATAAGTTTCTCATCTTCTAAACCAGTGGTTTTTGAGAAGAAGATTTTTAAAAGATGCCATTAATTTTTCATTGAATTCCTATTACCAAAGGATACTTTGTGGCAAGTTTGGTTGAAATTGGCCTAGGGGTTCTTGAGAAGTCAATTATGTGAGAAGTTTACAGACTGACGGACGCCGGACAAAATGTGAAAAGCTCACTATAGCCTTCGGTTCAGGTTAGCTAAAAATGGAGTGATCAAAGACCCATTTATATGATAAAACTGTTATAGTATGAAGAAATTATCATTTTTGCCCCCTTTGGTGTGATATTCATTGAGGAATAGTTAATGTTAGATGAAATGTCAAATTTTTTTTTATCGAGATAAAAATTTTCACCATCTTATTTGCCGCACCGTTGGTATTTGCTCTCCTTGTTCGCCCGTCTCTATGACCCCAAGGTCTAGGCCTCAGTGTATTGCTAATTTGTTCATGTGTTGAAAATTCAAGACATTTTTGATAACTTTTTCAATCATTGACGTGTAGCAACTAAAACGTTAGTTTATATTAATGGTGAGTTGGGTTTTAGGTGTGTGGGTTTTTTTTTGCATGTGTTTAAAATATCGTATATCTTTAAATTATCTTTATCCTTGAGCATAAAGAAGACAAAATTCATGCAATAAGATTATGAAAACAGTCTTCACAGAACTGCAATTCATGTCACTCATGTCCAGAGTTCCAGTCTCAAGTGAGGAGTAGGCATAACCTGAAAAACTCATGATACTCAGGTGACCGTCAAGACCCATGGGCCTCTTAACAATATATACTTAAACGTACTTTAGCCTGTAAAATGATAAACTGGCAACATTTACTGAAACAAAACAGGAATACATGTATAAGTCACTTAATTTCAACGTATGATATTCATATCACATATGTACTCCAGAGGTTCACGGCGAGATACTTTTGACTTGGGGCTCCGAGGTATATAAGGAGCGTACGGACGTTAACCGAGGCTCTTACTTGTAGGAGTAATCACATATGATATTATATTTATATTCTGAACAGCTCTAATGTCAACTGGTACCTGTTCCATACGGCACAAAGCAGGATTTCGGTAACAGCTGTTCAGAACCACCAAGAAATCTTTCTGGATTAAATACTTCCGGGTCACTCCAAGCCTTCCCATCATAACACGGTGCCTTGCAGTCAACTAGAATGATGCTGCCCTTCGGAATATCGTACTCACCCAGTGTTATATCCTCCGTAGGAGTGTGGAATGGCGCCAGAACCACTGTTTAAAAAAAAGAAACAACTGTGACGGGAACACGTTCATGCATTTCTTAACTAACGATTTTTACCAAACTCAACTTCATTGAGGATATATTATACACCTATTTACTGGCTATGAGGACAATAGCAAGTTTATCGTCACCCAAGACAGCAACTTTTTCCCGAGGCGCAGCCGAGGGAAATAGTTGCTGTCGAGGGAGACGATAAACTTGCTATTGTCCGAATAGTCAGTAAATAGGTGTTTTATTATACCGAAGCAGCTTTTACTTGTGTTACGTCACAATCTGGATAAAACAACAAGAGTTCCAGATGAAAAGCGAGGGAAACAGAATGCTGCCGGTGAATAGTTTAATGACTATTTCACCATGGGCAAATAGCACAAAAACTATTCCACGGTAGTTGTTTGGAAAAAATAGCATGTTTATTCGTCATATTTTTATATAGAAAAAATTCACAGAGGTATAATAAATATAAATATTTCCATTTCTATTTGTTTTCTCCGTGATATCTCTTTGAAAGTTAGGAGAGTTGATTTCATGATCATTCTAACGGAATGCAAATTTCGCCAAGCGAAGGTCAGGAGCTAAGAAGGCCTAATATGCATGTAATTCTTGTGCGGCTATCTTTTTGTCTGACGCTAAGGAGGCCTAACATGCATGTAAATCTCGTGCGGCTGTCTTTGTGTTTGACGTCAGTGGGCGGGGACTATTGAAATTGACATGTGAGGCCTCGTGTAATTTAAATCTATAAGTCTACATTTTTAAAATCTAAATTTACAATTTTACTTCAAAAGGAAATGGAAATATAAGGAATCACTGTCTAGTTAGTAGAGTATGTCAGGGACATCAACGATAGTTGGAAACGTGGGATAATTTATGCATAACGGGCTTCGCCCGTTATGCAAATTATCCCAGGTTTCCAACTATCGTTGATGCCCTGGCATACTCTACTAACTAGACAGTGATTCCTTAAATATTCTCAACATGCTCAATTTAGTTAATTCAACAAAGAACAAGTTCACTTAAGGCCTTATGTGTCCCTGTGAATATCTGAAAAATTCGTTTTATTTAAAAATAATTAAATTTTTCTTGGACCCTTTGTGACTGCATATCACAGGCACTTGTTTAGTAATAAATTTTTTTATCCCATAGTATAATAATAACACAAGGTATCCAGCTCTGAATTGTATTGAGTACCCCCTCCCCAGAATCGTATTCATCTACACCTTAAGAGGAAATGTACCGGCAAACTTGATTACCATTGTCACGATAATTTATCTACACAACCATATATGGCATGTTAATCTTTATTTTCTTTTATCTCCGTAAACAGCGTCAGAACTCTGCTCGCCGAGTGGAAAAGTCGAATCACATCATGAAATGGTATGTGCTAACCCGGGCAGAGAGCAAAATTAAAAAATGAGTGGGTTCAATATGGAATTCCATATACGACAGCCAACTGCTCACCGCTTACTGCCAACTGCCACACATATTTGAATAAATTTTCTTATTTATATTGATATTTATGTGAATTTTCATAAAACCAGGCGCGGATCCAGGATTTTTTTTTACAGGAGGGGCCCGCCCCAGTAAAAAAAAATCCAACCCAGAAACTTCTTGACAAAAAAAAAACAAAAACAAAAAAATGTAAACTCCTCTCCTAAACGTGAAAAACCTATTTCGGCGAGGGGGGGGAGAGGGAGGGGGATTGACATCTTATGCTTCATATCTATGACTTTTCAAATCCGCCAAATTTTGTTATTATTGTAAGAACTACGCATACCAACTCTCGATTCCCGCCTTCATGAAAATGGATAAATGACTCTTAAATCTCACCGTATGTTTTAACTTTTGTAAGATTTAACATATGAGATTGATAAAGTGATAAAGTACATTTTTTATTTGTTATCTCATTTGAAATTGGTAATAAAATGACTATTTTCCTGCTTTTAATCTTCAAAAACACGTGCCCCCCCCCCCCCCCGTGAGACAACAAAACCTTTGGAATGAATAAAAACTGAAAAAAGGATCTGTTGTTTCGCGGGGAAGATGTTTTGAAAATGAATATCCATTTTCCGTTAATTTCTATAGTAAAATATTTTCTCAAATTAAAGATCTATATCTCTTTGTTTTCCCAAATAAGTTATGTTTTACATACACGGATCTAGAGGGGGGGGGGGTCGGTGGGAGGGGGGGGTGTCCGGACCACCCCCTGGAATTTGTAGAGTTATTTAATGTATATACTAAACCAACTAAAAGCCACGGTGACCTTGGACCCCTCCCCCTCCTAGAAAACGTGGATCCGTGTTAAGTTGATATGAAAAGTCATAGATATGAAGCATAAGATGTCAACCCCTCCCCTTCCCCCGCCGAAATAGGTTTTTTAGGTTTAGGAAAGGAGTTTACGTTTTTGTTTGTTTTGTTTCTGTTTTTGTTTTTTTTTTTGGTCAAGAAATTTCTGTGTTGGATTTTTTTTCATTGGGGTGGACACCTCCTGTAAAAAAAATCCTGGATCCGCGCCTGGTTTTATGAAAATTCATAAAATATCAATATAAATATGAAAATTTATTCAAATATGTGTGGCAGTTGGCAGTAAGCAGTGAGCAGTTGGCAATAAGCAGTGAGCAGTTGGCAGTAAGCAGTGAGCAGTTGGCAGTAAGCAGTTGGCTGTCGTATATGGAATTCCATAGTTCAAAAATTCAATTCCTGTGTTTAAATATTGCAGTGAATAAATAAAATTTTATCTCGTTTTTCATTTGACTTTTCAAAAAGTGAACCTAGCTCTTTGTATCCCCCCTTTTTTTAATGTGATCTAGTCCAACGTGATGATTTTATTATCATACAATCGGATTAATTGTAATATGCTGTACCTGGAGCGCGCATACGTAGTAATTCTTTTACAGTAGCCAATGTGTATGGAGTTTTTGTTCTATCGTCTAACCGGATGCGACGATCCCTTCCAGTTACCTGTTATAAATCAACATGTTAAATACGTTGATGATATATTGGTGAATTACATGTACATGGGTTTTTTTTTTAGCTTGACTAGACTAAAAGCAATTTTATTTTATCAACTCAAAGCAAAACAAAAGTCATTTTCTGCCTCGTTATGACTTTTTTATAACGACAACTTGGGTGACGTGTATTGAGTCAACATATATGATCTATTTTCCTTCCTATAACATGCAAATACTAAAAACCTCTTGAATCTCTGCACGACATTTTGACTGTATATCCGGATATTTCGCGAATGTCATCAGTATCCATTTGATGTAGGTAATGAGATTGTCCCGTCCACCGACGTACATATCCACAATGGCCCTCAAAGCATCCAACTCTAAAAAAAAAATACAAGAAGTTAAATATTTACCAATATATTTAGAGAAAAAAAATAAATATTACAGGATGCAACTTCGATTAAGAATTTACTCTCATTGATTTGGAGCTCAAAAATATCAATATCGACTGAATGATATTTCTCTTGCTCAGTTGTACTTGTGGGTAAGGTTCAAGAAAAGTTTCCTAGCCCATTTAGGACCTATCAAAAATGTTTTTTTAATTCGATATAACAATTTGTAAAATGTGTTAAAACGAATTTAATTAATCATATTCTTTTTAATTTGCTGGTACAAATTTCATCTGATAAAACAAATTTGTTGAATTCTAATTCAAAAATTTGTCGTAAACTTATTATATTGGTTTAAAATAATTCTTAAATTTGTTATAAAGAATTAAATGTGTTTAAATTCGAATTCGATTAAACGAATTAAATTCCTTATAACAAGTTTTAGCAGTTGTTTAACTGAAATTAATTTATTAAAACAATTTTTTGATAAAAAATAATAAAAACTCTTATAACAAAATTGTTATAACGAATTCGTTATATCGAATTCAAAATTATGTTTTGATAGGTCCTAAATGGGCTTCCGTTAACTCAAATTTTCCAGTATAACAAAAGTAAAAAGTAAGTGCTAGATTTAGAACCTGGGTCTTCGATTTTTTTTTAATACTTAGAAAAGTATTCGGCTTAGCTACTTTTTATAATATCAAAATATATGTCCAGTAAAGTAAAATGTTGAACACAGACTCCGGTGATAATCAACTTGAAGATTTTTCAGAATAATTCAATTTTAGGAAATCGAGAGTTCTTTTATAATATGTTTATTCAAGGATGAATATTTTCAATCTTTGTTAGACGATGAATAACAATGGACTAATTCCTCTGATGATGTATCGGCTTTAAAGTCTCCCACACGCATCCAGAATAATCATTCTCTATCCAGAGTTGTCTTTAATTACGCTTTCAAGAATAAAAATTAACGAGAGTTTCACAGAATCTTTATTACATAGTGTCATTGTGCATCTCCTATATTTTACGTTTCAGTTGAACAGATATTTGGGATTTCCGATAGCAAAACATGGACACCGCCATTCTGGAGTACCCATCTCTTATCCGCAACTCCTCCTATACCAATGAATAAAATTTAACGAAACTTTCATAGAATATATATTACATAACGCAACTGTGCATCTCTTATTTTTCGTTGATATAGGACAGATAGTTTTCCATAGCAAAACATGGACACTGGCCACATTGCCATTCTTTCTATGACGTTTTACCCATCTCTTATCTGCGACTCCTCCTATACCACTGAATAAAATTTAATGCTACTTTCACAGAATCTGACATAAATGCCATTGTGCACTCCTAGTATTTTATGATATGGCTTTCTTAATTAACCCAGATTTAAATGTTTAATTTTTTACCCAAATTCCACTTACAACTCCGTATTCGGAATTACGCATTTCCAATATTTACCGCTCATTCCTTCTTTCATTCGTTCATCTTCTGGTTGTGATAGGTACATTTGGAGGAAACTTTCTGGAGGATCGTTGGTCAAACGTCGACGCTCATCTACATTTTCTCGAAGGATTCCATACACAAACTCCTGATCGCTCGTAGCCTTTTGTATCTATGAAAGAAATCAAAAGCGGACATGCTACACATATATTCAATAATACTAATACATGTAGTAAGCACATTTACATTCTGATATTTTTTGAAAAGTGATGTGAGAACTAATGTCCTTACTTTTGATTTGTTGAGGAAAGCCAATAAGGGAATGTAATTTTCTATGTTAACCGTAGCCATAGAAAATCCATAACTCTCTATTTTGTCTCTCATTTCATTGAAAGTAGAATCGTTGTATCCAAATCTGTAAAAAAAAAAAACCCACGGTAAATGTACATGATCATATATAGGAATATTTGATATATCTATAAATTTAGATACAATTAAACTCCTAGTACCAAGAGGTGTCTGGAGTTGACAGATAATCAAAAGTAAATACTAGTACATCAATTGCATCGTCCATTTCAACCAAACCAATTTCATTGATATCAAACCAACTTTTATTAGAATAAGAAAGGTATTTTTATTGAGGAATAAATAATTGAATGGGCTCTAAATCGTGAAGCAAATACAGGGAATTTAACACCCCCCCCCCCCCCCACCGAAAAAGGACAGAAGTTTATTAGAGATATCATCCGGACACAATTTGTAACAATATTCAAGTTTGTTACTTTGACGTTTGATCGTTTTAAAATCAATAGAGTTCATGTTTTAGGAAATACTGAAGAGATTCCAATTATATCAATTAGTGACCGTTCACCGTTTGGCCTCAAAACCAACTATATTCGGGGGCATCTAATTTTTGGTCAGCCCGTCCGTCCGTCTGTCTGTTTGTATGTTAAGCTGTTTGTCTGCAATAACTTTAACCTTGCCCTTAACTTTTGAATGTTTGGTACTAGGGCTTTTATATATCACATATCTTTTTCTTATGACAAGACTTTGGGTACCAATATATTTGACCTCTTACCTTGACATTCGAGTTTGACCAACTTTTGCAACATTTTACCAAACTTTAACATTGGCCAATACTTTTGAACAGTAAGTGGAAGGGCTTTTATTTTTTCGTATGTGTATTTCTTGTGACAAGACCTTTCTTTGGGTACCAACAATTTTGACCTTGACCTTTGAGTTTACCTACTTTTGAAAAACTTTGACCTTGGCCATATCTTTTGAAAGGTTGATGCAAGGGCTTTTATGTATCACATTCGTATTTCTTATGACAGGACATTTCTTTTGGTTAATTAATTTTAACCCCATGACCTTAACCTTAGAGTTTGACTTACACTTGAAAAAAAAACCCTTTCTTATAATTTGTGAAAGTTTAATGCTATAGGCTTTTCATATTTCACTTATGTATTCTGTGACAAGACCTTTTCTTTGGCTCCAAATCTTTTATCCTTATGACCTTGACCTTGGACCATAGAGTACTTTTGAAAAACTTAAGTTAGGTCGCGGGTTTCATATACACACGTATATCCCTTGTAACAAAACCTTCTTTGGATATCATCATTTTTTAACTCTTTTCCTTGTAGTTTGACCTACATTTGACCTACATTTGACCTACATTTGAAAGAATTTAATCTTGGCCTTCAACTGCCATACTGAGACATCAATGTTTCACAAACACATTTTTTTTTAAAGTTTAAGTTAAATTTTTTTTTTTTTAATTTTAAGTTTTATTTCAGAAACTTAATGAAAAGTTATCATCTGCAAACCATTTTTTTTGCATGTATGACCTTGGTCTTTGAGCTCAGAATAAATTAAGTTCTTTCTTAAGTGAGAAAATATTCACTTTAAAGGGGCCTGGACACAGTTGCATTGAATTTCTAATGATGCTTATTCAAAAAATAAAACCATTTAAATGAATTGAACTTACATGAATATTCTTAGAATTCGATGACAACGACATTTTTCTTTACATCACGTCAAACATCTGTTTTTGTAAACAGGGCACGAGCTCTGTTATTGCAAATGTTTACGTTTCAACGAGTGTGTTCAATTTGTTAAATTCTGCACACATCATTTAGCACGGACTGACAATACTGGTGAGTTGGTTTTGCTTTCTTACATTTCTACACTGAATTTTCTGGATTATAGTTTTAATATTTTTCATTAATAGACAACAAAATTTCTACTTTTCTTAAGTATTAAGGAATAAGTTTACTTTGAGAAAGTGCAAGGATGTGTCAATCAAACGCGTCCCGAAATTCTAATTCAATAATTTCCAGATAAAAGACGTTTCTGAACAAACTTTTATTTTTTTTCCGCGTGACATGCTATAGCAACATATAAGTCATGATATACAGAAAATTTGAGAAAACATTAACTTCAAGTCTTTGTCTAAGCCCCTTTAAGTTTCATTGCAAAAGCTAAAGGACTTTTAGAGATATCCTTCGGAAACTTAAGTGTTACAGACAGACAGAATGACTAGATACATACAGACAGACTAAAATTGATACCACCTGCTTTTTCAACACTTGTTTTTTTTTTTACTTCAGATAAATATTATATAAACAATCAAATCCCTCTGTATTTTAGAAATGAGGTTTATCGGACCAGAGCAAGATACGGTTATCACTCAGTCACTCAATGTTACCGTTTTCCGATCAAAAAAGCTGAGAGAAAGTTAAAAGACGCTTGGCGGATCAAATATTCCAAACTGTAGGTGGAGGACTCGTCCTTCAAGTAATTTTGGAACTCTTCATACTCTGCCGTTAGGTGGCGCTGTAGAGCAGACACAACTGTGGAGTCTTCCTGTGCCTTTCTCAACAAAGCCTGCATAGTTTGCCATGCTTTTCCATTACTCCATATAATTCCTGTTAATCAAGTATATCATATACCTACATGTACGTGTCTAAGATGCATAAGATGGTTAATATATTGATTGATATATTGATTGCATGTTACATGGCGTTACTGTGAGTCATTTACTCCTTGAGTATTCTAGAAAAAAACATTCTAATGGGCCACTGAGTCGATACATGTATGCCTAGAATAAAACATTCTGATTTGTCATTAGAGTAGTGGTAAATTAAGCAAGCCTCATGGTGAATAGAGATACAGCCAGTAATATATATATATAAAAAATAAAACATTCTGATTGGCTACTGATTTGCTGGTGAAAAAATACTGATTGTGATACATCTAGAATAAAATATTCTAATTGGCTACTAAAGCGGTGGTGAATAAAGACACAGATTGTGATACATTTAGAATGAATTATGAAGATAACGAACAGGATTCAATATCAAAAGTCCAATGACGTCGCGGTTTCGAATCCCACTGTGGGACGTGGAGACGGTCCTTCTGATGAGACCGTATAAACCGAGGTCCCGTGTCGCAGTAGGTGCTGGCATGAAAAAGATCCCTCACTGCTCAATGGCCGTAAGTGCCGAGTACAGGACAAAATTTGCAGCTCTCCACCGGCAAGTGGTGGCGTCTCCATATGAGTGAAAAAATCTCGAGAGGGACGTTAAACAACATACAAACAAACAAAAGTCCAATGAAACAATACTTTGGAGCAGAGCAAACAGGGACTTCAAAATTTAGAGGAGGGATCAGGTGCCATGGAGGAGTGAGCATCCCCTGCCGACCGGTCACACCTGCCGTTATGCTCCTTGTCATGATCGGGAAAAAAACGGGAAAATCCGTAGACGGTGCAGTCAAAACATGGGTGTGAAAGGTGTGAATTTTTGACGACGTCGAGATACCCGGAGCCGTCCGTGCGTGACGAGCGACCCTATCTGACAAACAGTTAGGTTCAGTGGAGCAGAAAATTGCCGATGTCGACATATACCAGGTAAATTTTGCTCTTGGGACTGTGAATATACGTCGAGATAACCAGGGTTGTCGAGATTACCGAGGTCGACATATCAGAGTTTTTGCAAATCATTTATATAGTAAATACTGCCGTGACCGCGGACGGACGTCGACATATCCCAGGTTGTCGACATATCCGATGTCGAGATACCGAAGTTTACCTAAATTATGTATAAAGAATTGGGGAATTTTCCACCCTCTCTTTACTTCATAAAATCCCCATTTCAGCAAATTTGTGTTCCAAGGCGCAGAGAGTTAAGTGTCTTAAAACATTGCGACGAATATTGCTATCTCGTTTCTAAAGAAATGGGCGTGTCATTATGTAACAACTGACTTTCTAAACGTTCCATTCAATCAAAAAATTTTACCACTTCAATGTGCATCATTGTAATCATCTAGTACCATCTACACAGTGGTATAAAAAGTTACTTCCTTAAACACATTTTTGAAACATTCTTCACAATAAATATTTTTAATTGCACAAAAATATTGCAAGGGGGAAAAATGTTAATCACACAGAAAGCTATCTTTAAATTGAGAAGCATGCATGTTGTTTAAAAAGTATCGAAATTTACTTAAACATAATAAAGATTAGATAGACAAACTTCCAAGGCGTAAAAGGGGAAAAAAGCAGACCAAACCCTTAAAAATTTACCTTTTCCATGCGTTAGTTGATGAGGGGTATACAGCCAGCTCGGTCTTTTTGATACAATATCTCCCTTTTCAATCAACAGTTCATGGAAATACCTTCGGCCAAATACAACAAAGAGCGTTTGTGTGCCCATCTGTACTCGAAAAAGATCGCCGTACTTTTCTCTGAATCCCAGCAGTTTGTAATACACACCCTTTCCTCCGATCAGTTGAGGTATATTTCCTAATACTGGCCATCCCCAGGGTTTTGGGGGCAACCTGTATCGACCTCTTCTTCCATGGGTGAAGAAAAAGTATACTCCTAAAGCTGCTACAGACGTTATCCCTAAAATTTGCCAAGGTGAATCCATGGCTGTCCTCTAACCTTTCTGAATGACTTAATGATACGATCGAAACGGATGTTCAAATTGTTTTGTCACTTGAGGGTTTATTCATCCTATTGTACAAGATTTTCACTGACTTGTATGTCAATCGGTCGATTAATACCAATTTAATTTTAACTAAATGCCAAAAAATTATTTTTACTTTTTAAAAACTAATTTTTGTGGCTAATCAGATTTAAAATATTAATGTCTGGTATGCAGATACATTCGCCCTGGGGTGAAGCAAAGATACGGTCACTCGGTCAGAGTATTCTGTTCCTATTCCTGAACTTCCTTTTGAAGGAACATATCCGACCTGAAATAATAAATATTTTTTTTAAATACAAAGAAAATAGTTGCTTGGTTCACAGGCACCTGATGTTACTTATTTTTCTTTTAATAAAAATCAATTATACCCCTATCTAATAATTCACTAATTATTAGGTAGGGGTATAATTTTTTTTATTAAAAGAAAAATAAGTAAGGTCAGGTGCCTGTGGCTTGGTTTTATAAATCATTTTACTCTCCAAAATTCACTCTTGGGAGTTGAACTTTTCGAACATTAAAGAAAATAATCAATTATTGGAGTAACTCCGTTTTTTCTTAACAAGAATTGTACAGTTGACATTACATCAAAATGAACTACAGACAATACTACATAAGTAGTAAGAACTTTGCCACATATATTTACTTAGTAAAGCACTAGATGAAATCCCGCGCAAGCGCGGGGAATTTATACCACTACCGACAGAAAATATATATTGTAGTTTCTACTGACAGCCCACAGGCTTATAGCAAGAAGAAATACTTCGCTCAAAATCCCGCATGAAGTAGAAGTGCGTCTCAAGCCCCCTTTTGTAAAAACTTGAAAAAAAAACAATTACATTAATTGACGTTTATTGTGAAACCTGTTACTATGTTATGGATATTGTACTTCAGATGCTCTTATTTCATTTCCGTCAAGGATAGAAGCAGCGAATATGCACATTTTACTGATAAATGGGTTTTTTTGGAGGGGGGGGGGTAAAATTCACAGGTACTTGGGTCTTGGTTTACACATATGTATGGACCTTATTGATATGTAAAAAATGTACTTTACCTTTTTTACATCAATAAGGTACAAACATAAATATAAACCAAGACCCAAGTAACTGTGTAAAAATTAGCTTTTAACGCCCTATGAATAGGCCGAGTATTTGATGCAAAAGACTGTATTCAGAAAAAAAAAATGAAATGTACATGTATTGATTAAAGCACAAAATTTTACAGCACATTTTATTTGAACAATACCTTATTCATTAATTTTCTCTTTTCATGTAAGCAAGTTTATTACGAAGTAGAAATTGTACTTGAAGTTCGGGTTCGTTGCCACAATGCTCTCATTGAGGAATATATACTAATTTTACCGAAAATTTATTAGGAAAACCTACTACATGTATGTAATAGTCTTTCGATATATAAATATATTCACAACTTATAGTGTTTTCAATGATTCGCCATTATTTCAAAGACCATTCACACATAAGCTTTTTTTATGTTCATGCAGCTATAATTTAATCGCCTCGATTTTCTTTTTAACATCGGGCTCGATGCTGCGCAATGTTCTAGAAGCTTCCGTCAATATAAAGATCGGTGAATGACAAAAACAATTAGCACATTTCCCTTTTTAATCGGTTATCACAACTTATTTCTTTTATGTCATTTAAATCAAGTTTTGATTGAATAATTCAGTGATGACGTTTATGAAATAAATAAACGATTGCTTGTTGTCAGTTTCATTAAAAATTGCCAGTAACTTAGATCCGCCATCCGGAAACGCCACCGTACTCACGTTTTTGCTATTTCATGGCTGTTTATAGAAAATAAAAGTAGACTTTTAATTTAATGTACGATACTTATTATGCGAGTGAAATCTAAATATAGTTTACGGACATCATCTTGTATCTAGTGTATTCTTAGAGGAGTAAGTAAGAACTCTGGTGCATTCGTTTCGGAGTTTATTTGCAAAATTTATTAATTTTTAAGTATAAGATGTGAATATGTGTACTATACAGACTCGAGTATGTTGAAGGAGCATGGACACAGTTGCATTGATTTGTTTGCAATATTTATTTTCTTTTTTTATTTAAAAAATAACATCAGTTTAATGAATTGAATTTAATAAGAAAATTCTTAAAATTTAATTACAACGGCATTCTTCGTAGTCTTACAACATCTGTGTTAACATGCGCACGAGGTCTGTTATTGTTTTTGTTTAACGTTTACCGGGTGTGTTCGATTTGATAACACTACACGCATCACTGAACATGAACAGACGACACTAGTGTGTTCGTTTTGCTTTCTTGCATTCCTATTCTGACTTATCTTAATCATAGTTTTAATGTCTTTTATCATTACATTGCAGATTTCCCACTTTTCTTAAATATCGAGGATAAATTTTACTTTGTGAAAGTGCAACGATGTGTAACAATCAAAAAAATTCGCAGATTTGATAATTTTCAGATAAAAGAAGTATATAAACTTATATAAACTAACTTTATAATATATCGGTCTAATTCTTCAATTCCTCTTATCAGCAGTGACTTCATCCACTCACAGGGGCTAAGCTAGTTTTGATCCCAAACTCTTCGTACCCATAATGCGTACGAAGAGTGTTTGGGTTTTCTAGTAAATTGTCAAGCAAGCGGTGGAAAGCTAAATAATATTCATGCATGCACTATTAAGCAAAAACAATCATTTAAAAAATAATAATAACAATCTCCCGGATTTTGATTTAATATCTCATTTATAGTATAACCGCGTAAAATATTATCGAAGTCGCGCTAAAATGAACAGTCTCCATGGGTGCATCTTGTTGATTCGAACTTTCAACCTCAGAAGTACGTTGATTGATAAAGCAATCTTGTTATACAAGTTACTTATACATTAACCCTAAGTTTAAACAAATTCTAACAATTGCGTCTTTTTAATAATATAGCGTTTAGTGAAGGAACAACAAACTGCTTTGATGTGACCCTTTTAATATTGCGCCTGTATCAAGTAACACATAGTTCAAATGTGCTTAATTAATAGTTTTCGGTTGAGTGTCTCTATTTTCGGCTATTCATTTATTTTGACTGGGAAAAAGTCATTTAAAACATAGATATGTAGATAATTATGTAATGTTTTTCATTTTTGAAAAGTTCATGTGTGTATGAACTGTGACTTGAACTTTTAAAAAAATTCAAGTATTTTTTAAAAGGTTTATCTTATTTAAATCTTATTCATTTAATGTCAGGTTAAGCCATGCAGCAAATTAATTAAATCTCTGGCGATGTAATATCAAATGTTACCCTAAACGTGAGAATATGAAAAAACAATTACTGCAGAGTGTTAGAACAAAATAAAAACTTCCCTACAACATATGTACCATTCTCTTACCAGTGTTAATCGACTGAACCATTTCACCTAGCCATTAATTGAATCTGCACTAAAAGCTCATTATGGCGTGACGACTTGATGAGTGACTGTTTGGATAGTTTTACTGTCATTTAACCCCCCAGGGGCCAGGGATGTTTGTAAAGACGATATTTATTTTAAAACCTTTTTAAAAGTACCAAAGTTTTCTTAAGAGCAAGGCCTTCCCTAATTGATACCTCTGCAAAAAGCTTTAATCTGTCACTTGTTCTTGATGTCGTAGTAATAAAGTCAGCATAAACAAATTGAATTAGCATGTGTAAACGAGTTAACTTTGTTTTGCTATATTTAAGAGACACAGACGTTTATCTCAACCAAAATTTTCGGTATATATACATGTATCATAAAAACGTGATTAGAAACTTCTGAAAATTATCAGTTACGAATTTAGGGTGTTTGGCATGCATCCATGCACTTTCATTAACTGACATTTATCCTTAATACTTAATACTGGGAATATGTGGTTTATTGTTAAAGATATTCAATTATAATCAAGAAATGTAAGAAAGCAAACACAATACACCATGCAGGGTTGTCTATTCGTATTCAGTGATGTGTGCAGTCTGAGTGTAAGCAAATCCACAGGAGTTCGCATACCTATCAATTTTACCGAAATTTTCAGTAAATATAAAAGATACGTAATACCTATAATAATAACACCAATTATTATAGGTATTACGTATCTTTTATATTTACTGCAAATTCACCAATTATTATAGGTATTACGTATCTTTTATATTTACTGCAAATTTCGGTAAAATTGATAGGTATGCGAACTCCTGTGGCAAATCGAACACAGCCGATAAAATGTAAACAAATCAGTGAGCTCGAGTCCATGTTTACAAACACAGATGTTTGTTTTAAGGTTATTAAGGTGCCTTTGTCATTGACATTATTTAATAAGAATAATCATGTAAGTCCAATTCATTAGACTGAAGTATTTTTTTTTTAAATAATAGAGGAATCTAAAATTATATACATGTATAAATAAACCGGTAATGCATGCTCCTTTAACTAGCTGTTAAACTACATGTATACGGTTTTTTCTTCATCACAAGCAACATAGTGAAAGGAGATGAAAGGGTACATTAATAAATTTTTTCAAAGACCTTTTCTGAAAGCTGGATAAGATACAATAATACCGGTATATGTTCAAACCATAATACCAATATATTTCTTTGCCCTAAAATTTGGGACAGCTATCGATAATGGCGTACGGAAGAAAAAAATCATAAGGTGTTTCTACAGACCTCTGTCATTTGTCCCTCCATTCCTGTCCTCTCTAATAGTAAATAAACTGCTGACTATGATAAAGAGAGCACTTTAAAAGGTAGAACAAAAGCGCGTCCATCATAGGCCAAACAACACCGGTGGAGATTTGAAAGAGAAAATGAAAAAAAAAATCTATGTAAAACTTACCTAATGGTATGAATGAAATTATCAAACTTCCTATTTGCAGCCAGCTCCTTTTAAACGAATAAAATGTATCATTTTTCAACCTTAACAACTTCAGTGATATGGAACATAACTGCGTTATTTATGAAACAGAAAAAAAGGTTTGTATTTTTTGTCTTGTACGCGAAATTAAGGTGATTTTGATAATTACAGTATTTTAATAAAACCCCAGATTTCATGGGA